TTGATACCTTTTCTGAAATTATCCAGATTTATAAAAAGAGATGGACCATTTTGTACATATACCAAGGGGAAACTTCGTGCAAAGCATTATTATTTATAGTTTAATTGAATTTAGTAGAAAAAGAAAATTTGGTGAAAATAAAACCAAGATTTTTTTAGAAAATCCACAGATTTTAAGACCGAGATTTTTATACGATTCCAATTTTTTTTGGGGGGGATCGTATAATGGTATGATGTGGTTGTTGTTGTCTACGTCGTCCGAAGACACATTTGTAGTTTCTGGACTATAACTTGTGTGTAAGTGTATGGATCTCACTGACATCGTACCACAAAGTTCCATATCACAAAAGGAAGGCTGGGATTGAGTTTGGGGGTAATTGCCCCATTCATGAAGGAATTCGGGGCCATAAAAGGGCCAAAAAACATTTTTTTAGTTATTATGGTTTTTCAGACAATAACTTGTGTTTAAGTCACTGTATGGATCTTTCTGAAATTGTACTACAAGTTTCCATACTACAAAGGAAAACTGGGATCAAGTGTTGAGGTTATTGCTCCAAAGGGTGGGGGGGGGGGGGGGGGGGGGTGGTGGTTGTGAGTTCAAAAAGTTTGCAGGTTTCCAAATTTTTAAAAGGGGTTTAATTTTTTTTTCAAAATTTTTCAAATTTTAAAATATTTCAAAAGTTTCAAGAAGAAATCTTTAATTGCACAGTATTGCCCAATAGATTTGAAAGACCTTTACACATGTTTTGTGTCAGAAACCTATATTATGTCAAAAATTTGATCACAATCAGGGGTTAAAAAATCCACTAGCCCGACGCCCGGGACTAGACTTTTACACTTCGGGCAATTAAAACTTGTAACCGAATATGCCTGACGGACTAGTAACAACCATTCCAAAATAGTAAGTGGAAAATCCCCTCATTGCTATTCTATCTTAGCCAATCAGATTCAATTACGTACGTCATCCGGGATTCCAAGAATTTGAACCGATTTTGTACATGTTTTAAAAATAGAACAACTAACTCTGGGTGGACCGGTATCATGTATTGATCGCAATTCACGTACTTTCAATATCAATTTCTCAGTACAGGGGGTATTGTACATTGCTTATGCCGAGATTTTCAATTAATGGTACTTGGGTGTATGATGTAATGATCGATATTGACCTGTCTTGTCGGACAGCTGTTAATTTGAGCTTGAAACCATGCACAAATTATTTCTAAACATTTTAGTACGGCCACCACAGGAACTTTGTCAGTTTTAAAACGAAAAACGGTAGATGAAGGGGGTAATGAGGCTGAAAATTTATCCCAAAAAATGCCAAATACGACCAGGAAAAGCGGAAAAAAACATTTATAGTGTCATTGACAGAAAGATTCCCCATGGGCAAGGTCGACTGTTACTGATGATAAACAAGAGATGATGTTTTGTGAATATTGCCGTTATTTTCCCGATCTCGCTGATAAAAAGTCTGCTTTGTATGTGGGAACAACAAATATACGAATTGAACCACTGGTTTAACATGACAATATCAATGAACATGTTTTCTGTGCCCGGAAATATTTAACAACCCATAGTACAAGGGATATCCAAAAAGATGTCTAGAGATCCCTGTTATAATTAATAAAACAAAAATTCATTTGATTTATTTAATCAAATACCGTGTATAATGCCGGATTCAAAACAAGGGACATCCACTCTAAATTTGAAAGGTATACTCGGGCTAGCAGGTCAGTTTTGATGGGCTAGCAGCTCTTTCAACAGGGCTAGTAAAATCCTGCTACCAATAAGTCCTGGGCTAGTGAGCTGTAACACATTTTTTTAACCCCTGACAATCCTAATTCAGACAGTAATAAGCTTGAATATTGTGTCAAAATTTGCCCCAACTGTTCATGGTTCAACTTCTGCGGTCATATCAGGCTGCGCTCAGCGCCGAAGCATTTTATTTTTGTTATAATATTTTGAACATATATAACTCAATTAAAAAAATCATTGCTAGCACTGAATGCAATAATCCTTCATCAATAAAGCATCGAATCGCCAAATATGACAGTACAAGGGAAAAGCTGTGGATTTTCTAAAAAAAAAATCCATATGTTTAGCATTTAATCAACACAAGGGTACATAATCCTTAAAAGCCTTTGAGAACGTAACTTTATAGCAAGGAACTATAACGTATGCAGATTTTCTTTGAACACATACGAAGGTCTTGAATATTGGGGGGGGGGGGGGGAGGTCTTTCAATCCTAATTGTCTTTTAATTTGTTAGTCATCTGTTTTTCTCTATTCTTCATATTTTTTTCTCATTATTCTATATTCTTTATTTTCTTGGCAGCTATTTTTTTTTACTTTTCTGGTCCTATGGTGTGCACTTTTTGTCCATTTGTGTTCTCTATACTGACTGGAACTAGTATATATATAACTGAAACTAGATGAAAATCAAGGAATCTACACATGCTGTAATAGCAAATCTGAACGGAACCAAAACGCATGTTTGTAAAAAAATAAATAATATACAACTTACATTTCAGCAACTGTTATATTAGTAATTATTAATGATGTAGTTCGTGAATAAATTGTCCTACACAGTGGAACAAATGGACAGTCTAAGTACGTTAATGTCTGGATTAATATTTCTGCAAAGACGTTGTCATTTTATTGTTTCCATTAACCGACTTAAATAAAAATCAAATTATAACTTTGTAATTATTATAAATGTTTACCTTTTGAAATAAATTTTGGTTTATTGAATATATTTACGGGAAAAACGAACTCAAATGTTTTATTTCCATGTATTTTATGACATATTAAAAAACATCTTTGTGTAAAAGAAAAATCGAATCACATCAAATTTTGATCGGCCGTAAAATAAACTTCACATCACTTTATTTATATCACAAATCAATTTACAAAAACTTCTCAACGATGTCATAATAGAAAGCATAATAGAAAGCACGAGTGATCTATCTGGCGGACCAACTTGTGGCTAATGATTGACAGGTATGATTAGATCTTGAGGCTCCTATGGGGAACGTGGTGTCGAAAGGAAAATAGAAGATTATTCAATTATAATTTTTAGGACTCGTACGAAATGTGATCTGATATGGAAAATTTTGAGTTCTTTTAATAGCACAAAGAAATAAGACGTTAGCAGGGTTACAAATGTGTAACTATAAACCAATGACTCGTATGTAATTTACGGGAAAGATTTTATCAAAAGTTTGTTGAAAACTTTCAATTTCAAACCTTCTTGGTTGGAATGAATATGTTCGATTTATATGCAAATAGGTCTTTATTATATAATATATTTAAATTATCTTCATTAATTACAATACAATATATAACATGTATCTATGATATCCTCCGTAACGACTAAATATATGTACAGGTAAAATTAAATTCTGATCAATCGGGTACAGATTGATTTACGACCTTCCACTGGTATTGCACAAGCAATATCACAGCAGGTGTTAAATACACTAGGACAAGTGTCAGATCAGTTTGACATCCTGCCCGATTACGGTATCTTCCGGAGACTCTATAAGTACAAGGACTGATTTTTTTTCTAAACATGACAATTGTGAAGAATTTTTAAAAGTGAGAACAAAGTTTCTGACCCAAACTATCGATTCACATTATGAATCTATCATGAATAGTAGATTAGTTTACGTTTTTTAACGTAAATACGATTTCCATTCATATATTAAAAAAATTGTAGTTGTCTTTTGCAAAGATAACACATGTATTCATCTTGTTTATTGGTCACATTAAAATAGATTTTTCTTTAATGAACAATGACAACATTTGATATTTATATCGTAAGTTACTTTATTATCAAAAACACCGTTTTATCTCGACCGAAAAGGGAAATAAGATAGTTTTTTTAATCTGACTGTAAACATTGTATATATCACAACGATCTATTAATAACCGTCGCTCACGCATAACGGATTCTATAATCATCTATGTACAACGATCTATTAATAACCGTCGCTCACGCATCACTGGTTCTATCACTGACTCAATACACACCCGTTTTATCGGACAAACGGCTAATTCCCGCCGACACGGAAAATCTCCGGATAACATGCATAATATTCTGTAATACAGCAAATTTACGATGAACCTCTAATTATTATCCGTTTCGCGGAGATTAGCCAAAAATCGCGGGCATTTTCCAAATAGGTCTACCAGTGATATTTCACATTACTTTCGAACATTATATATCTGAAAGTTTTACAAGGCATAATCATGATAATATTTAATATGCTCTTTCCTAAAATATATAAATTATAAAAAGAACTTTCCAATTGCAACAACTAACTAACATAACAAAGATGATATAATGATGATGATGGATGGCTGCTGAATATCCAGCAGCAAATTAATATGCATATTCAGGTGGAGAACATGTTAATGTAATATGAATATCAACACTGCTTTGTACTAGATACACCAAGTCAGATTTTTAATGTGCTAGTTCACAAGGTAACAGTCCGCAGGAATACATGTCACCTTACCCGGACACATTATTTTGATTCCGAGCCGACCAGTCTTTGCTCTTACTCCTTAATGCTGCACGCTTGTTTGAGAAGCAGCAAATACCAATTTTAAAGTCTTTGATTTGATCCGGCCGGGGTTCGAACCTACAACCTCCGACACTGGAGGTGAACATGCTACCACGAGACCACTGAGGCGGTCAAAGAAGATATAATGCAGACATGCAGTTACAGGGAAAATGTTTGTTCAGTTTGCTTGAATCCTATCAAATGGATTCATAACAATCTGTTCTGAAACCCTTTCAGCTATGTGTTATCTAATAATTACTGTTGGTACTTTAATGGGCTCTATATTTGCAGGCCCAAAAATACAATGAAAATTGACTAATATCCATGAAGTTTCATCAACACACGAAGAAGTATGCAATAGTAATCAGACAATGATCTATATATGCCATTAATTGGCTTAAACTTTGTGCACCAACATACAATTTTGACTTACTAAATTCTATAAGGAGTTTACCGTAACCTTTCCGCTGGTATGGAGGTAGAGATAAAATACAGGCTACATTATAGTCCTCTGATGATTCTTTCTCCTAAAACACAAATTATTTCATATATAAATCAAAAGAGATGTAGGGTACATAAATCTGAGAAAACATCATAACTGCTTGTAATTCAAAGTATCGAAAAAAGGGAGTAGGTGTCTGACAGAACCGGAAAAAAAAATTACAACTCATCACTTTCAAGCTGCTGACCAAAATGAAGTCATTCTGTTTCGTAGTGTCTGAGAAAAGTGTTACAAAAAAATTTGTTCGAATGGATAGACAGATGAAAAAAAAATTTGTAAGGGTTTCGCGGAACCCAGTGTCTCGTCTACTTTTTGCTGTTAATCACAGGCTCAGCAAAAATGAGGAAAAAAATTAATAAAAATATTCCTCTCTATATATCTTTTGATTGTAAGTAGCTTCTGTCCAAGTTTGGTAAAAATCCAGGATAGTTTATGAATCTAATAAATGTTTTAAAAACTTAAACTGCAGACTGTATGTAATGTTAACTGGAAGAAAAACTAAGTCCATTTATAAGTAAAATACGGAAAAAATGGAACAAAATTTCCTTCTAGATACTAGCTTTTAATCATAAACAAGCTTCTGTCTAAGTTTGGTACAAATCCAGGATAGTTTAAGAAAGTTGTTCAAATTTTAAAAACTTTAACCACAGAGTGAATGTAATGTTAACTTGCAGAAAAACTAAGTCCATTTATAAGTAAAATACGGAAAAAATGGATTTTTTTTTTACAAAATTTACTTCTGGATACTAGCTTTTAATCATAAACAAGCTTCTGTCCAAGTTTGGTACAAATCCAGGATAGTTTAAGAAAGTTGTTAAAATTTTAAAATCTTTAACCACAGAGTGAATGTAATGTTAACTGGCAGAAAAACTAAGTCCATTTATAAGTAAAATACGGAAAAAATGGAATTTTTTTTTACAAAATTTACTTCTGGATACTATCTTATGATCATAAACAAGCTTCTTTCCAAGTTTGGTAGAAATCCAGGATAGTTTAAGAAAGTTATTAAAATTTCAAAAACTTTAACCACAGAGTAAATGTAATGTTTCCTGGCAGAAAAACTAAGTCCATTTATAAGTAAAATACGGAAAAAATAGAATTTTTTTTTTACAAAATTTACTTTTGAATATTATCTTATGATCAAAAACAAGCTTCTGTCCAAGTTTGGTAGAAATCCAGGATAGTTTAAGAAAGTTATTAAAATTTCAAAAACTTTAACCACAGAGTGAATATTTGTGGACGCCGCCGCCGACGGAATGTAGGATCGCTATGTCTCGCTTTTTCGACAAAAGTCGAAGGCTCGACAAAAAAGGAATTTCATTTACAGAGAAAAAAATATTCAGAATTAGATATTTTTTTCTTTATGAAAGAGAGAAAAAATGTGTTGTCTTTGTCAGAAAACATACATTGAATAAAACAAACATGTTAAGATTATTACATGTAATTTTGCAGATAAAATAGTATAAGCGTCAACCTATATCAAGCCCTCAACCTCAGTGATTTTGCTAGCGCTCTTCATTTACGAAACAGTTTTCAAAATGACGAAAGTATTTCAAATCAATTTCATCACTTAAATTTAGAAAGTATGAAAATACACATGTCTTCATGTTTCTGACAAGTTTATGACCCTCAGCTAATTAACGTTTACAACAGGTGTTAAAAGTTGTGATGACAGGTACATGAAATCCGCTTATCGCCATCAGATGGGTCCCTTATCCGTTAATTATTAATAAACCTCATAATTGACCATCAGAATTATTTTTCCCGGTAAAATCAGTCAGTCGGCATTTCAATTTCAATAGTTCTTTAAGGACCAAAATTGTTTTCACCCAGGCAGTTCGCATTTTAATTTCAATATTTCTCAAACGATCACAATTTGCAGTTTGTTTGTCGTCGTTTCGTCATATGAACGTATTTTCGTCATATTTGATATAACTTTTCATCAAAAACTTTCGACAATTTCGATTAAAAACAGATAGAAGTTTATTCAAAACGTCCAGAAATATTTTCACGAGTCAAACAGGTGCTTCCTTTAATATGCACTGCATGCGTGAAAGTATTCATATAAATTTATAGACTATTTCTTACTAAGCAAATTAATTCAAATAAAATGCTTCGCTGGGGCGCAGCTTGATACGACCGCAGAGGTCGAACCCTGAACAGTTGGGGCAAGTATGGACACAACATTCAAGCTTGATACAGCTCTGAATTTGGATTGTTATTAAATATTTGACACAGCATAGGTTTCTGACACAGAAAGAATGTGGTCTAAGAACTTTAACTTTTTTAATTTACCTATTATGGTCCAATGTCCAAAATCAAAATACATGGTTAGATTCAGCATATCAAAGAACCCCATATATTCAATTTTTGTTGAAATCAAATAAAGTTTAATTTTGGACCCCAACTTGGACAAACTTGAAAACTGGGCCCATAATCAAAAATTTAAACACATGTTTAGATTCAGCATATCAAAGAACCCCAAGAATTCAAATTTTGCTAAAATCAAACTAAGTTTAATTTTGGACCCTTTGGACCTTAATGTAGACCAATTTAAAAAACGGGGCTTAAAATTAAAAATCTAAATACACGGTTAGATTTGGAATATCAAAGAACCCCAATAATTCAATTTTTGATGAAATCAAACAAAGTTTTATTTTGGACCCTTTTGACCTCAATATGAACCAATTTGATAGCGGGGCCCACAAATAAAAAATCTAAATTCATGGTTAGATTCAGCATATCAAAGAACCTCATATACAATATATTCAATTTTTGTTGAAACAAACAAAGTTTAAATACTGGACCCTATCTTGGACCAACTTGAAAACTGGGCCCATCATCAAAAATCTAAACACATGTTTAGATTCAGCATATCAAAGAACCCCAAGAATTCAATTTTTGTTAAAATCAAACTAAGTTTAATTTTGGACCCTTTGGACCTTAATGTAGACCAATTTAAAAAACAGGACCCAAAATTAAAAATCTAAATACACGGTTAGATTTGGAATATCAAAGAACCCCAATAATTCAATTTTAGATGAAATCAAACAAAGTTTAATTTTGGACCCTTTTGACCTCAATATGAACCAATTTGATAACGGGGTCCACAAATAAAAAATCTAAATACATGGTTAAATTCAGCATATCAAAGAACCCCATATATTCATTTTATGTTGAAATCAAACAAAGTTTAATTTTGGACCCCAATTTGGACCAACTTGAAAACTGGGCCAAAAATCAAAAATCTAAATACATGTATAGATTCAGCATATCAAAGAACCTCATATATTCAATTTTTGCTAAAATCAAACAAAGTTTAATTTTGGACCCTTTGGACCTTAATGTAGACCAATTTGAAAACTGGACCCAAAATTAAAAATCTAAATACACTGTTAGATTCGGCATAACAAATAAATAAATGTGATCAAAGATTTTACAAATCTAATGCGCCATACTGTGCAATTAAAGATTACTTCTTGAAATTTTTCAATATTTGAAATTTGAAAAAAAAATAATATTTGAAGAATAATTCTTTTTAATTTCTGAAATCTGAAATGAGAAAAAATTGACCCCCCACAATTTCTTTTTATCCCCCCCCCCCCCTTTTTTTCCCCAAAAAAATTCTTTCCCTCAAGATATGGTCATAATCTCAATTCAAATTTTTCCAATGGAGTTGGCAACCATAATTACCCATTTAAATTTACCATAGTGCTAACTTAATCTATTTTATAATAGAATTAAAAATATAGTGTCAAATCTTTCATATGGATTTTTTTGTAAAAAAAAAAGATGCAACATTTGCAGATATTTTTACTGGTCTTCCTTTATAAATATGCATTTCTTTAAACATAATTTAAAAGCAGTGTAAGGGAAGTAACCAAAATGTTGTATTTGGATTACCTCCCTTACACTGTTTTAAATTAACTTTATTGTTCATTAACCATTACTTTATACATAATTTAAAAGCAGTGTAAGGGAGATAATTTCAATGATGTATTTGATTTATCTCCCTTACACTGCTTTAAATTATGTTTTGTACTAAAGTATTTGTCCATTAACCAGGACAACCTTGTTTTTCCCCCTTTTTGCCCCTAATTCCTAAACGGTTTGAGCCATAACCCCCCAAAGCAAATCCTAACCATCCCTTTGTGGTATGGAAACTTGTAGTATAATTTCAGAGAGATCCATACACCGTTCCACAGTTATTGTCTGGAAACTAGAAAATGCTTATTTTTGGCCCCTTTTTGGCCCCTAATTCCTTTACTGTTGGTACCATAACCCCCAAAATCAATCCCAACCTTCCTTTTGTGGTATTTAACCTTATGGTCAAATTTCAAAAAGATCCATTCACTTAAACTAAAGTTAGAGTGCGAAAACCAATGTGTCTTCAGACGACGACGCCGGACGACGACGCCAACGTCATACCAATATACGACCACAAAAATTTTTTGCGGTCGTATAAAAATGATAATTTCCTGCCTTTTGTTAATCACGAACATATCCTTAGATTAATCTGAATTCATTCTGAATTTATTATCCTCTTGTCATTTCCTGTTTTCATTTAGTTTAAAAATCGAAAATAAATGTGATCTATTCTCAATTAATTTACAATTTACAGTCATAAGAATCGTTCCAATAAGGACTGATACAAATCCCTTTTTCCAACTTGAAAGAAATGAATTCCAAATATCAATTTAAACGTTTTTCCAAGGATAATGATTATGCAGTGAAATAGTCGCTTCAAGTTCATTTATGCTGTGATTCCTGGTTTTAAAAAAGAGGAGCCAAACTTTTCTTGAACAGGAATGGCTCCCGAAAATAATTGAAATGAAATTGTGAACTAGTTTCAGGATCCTAGTTCTTATCTTCATATTTAAGCATCACATCAGTCAAATCATGCAATAACTGCCTACATTTGTAGCATGCCTAAGGCCTTCAAAGGTCCTAGTCCTTGAAGGACTACCGCATGTGTATAGTTAGTAAAATACGTCCTTCGTTCCTTGCTGTTACCTAACATAAGGTTTATTTTCATCTCGCGCAAAAGTGACTTAAGCCCTAAAATTCCTAGCTGAAACTCTGCAACCTGCAATCTTTGGAAATTCTTATGTTATATATAGAACAAATCTTACCTTTGAAAAATATCCTACTATATGGTATCCTTTGATATCTATTTCACACATACAATAAAACAGGAATGGATCTGTGTCATAATATAATGTTTTGTGGTCCAAAAATAACTTGGCTAGCAGACATAAATTTTGAGCATATGCCTGTAATATAATATATTAATTATCATTAATTCTATAAATGATTTATCTTAGTTATAATAAGATTGAAATATAAATTAATTAATTAAATCCAATATGATTGCCTTCCAGTATTTGTAATAATATAAGAAGAATGTGTCTAAGGACATGAATGCCCATGTTCAAGCTTTGCAATTTTTAAAGTTAAAAAGGGTGATAACTCTAGAACTGTAAGTGACTCACTGCCCAAATTCGAACTCTGTCTGTTTGTTGTAGTTCTTAGCATTGTGTATGAGTTTCATAAAATTTGGATAAGACAAACTTAAGTTAAAGTGCGTAAACTGTTCAATTGTTTTCAAGTTAAAAAGGGGGCATAACTCTAGAACGTTATATGACTCACTTTCCAAATTCGAACTCTGTTTGCGAGTTATGGTTTTTAGCATTGTGTATGAGATTCATAAAATTTGGATGAGGAAAACTTTGCAGAAAAAAAATATGGGACGGACGGAAAGACGGTCAAAGGTAACACTTAATGCCCACATTGCCTACAGCGGGGTAATAAAAAAAAAAAACACATTTATCAGACCAAATAAAATCAATTTCAAAATGTTCATAAATAATAAATGGAGAGATGATTTTAATTTCAAATGATTGTTATTTTTCATTAAAATGACTTGAAAAATGCAAAATAAAGGAAGGTGGGTATGAGAATCTAAATAAGCAATTTCATAAAATCTGTAAGATAGGGGGTTACAAAAAGAAAAAAAGTATATGCGAAAATAAATTGGTTGTACAAAATGTGAATGAATAAAAATTTGCCAACATCAAAATATAGAAATAAATATGAAAGAATTACATATATTTTTCATTCAAATAAACTTTGGAACACCAGAAAACTGTTTAATGAAATCATTTAAAAATAAATTAGTTGAAAAGTTCTCTGCATGAAATTCATGCTTGTTGTTTTTGGGGTTTACAGATGCCAAATGTTTTTGAAATAGTTTCAGAAGACGTGTCTATGCTGTTTGGTTTATCTTATAACATCAGCATTGTTGTCAACTTTGTATAGTAAATTCAGAAATTATTGGGATGTTTTTATTATTGCGAAAAATGTGACAGGGTTGTAATCGCAATAATTTAAACTCGCATTTTGGATTTTTTTTTATATGAATGAAACAGAATTTTTTTCAGTATGGCAAAAATAATAATCTCATTTTGGTCTCAAATGACAAAATTGCAATGATAAATGCACACAATAATTTCTGAATTTAAAGTATTCTATTTTATGAATTAATATTTCAATCCTAAATAACTGTGGTACCAACCTGATAATTTCTAAAAAAAAAAAACATTATTTCACTGTTCAAAGCATATTTTCTGAGTTAAAAATTCTGCAGCTATATAGCACTTTCTAGTCCGAATTGTTTTGTTGATGCATTTACGTAATAACAAGAAGAATGTGTCCATAGTACACGGATGCCCCACTCGCACTATCATATTCTATGTTCAGTGGACTGTGAAATTGAGATCAAAACTCTAATTTGGCATTAAAATTAGAAAGATCATATCATAGGGAACATGTGTACTAAGTTTCAAGTTTATTGGACTTCAACTTCATCAATAAACTGCTTCGCTGAGCGCAGCTGGATACGCCCGCAGAGGTCCAACCCTGAACAGTTGGGGCAAAAATGGACACAATATTCAAGCTTGATACAGGTCTGAATTTGGATTGTAATTAAATATTTGACATATTACAGGTTTCTGAATAAATATAGTCAAAGAACTTGAATATTCAATTAAAGATTTCTTCCTGTTGTGCAATACACTGTGCTGTTGCGCATTACTTAGTAAATCTGTTGTCAGACTATAAACAAATAAAGTTAATGTCATATTTGAAATTTATGAAAATCAAAAGGGAGCTTACATCAATAGATATAAACAATTCACCAAAGTTTCATGAGAATTGCTGACAGCATTTTTGAGTTATTGTCAGAAATGTAAAATGTAGAATTTATAAAATTCTAAAGGGAGCTTACTTAAATAGATATAAACAATTCACCATAGTTTCATAAGAACTGCTGAAAGCATTTTTGAGTTTTTGCCCGAAAACTGGAAAATCCCCCTTTTTTATGAATAAAAGATCATAACTCGTAAACGTAAAATCTAAAATTCATAAAAATCAAAAGGGAGCTCATGTCAATAGATATAAACAATTCACCACAATTTCTTGCAAGTTGGTGAAAGCATTCTTGAGTTATTGTCCGAAAACTGGAAAATCCCCCTTTTTTAATGAATAAAACCCCATAACTCAGAAACGTAAAATTTATAATTTATAAAAAACGAAAGGGAGCTCACGTCAATAGATATAAACAATTCTTCGAAGTTTTATGCAAATTGGGTACAGCGTTTTTGAGTTAATGTCCGACATGTTGACGACGGACGGACAGACGGACAACGGTATACTATAATATGTCCCGTAAACGGGCGTATAAAAACTACCTTAACCAAAAAGTTTAAACTGAAGCAGGACAGACAAACGAACAGATGGACGAGTGAACATATGAACGGACAAACGAACAAACGCACAGATCGAAAAACATAATGCCCCTCTACTATCGTAGGTAGGGCATAAAAATGAACTGATATGTACCCGAAGGGAGCTAATTCTTGCAAGTATAGCTAAAAAACTTACTTTATTTTTCCGACCATCTATTTCAAAGAATGATATGTGTCCTTTTCTATAAATTTCATTTCCTGGTGGATGCTTCAATAAACATTTTGCCTGTAGAATATAAAAGCCAAACAAATTAACAACAGGAACTTGTGTTCTTTGTTTATATGCTTCGACTAAATGTCACTTTCTATATGCTCACACAATTTTGTAAAGGTAACCAGTTTTACAGGTGGAGGATTTACATGGTTAACAGATATCCCTAAATTAATAACTAACAAAATGCTCCACATATAAGTGGCAGATCATGAGTGCTACTTGACATTTTGAAGCACTAAGATGGTCTAAAAAGCATTGAATCAGATTTCCATTACTTGATGCCTCTTAAGAAATTTGTGTAATATGCAATCAAAAACAGCTCCAGAAATGTTACTGACATATACCTTTAGAAATTGTTTCTGTGTTCAGCGTCATTTTCAATTGTAATCAGCATAGTTTTAATTGAGTTCGTCTCAGTCGATTACATTTCATGTTTATATCAAAGATCTCCAAATTGATTACTTTCAAACAAAATTGTAACTACTTATATTTTTCTCTGTTTTCACACAATTTATATCTCCACAAAATTAAAGCTTATTGTGTAATTTCAGATAAAAAAAGTTTAGATACAAAGAGGCAATCTTAGCCGATGTGACCTTATGTGCTCTGAAAGGGAAAGCAGTTCTTCAAAGTTGATATTTATTGCATTTAACTTCACATAAACAACTTTAAAATACTTTTGACATTACTCACCAGATGTCGCTCTAAGCACTTTTTACTTTTCACATACTTTAAACAATATTCACATATATAAACTATTGATGCTGATGTTAATTCCTGAAAAAGACATCAACCTGTGTTAGAAAATTGAAATTAATAATTAACAGATCTATATTCCAAGAAAAAAGTCCTGTTTTTATTTTTAAATGTGTATTTCTAAGTTCTAACATCTTTACGGAGTATAAACAGTTTCAGATGACGCTGAATAAAGAGTTGATTGATTGATTGTTGGTTACTTAACGTCCTAATAAAGAGTTGATGACAGATCTTTGACAGTATCTGTTAAATTTAATCACATCTTTTTAAAACTCAAGATGATGTAGAAATTGACATACTGTGAAAGACACCTGTCTATTATTGAAGAACATATGTATTAGTATTAACATTAGTTATCAGTCATATGTCAGTGTTGTCATGTGACATAATTTTGGGATGGCAATTTGTACTCGCCTAGGACGATAATTTGCAAATTTGCAGATTTTTATTTTGTTAATTACATGGTCTCACCTCAGCAAAATGCAATAAAACCTAAATGTATAGTCATTCCTGATTTTATTTCTTTTTAAACATTTAAACAGTATTTGTAAAAATCATTTATAACGACAATAAAGTGCATCTTTTTAAATCAAAATATTTGAACTTTGGACAGCAGAATAAAATACAATTATTGTCTTTTGATGAGGTTGATACAATGATTTATCAACCCCAGAGATATGACAATCACCGAGGCCAGCAGTCGAGGGTGAATGTCATATATCTGGGTCGGGTTGATAAATCATTGTATCATCTGAAACCAAAAGTCAACAATTGTTTTATTATATGACTTTATATCCATCACCAATTTTCTAGTACTTGCTCAAGATACTTTTAAAACGGCTCCCTGTTTTTATACTAAATATATCATCTGCTTTAGTAGTTGCTAATTTTCATAAGTTGAAATATTCAATAAAGTTTACTTAAAAAAAATAAACCAAAAACAAGAAGACAAAAATTACACCGAAAACAAGAAGAAAAAGAAAAAAACGGGAGTTTACATGATTTGATGAACCTATGTCATTGACGTTGCCTTGGAATATCTATATTTAGGTACATGGACGCTATTCCAAATCTTATATTAACCTCTCGTGATTTTAGCCGCAGTGAATATAATGTTTTATCAAAGAGGATTTCCTATGCTTTTAGCCAATGAGAAAACATAAAACTTTTAATCATATAATAAAAACTTTATAACAACCTAGGCCCTATATCATTTTAATTATAGACCCAGTTGGCTACTAAGATTTTGGTTGTAATTTCTATTTTATGTGGTGACAAATAAAAAATCCTTGAACCAAAGCATTTCAGATAAAACAGACAGCATCATAACAATACAACAAAATTGTATGGGAGACAACTCCTATCAATTACCTGTGGATACGGTGAGAAGTACCATGGTTTTATCCGATTTTGTCCTAATTCTATTAATTCTACATTTTTCATTCGAGTGACAATATCATCATTATGGACAACCATACTTCCTGTCTGTCTTGGCTTCTTTTCTGGTGGAACAGCTTCATCTAACTATGATTGAGTAAAAATAAAGTAAACAAATACATACTAGTGTGATCTAAAACAGTAAAGCATTTCATCTATTGCCATATCAATTTTCAAGGAATCTGCTTTTGTCAGTTTTAATTGTAAAATTTGATTTTTCATTATTTTATATTGAAAATTTTACAGTTAATACATGCAACAATAAAATCATCTATTTATTGTATTTTTGACAATTTTATGTCTGTTTGTTTTGCACACACATTGTTGTCAATATAATGGAATTCTATATGACTGCCATACAAGCGAGAGGTTAAGTTAGCTATAAAACCAGGTTTAATCCACCATTTTCTACACAAAGAAATGCCTGTACCAATCAGGAATATGACAGTTGTTTTCCATTTGTTTGATGTGTTTGAGCTTTTGATTTTGCCATTTGGTGAGGGATTTTCAGTTTTGAATTTTCCTTGGAGTTGGGTATTTTTGTTATTCACTTCTTTTTGTATTATGTGTTGATCCAATCTAAATGGCATACATCAATTTTTAAAACTTTTTTTGACTAGTTTTCAAATTATTGGAACAGAAAAAATTATAAGGACTCTATTTACCCTGCCTAGTATAACTTTGCTGTAGGAAGTACTGGCTATAAATAAAGATGTGGTATCTATAGTTTCTTTTGGTTTAGTTTTCCTGTGTTTTTATTCTTTTATTCACATATTTTTAAACAAAGATGCATTTAGGGACGTTTGATATTTGTGACCACCTTAAAACCATATGGAAATATAGGTTGGTAGGGACTCAAAACACATGTATTTGAGTTTTGGATCAGGAGTGCATGAAAGCAGAGTAACATAACTATTAATAGAAATTTAATTTACCAGTATATCTTCTTCAGGTCTTGGCCTTTTTCTGTTGACTGATGGGACCTTTTTATTGGTTGATGAGTTTCCATTCTGTAAATCAGTAATACGAAATACTTAAATTCCAAGATGTCATAGTATCATTGTTAAAAGATTAGATGAAAGTATTTAACAAATTGAAAAAAAAAAAAAAAAAAGAAGTGAGCTGTTAAATTAACAGCAAACCAGGTTTTTTTTGTATTTTGAAGGCACTTTTAAGGCTTGTTTGACCTGCCACATTCTGTGCCTATTTTCAAATCTATCAAGGACGATAACTCCTGAACCACCAAAGTGAAAATCTTTAATTTGAAATTGACTTCCATTTTGTCATCAGTAACAATATATCAAAATTTGAAAAGCAATGGTCAAACGGAACAGTTCATAGATTATTACATGGAAACGACATAAAGTGAAAATTGTCAATATTGAATCTGACCTCAATTTTATAATCACTAAAAACATTAAAATTTGAAAAGCATTGGTTGAACAGTTCATAAGTTATTGTACAGACTACAGAGACAACATCAAGTGTTATTTTCCAATATATCAAGGACAGTAAAAGTGAAAAGTGCCAATATCAAATGGTTAATAGGATATTACAAGGAAACCGTTGGCAGCTTCCCACCCACCCACCTTTGGAAAAACGAGTTTAAAATCTGATGAAACAAACCTGACGGAGTAACCCAGGCTTTTTACTTTCTGATATGTTTATTCACAGATACACATTGACTTGGTCCAGGGTTTACAAAGTTTCTATACTACAAAAATGGCAAAACACTGATAATATTTGGCCAATAAATAGGTTCTTCATTCAGAGTTCGCGAAAACTTATTTTGGTCCGTCGGTCATGGGACCGACAAAGCATGATTATTTGTCAGTCCTACAAAATTTTAGCCAGTCCTACAAAATCTGTCAATTTTATCCTGAAATAAAATTAATAACATATTTTATCGAAAAATAACTTTATTAATATTAGTTTTACTCTTCGCACCAACAGGCAAAATAACAATGAAGGACCAGTACAGGTCTTCTGATTGTTCTTATTTAAAGTCATCTTCACTATCCATTTCATCATCTGAATCACTTTCTCGGCTGTTACAGTATTTGTTTGCTCCATTGTAGGGTTCAATCGCTGATTGTTTGCCAGGGATGGCTCTATGAACAAATTTAGTAGGCCACGTGTAGATCGCCGCTTTGGTGTGTTTATAATAAATCCGTAAACCAGTACCGGAAATTGGCAGCGGGTACATCTGATAACTGATGTAAACACTTATTGGAAACAATTGCAGTAGATCTAATAACCAATGTAAAAAAGTGCCAAAATATGCACTACAATGGCCGTTTTTACATCGGTCATTGGGACCAGCACTAGCCTTCAAAATAGCCTCATTTTGACCGACAGGACCGACCATTTTCGCGAACTCTGTTCATTAATGAAACAGCTGTCCAGTTGAAGGTCTATCTTTTTTCTTACACAGAGATTTGTTAAAAAAAAAACCTTTTTCAAATCTTTTTTCATAACTGTGAAGTATTGAACCTCAACAAGGATATTCCATAAAGTGAAACTATCATACCTGCCAACTTTCACGATTTAGGCGTGTACTACACAATTTTGACCCTTTGTCACGATTGCACGATCGGGATCGTGAAAAAACCTCTAAAACACGATTTTGTGAAAATCTACACGAAAATATGATTGTTCATGATATTGAACTGTTCCCAAGGGAAGACAATCGTGATCAGCCAATCAAATTCTGTGTTTCTCATGATCAAATTAATTAGCCAATCAAAAACGTTTTCTCTTAAGATTATTCTAACATGCTAGATTTTGAACTTGTGTTGTATTCCTAGAGGATTGTAAAATCGTGAACATAGAAGGTTAATTTTCATCTGCAAGGAGGTTCTTAAACAGCTTAAGAATAAAAGCATGGTTGACTGACAAAATTCAATGATGCATTACAAACATAAAGATAATAAATAGTAGTTTATTCACTAATTTATTGACATTACACTTGCTGTAACATATGTCATTTTTGTATTCAATTAAATTACCAAATGGGGCAAATCATTTAAAGTACTTCATTTTTCACAAGGACCAAACAAACAGGATCGCAACAAACCCTCAAATGAGAGGTATACCCCTTAAATGAGGGACTGTCCCCAAGACATAGGACAAGGGGTCATTTTACTGTTGTAAAAAAGAAAAATTTAGATTTTTTAACTTAAAAGTGGGAAAATTCATTATATTTGGAACAACTTTAAAGTCTTTTCTAAATGAGGGGTCCAATTATTTTTAATAATAAACATGATAAAGAAGATAAAAATCCAGGAACATTACAAAATTCTTGGACATGTTTTCACCATATAATACCAGATAGATGTATAATTCTTTAGGAAAATTTTCTTCAAATAATATAGATATATGCTCATTTGTACTTAAAATTGGTCCTTACATTGAGGGGTTACCACTCATTTGGGGTGTTGTTCCCAACCTGATAAAAGTCCATCTTTGTGCCTTATTTTAAATTTTAAATGTCAACAATCATTTAATATCCTAACACAAGAAAATAAATCCTGGTCTTCTAGCTACATATTCATCTTTTCTACTGATATACTAATAATAACTAGAATCATGCTAATAAACTTAAGAAAAAGGCTTGTAAGCTCATCATACAAATATGTCTCTTTTTCTAGACCACAAAACAGCACACGCAAAATATGTCACAAAGAATTGTTGTTTGCACTAAAAACCCCATGGGGACTTTCAAAAGTTGGCAGGTATGAACTATACTTTTCTAATTTTTCCACAATACATAATATCGGATGACAAAGTCTCTTGTCAACAAATTATGATGTGCTTAAGAATTCTTACAACTATAACTATTTCTCTTTCTGGACTGGAAGGTCTGGATCCAGGCCCAGACCCTAATTTACTGGCAGCATCTTTCTTGGGAGTTTTCTGGTCTTTCCTTGGTGGTTCTAACTTGTTCATGTCCATCCTTTCCTCGGGTACCCATTCGTCCAAACGTTTGTTGACTGAAAATAAACAAAGACTTTTAAAGATTCGTCATGTAACTGTTTATTTAATTCACAACAGAGGCATGCACAGCATGCCAATAGTATTCAATTGATTGAAGCAAACAATCTAAAATAAACAGCCGCAATGAGCGCATGATACGCCTGTCACATTTTTTACGAATAAAGTTCAATAACTTCTCAATGTCAATGAAATTTGTGAAAAACTAAAGGGAGGTTATCTTAATTGATATAAACCAGTCACCAAAGTTTAATGAAAACTGCTCAAAGCACTTAAAAGGTATTGTCCGAAAACTAGAAAATCACCCCTTTTTTATGAATAAAATCTCATAACTCGGAAGTGTAAAATCTAAAATTTATAAAAATTGAAAGGGAGCTTACATCAATTGATATAAACAATTGACCAAAGTTTCTTGCAAATTGGTGAAAGCATTTTTGAGTTATTGTTCGAAAACTGGAAAATCCCCCCTTTTTTAATGAAAAAAAAACCCATAACTCAGAAACATAAACTCCAAATTTTATAAAAAAACAAAAGGGAGCTCACATCAATAGATATGAACAATTCACCAAAGTTTTATGCAAATTGGTTGAAGCGTTTTTGAGTAATGTCCGACAGGTTGAAGACAGACGGACGGACATACGGATGGACAACGGTATACCATAATATGTCCCGTAAACAGGCGTATAAAAAAGAGTGTCTTCCAAATATTTCCTAATCAAACTTAATTTATGTTCTATTTTTTACTTTAAAGTTTATGTAATATCAGATTAAATAATGTATACATTTGTTTCCAGTGACATGTTTCTTATCAAGCATCTTAGTACAAAGTAGTGACATTCAAGCTTACAAGAACATGTCCAAATGCTGATATTTCCTCCATTCTAAGACTATGAAGACATCATTTTGACTCTGAGCAGACCAGTTTTTGTTCTTATTTCTAAATACTGCATGATGAGTCAAAGATTCAGACAAATGCCAATCTAAATATTTGCAACCTAAGACTATCTTCAGTCAGCATGTGGACACTACCACACTATCACACTACCACAAGGCAACTGAGATAGTTAGGTAACAATAAGAGAATCCACTACACACTAAGATCTTAGATAATTAGTTAAAAATAATTGTCGCTGGTGATGTATTGTGATAGATCTCTGGTTCAAATATATCACAAGGTTTAGAAAGACATATGCCAGAGTGAACCACTCATAATCACTAGCATCTCGGTGTAAATTCACCACCAAGAGTGACTTTTAAGTGAATCACCTTGTGCACACTGTACATGTACTTACAATCTTCATAATGAATATAGAACATGTGCTTTCCATTGACTTCTTTCTTTCCAAGTATCTCAGCAAAGTCTGCAAAATATGTATAAAACTTTATTATTTTAAATGCAAGATCAAAACTAGTAGTGATATTAAACACTGCTTTTGTTTGTGAATGCAATACATGAAGACAACTAATAATTTATATCAGAAAAAAATCAAAAATAAGATTTTTTTTTTAAAATTGAGATTACATATTAAGCATTTATATAACCAAGTTAGAGCCCTATGAAATCTAAATTGAACAATCAACCCTGAATATATGCTGCTTTTCACAGTCTTTCATCAACATGATCAAAGTAGAAATTCCCCCATAGCTTGCAATGGAACAGCTTGCTCCTAGCAAAATAAAAACTATTAAATGAGGATGAAAGAATTATTTTTAAAAAGTTTACAGATGCGATCATATACTATCAAGTTGACATTCAATGTACTTTAGCAAAAACATGTTTCTAAACTTAGTTTTATAGTGTTGTTGGAATGCTCTCTCATGGACATATGATAAAATAAATTATAGGATATTGATTTGAAGAAATAGTGAAATAAATAATCACAGGACACAAGTTTTAAAACTGCATGGCTTCATTATTTCCATTTCATATAAAGGGAAAATACTGTCCACAGAAATTAAAACAGAAACCAAAGTCTCAAAAATAAGTTATCATCATTTTGTCTACTCAACAATGACAGGAGATTAGCAGCATACTTATATAGTGGTTCAAACTGAATAAGGCCATGGAAAAATGAATGTTGGTTTCCCCTAACATGTAAAAATTATTAAGGCCTGGCAGTCAGGAAAACATTTATATTTTATTTAATTTTTTTTTGTTTGAAAAATCAGTTTCGTTATACAGAGAATGTAGTTGTTAACCTGGTGGTAAATTCCTGTTTTACATCCTATATTGTGGTATCAGATATGGGAAACTAATGGAAGGATAATTGAGCAACGTTCATACACTTTTAAGAGATTATCAGACAATTTAAAAAAACATCATTGAAATTGACAAAAGAAACCAGAGCAACACTTTCATCTGCAAAAAAAAAAAAAAAAAAAAATTGACCCAGAGGGTAAAAACAGACCCGGCAGGGTTAGGGGAAACCATTAACTTTTAGTATTTCTTGTCTATTTGTATTACTTTATTTAGTTTATTAGGGTCTCGATAATTAGCGACAAGAAGAATTATTTAGCGACAAGAAAATAAATTTAACGTCAAGATATCTAAATAATGATTATTTCAAACAAATAGACATAGAAACATGTATTAAAGTGAGTGTGGTTTTGTTTTAAATATATGGGTATTTTTATTATTTCATAATACTGCGTGAAGAAAATAAACATTTGTTCATTGTTCTAGAACAAGTTTTTTTTTTGTTATCAAGGATATGTTTAAATAGATATATTTACAGTTTACAGTTTATAAACCAAATTATAAGATAATCTAATCTTTATTTATTTCACTCCAAACTAGGATGTATAAGTAACATAAGTCCTTGCTCAAAAATGTCCATATACATTTGTACATATACCTAGGATGGGACATGGGATTGTAAAAAATGTTCAGATTGATACATGCTTTAAAATAATATAAAAAAATAGTTTTTACTAAAAATTCACCACAAGACTACTATACCAAGTGCTACTAAATATAAAAAAAATTTAATCTTTATGAAAACAGCAAATAATCAACTGTAATAAAATTACTTTTTCTATAAATTTATTGTTTTAATAGTATTTAAACTTTCTTGACCATAAATTTGTCTTCTTATAGCTAATTTTTTTTCTTCTTGTCACTAATTAGTGAGACCGCTCTATTTAATAACATATTTAATGATGGCATCAATATTTCTTTGTTTTCTAGCAATGTGCAGTTTACTATCCAATTTTTCAGTATACAGATATGGGTAGTAAATTGCACATTGCTAGAAAACAAACTAACATGACTAAAAACAATTTAAAAAACATTGATAAAAAATTTTTTTAACCTGCCAACAGAGTCCTTGTGCTACATAGTAGATGATTTAAAAAATTGTAGAGTTCTAAACAGACCTAAACATTTAATAAAAGCATGTTTATTAAGAATTTCTATATAAAGTTAATGCTCAATTGTCCAGTAATTTTTTAAGAGTTGCTTTTAACTTGCACCTTCTTTACACATTTCCAAAGGGTGCATGTAATTGGTAGAAGGAATGATTTTGGATTATTCCAGAAATGTTCTTAAGGACCTACGATAGGGCGTGACATAAAATTCTTTCTGTTCAGTTCCTTTTCAGCATTTTTTGTAAAGCATCAGTGTTCCAGCTTGAATCTCAGGGCAGAAGGGTGCTAGTTGTCTGAAAGGGCACTTTAGCGTTATAACCCAGATTTCAAGGGCAATGTTGGACAGTGTATAAATTACCTTGAATATTGCTAGGCTCAGCTGGAGAACATTAGTTGTATTTAAACCATATTCAGAAATTAATGTGTTCTTGATGTTGGTTCCAGTAAGAATTTTTTTCCATCAAATTATCATACCATGAAGCAAAGCATATCATTTTGATGTTAATATAAACAAACTTGTACATTTGGTATGGAAAATAATCATCAGAAATTTCAATGTTTTATAACTTAATTCCAAAATAAACAAGTAGTTTTGAAAGATGGAGTTATACATGCAAAATTGAATGTTGAATGTAATTTAATTATCTACATTTAAATTACTTGTTCAAACATATAGTATATATGTTATTGAGAGTTATTTATTATCATTTGAATTGTTACAAAAAATTATTTTTAAGTGCACACCAAAGTGCTCCTCAGTAAGGAGTTTTATAAATATAACAGGTGAGACAGGAGATAATCATATTTTATATTGATGCAATTATATATTGCAAAAGGTATAAACAGTTACTTTTTTCTCCATCATTGTTAAAAATAACTTGTTGAGTGCTCCTATGTCAGGAGGATTATAAAATACAAGAAGTATTAAAAACAGGAAGTGAATCTTGTTATGTTCAAAGTACAAATTTCTTTGATTCCTCTTTAAATTTCATACTCATGGTTATGAAACAAATTAAGTCAAAACTATGTATGCCTTTAAAATTGTTTAAGATTTTATTTTTTATGTTATGCCTACTGAGATAAATTTTTTCAGGTGTACATGCTGTACATAAACATTACAAATGGATAACATGTGGACATTTCATTCTGTATTAAATATCTAGTATTTGTTCAATTATCTTAAATCCACTAATTGGCAGTAAACAATCATTAACAAAGGTGATAAAACTGCCAAAGCACTAGGTATTTAACTTAATCCCATTGTCAGTTAATTAGTGTTACACAATCAGGTAACAATTTTACCGGAAATGCCGGTAGGCATGAAAATTGAAAATTTTATTTTTTTGAAAAGGCAGAGGGGTGCATTCTTTTACTTTGGAGGGCAGAAGGGCGGGGGTAATGGCACCAAGGGCGGGCCGCCCTTCTATTTAGGGCAGGCGGGAACACTGCATCATAAAGATGCATTCAATTTTCCTCAAATGTGTATTTTAAGGAATATACAGTATGAGGCTAAATAAAACAAAAATGTTCCAATAAACGTAAGAAGCTCGTCAAACAACATTTACATTCATGCATTAAACAGTACCATCCAATGTCACAATGATTATTACATCACAGTATGGGTTGATTGTTCAATTATGTCATTTACACTGATTGACAGTTGGCATACATTTTGTTACTCCTTCATAAAAAGAAAGAACTTAAAATTGGTCTATTACAGACATATTTTATCATTCAAGTATTTAGCTGAATTGGCTACAAGTGACCCTAGATTTGTTTTCAAATAACCTTCTGTTGTCATGCAACAATCACTTTTTGGTTAATATGAGATCATATTGTTAATTTATAATGCAATATATAGATAGGCTTTATAGCAGGAAGTTGATTGGTTTTAAATATCACTAAAAATGTGTCACAAATCCAGGAGAGATAGGTGATGATGATGAATGGCTGCTTAAATGTCCAGAGGTAAATTAGTATGCATATATAGGACAAAACATTTTAATGTAATATGAATGATAACCCTGCTTTGTACAAGACCAACATGCTGAGCCTGATTTTAAAGTTCCAGTTCACAAGGTAACAGTCTGCAGGAAGACATATCACCTTACCGGGACACATTATTCCGACTCCGAGCTGATAAGTCTTTGCTTTCAGATCTAGAGCAGCGGAATATAACAATTGAATTATTTGGGTTACTGTTTTCCAATTTATCACAAAAGGATTAAGTTTATTAATTATTGAATTTTTTAAAACAAGGCATGGATATGACAAAGTGTCAAATATTTGAAATGAAGATTTCAATTTTAAACGCATGTGAATGTTCCATATTATGACCCCACCTGTGTGTTTACATGATTTGATTATCTCCCTTAGAATAACTTACGCCATCCATCGCCATTCTTCAATAAAACTGGCACTCTACACCCTTCTACTATTTCAGCCTGAAAAATTTAAATAAAAATAATTTCAAACATATAACTTGACATGACAAAATAGGTCAAAATAAGGGTTAAAGGCTTCAAAATTAGAAAAATATAAGGGACCTGCACTTCCGTCATCACGGTCATATTGTAGCTCTGCATTGAATGAACAAAACAATTTTTACGCATGGCTTCTTATATAATTTTAAAAGTATTGATTTTAATATTAAATAAATGAATTATACTTTCATTCTATCGTTTTAGTTAATAACTTATCATCTGATAAAAACAATAATGGAATTATTCCGTGCGAGTCTAAAATTACTAACTTACTCGCAACTTCCTGTTTTTACTTTCACTTTGACATTGTCCACATGATTTTCTAATTTTCCTACATAAATAAAGGCAGTTATCAGGGGGAACACAATTATGGCTGCAGCTGTAGCTGTAAAGGAAGAACCGGCTGAAATTTTGGATCTTGAAATCAGGTTAACTTGTATGGCAGTTTTATAAGAATAAGTTGAATATTGAATAACCATAGAAATATACATTGTCTCTAAATATAAATTTATTCGTACAAGGCTTAGAAACAGGTAGAAAGCGATTCTTTTTCAAGCATTTATATCCAGTTTTGGGCCGATATATTGAGGGTAAAACCATCATTTTTTAATTTGGAGCAGACAACATAAAATTTCTGCGAACCTGTAATTGTAAAGGCTGTATTTTTTTATTGACGTCATAATTTATTAATAAAACTCTTACAGAAATGCTTTGTCAACATCACAAATGAATATACGGTCAATGCTATTTGACTGCATAAATAGCACAACAGCAGTATATATCCCAATAGGCACACATCTTGTTTCACAAGTTATAAATTATGAGCAACAACTGGATTTTGCAATAGATATAAGAAGATGTGGTATGAGTGCCAATGAGACAACTCTCCATCCAAGTCAAAATTTATAAAAGTAAAACCATTATAGGTCAAAGTACGGTCTTCAACACGGAGCCTTGGCTCACACCGAACTGCAAGCTATAAAGGGCCCAAAAAATTACTAGTGTAAAACCATTCAAACGGGAAAACCAACAGTCTAATCTATATAAAAAATGAGAAACGAGAAACACTAATGAACCACATCAACAAACGACAACTACTGAACATCAGATTCCTGACTTAGGACAGGTGCAAACAGTTGCAGCGGGTTTAAACGTTTTAATGGTACCAAACCTTCACCCTTATCTGAAACAATAGTGTAACATCACAACATAGAAAGACACTCTATAAAATATCAATTGAAGTCTGTTTTTGTAATCATACTTTTTGGCAATTATTTTTACATCTATGCTGAAAATCATAAGCACACTTTTGGTGTAATCACATACAAATACTTTAGTTCCGAGATAGTCCATTTTGTTACTAGGATTTCCAGAGAACTAGAAATTCAATGTGAACCAGAATACCGATAGATATTACCTGATAACTTTACTGATAATGGAATAATACTGGTCTTAATCATCAATAAAAAAAATATTAAACCATATAAGATTGAGATTTGGGTTATATCTATTGGTTCTTTACTTCATTTTTTGCTTGCACAAATCTTTCAAGTTATCAGTCAAATTTCTCAAGATTTTCAATAGCTACCCTATTACCAAATTTAAATATTGGTCCAATTTCACAATTCCATACAATTTGGGAATCAGAAACTCCCGATAGATATTTGTCATACATTTATTAAACAAAACAAAATACAGGTGACAGCAATATGTAACTTTTCACAGAAAAAATCTACTTAATAAACTAAAGACTGAGCAACACCAACACGACCAGAACCAATGGTGATCACAGGTACTGCAAAAGGGTAAACAGGTCCAGCTCTAGATGTGACACCTGTCATATTACTTATATGAAATAAGATGAAAAGAGAAAAAAATTGTTTCTATTTCAAAATTTTACATTCAAGTTTTAGGGTAAGAAAATCTACATGAACAAGGGTTTACAAATTTTGATGTTTTAAGGTTAAAGAAGAGTCAATTACCAATCAGGTATATAGTGTGATGCCTAATCACTTGATATATCAACAAAGAAGAAACAAGACTGTTACTAATATAAACAACACAGATGTAGAAAAATTTAAATAGCACAAAGTACAACACTGAAAACTAAATCAAGAGCAACATGAACCCCTGTTTAACAAAACATTGGGTAATTCTCCATATCTGAAATATTTATTCCTGTATTAACTTTAACTTTTATTTTTTATTTAGGATTATAGAATTATGTCAAGAACAGCCTGATGGAATAACAGATGCTATAATTATGAAAGATTTACCATTATGTAGCCCACAACAGCGAGTTACTTGTATAAATAGACTTTTGTCCACAGTAAGTCATTCAAGTAAAAGTACTGTGATACTGTAATCTCAATCCATAGCTGATTGTTCATTCTTAGCCCTAAGACTAACATTCTTACTATGAATCGGACATTGGCAAAACAATTGTTTTAAAAGACTGTTAGACTTTCCTGTGGTTCCAGTTTGAAATCTATTTAGAAAGGACGCAAGAAATTTTGGCTAAATTATAAGCTTGTTTTTATTTTTGCTAAAAATTTATGGGTCACGATTACATTTCGGCTAATTAAATTGTTCTCCCTGTACAGGTACCGGTAAATAACAGATAAAATTTATCTATATCAGTACTAGTGTTTGATATAAGATATATGAAATATTACTTATAGATAATTCAAAATCTTTTAATCTGCATAAAAATCCGGTCAATGAAAAGTGTGCTAGTTTAAAAAGAAAAAATGAGAACTAAAAGAAGTAATATCAACCTTACGATTGGTGCAATTTGTGGGAACAATTTACTCTTTTCCAGTGATTATGATGTGTATAGAATACATAAGACAGTTTAGTCCTCCAGAAAAAAATGCACCAATTACTTGGCAGAGTATCAGAATGTCCTACCACAGAGTATGTATCCTGTCAAAAAATTATATATTCTGGAGTCAATTGTCAGTAATATAAAAATAATCTATTGATACAAATTTTAAAATTTCATCATTTTCTTTGCAGGGTAAAATAGATTTACTGAGAAGTGGTAACAAACTGATCTACAAACTGAAGGATCCTGATGCTGCAAGGTATGGTACAAAGAGACAAATTCCTATAAAAAGATTGTCAACTGTTTTTTTTATACATAAAAAAAAAATATATTACAAATATCACAAAATTAAAATTGAATTTGAATTTACCAAAATACGTTTTTATCTGTACTTTGTTACATAGATATTTATATTAGGGCTATTCCATTAAAATGTATGTGGTAGGGTAGGAAGGGAAGTTTAATTATGGAATGTAGGTCATGGGTCTTTTTATACGACCGCAAAAAAAATTTTGTGGTCGTATATTGGTATGACATTGTCGTCGTCGTCGTCGTCGTCCGAAGACACATTGGTTTTCACACTCTAACTTTAGTTTAAGTAAATTGATCTCTATGAAATTTTACCACAAGGTTTAATACCACAAAAGGAAGGTTGGGATTGATTTTGGGGGTTATGGTACCAACAGTTAAGGAATTAGGGGCCAAAAAGGGGCCAAAAATAAGCATTTTTGTAACTTCCAGACATAACTTGTGTGTTAGTGTTTGGATCTCTCTGACATTGTACCACAAGGTTCCATACCATAAAGGGAAGGCTGGGATTGATTTTGGGGGTAATTGCCTCAAAAGTTTAGGAATTAGGGGCCAAAAAAGGGGCAAAAAACAAGCATTTTTCTAGTTTCATGACAATAACTTGTGTGTAAGTGTATGGATCTTTCTGAAATTGTACTACAAGGTTCCATATCACAAAGGGAAAGCTGGAATTGAGTTTTGGGGTAATTGCCCAAAAAGTTTAGGAATAAGGGGCCAAAAGGGGACCAAAAAACACATTTTTCTAGTTTCCAGACAATAACTTGTGTTCAAGTGTATGGATCTCTCTGAAATTGTCTGCAAGGTACCATACCACAAAGGGAAGGCTGGGATTGATTTTGGGGGTAATTGCCTTAAAAGTTTAGGAATTAGGGGCCAAAAAGGGGCAAAAAAACATGCATTTTTCTAGTTTCAGGACAATAACTTGTGTGTAAGTGTATGGATCTTTATGAAATTGTACAACAAGGTTCCATATCACAAAGGGAAAGCTGGGTTCGAGTTTGGGGGTAATTGCCCTTAACGTTTAGGAATTTGGGGCAAAAAAGGGAAAAAAAACAAGCATTTTTCTAGTTTCCAGACAATAACTTGTGTTCAAGTGTACAGATCTCTCTGAAATTGTACTGCAAGGCACCATACATTGTAACACAAAGGGAAGGCTGGGATTGAGTTTGGGGGTGATGAATCATAAGGGGGTTCAAAAAATTTGAGGGGGGATTTTTTCCCCCTTTTTTTTCTTTAAAATTTTCCGTTTTAAATTGGTTATTTCTGATTTTTATATAAAAGCAAATAATAATGATATGGTTTGAATAGGTAAATTAAAAAATTTTAAGTTCTTAGACCACATTCATTCTGTGTGAGAAACCTATGCTGTGTCAAATATTTAATCACAATCCAAATTCAGAGCTGTGTCAAGCTTGAATGTTGTGTCCATACTTGCCCCAACTGTTCAGGGTTCGACCTCTGCGGTCGTATCAAGCTGCTCCCAGCGGAGCATTTTATTTCAGTATGCACCTATTACCATTATGCAAAATTATTTAAAAAATGGTTCTTGGTTGTAGGGATATTTTGAAAGTCCCTTCCTACCCTCCCACATACATTTTAATGGAATAGCCCTTAAAGATAATTTTGAATTCTTATACATGTATACATTTGTCTAAATTGTCATGTACTTGTACATATTTTCTTTAAATGCTAACAGAACATTTCAGAGTTGTATAACTATTATGAAATAAAAAAATATAATTGAGACAAAATTAACATATATTAATTTCTTGAATTTGCATAATTTGGCAACTCTCGTTTTTTGCGCAATTTTTGTCAAAATGATCTTTAAGTTCATTTATATCTTGCTGAAATACGTCAAATCTCTCTCATAATGTAATTGTAATGATGTAAGTCAAATTGTGTCATCAGGCTTCACATAGTATTTTACGTTATCTTTATTAAGCCTGAGCATTAAATTGGAATAATGCTATATGATGATACAAGACAATTTCTTACTTTATTTAATTTACATGGCTAAACAAGGCCCAAAAATATATGATCTCTGTTGGTTTTTTTATTAAGACTCATTATTGTCTATCTGCAGTCACCATGTGTTTATAATTATTGAGTGTATATAAAGTGTATTATTTTACGTGGGCACCAATTTTCGTGGATTGAGTAAATATGTATTTTCATGGATATTTGATTTGGTGGTTTTGCAAAAGTCTGCATAAAAGCCTATAGAAAATTTGTTGTTAAGTCTCCCAAACGATGTTTGGGAAGACTTATTGTTTTTGCTCAGTTCTTATTATTATTATTATTATTCTTCTTCTTCCTCTTCCTCTTCCGCCGCTTTTAAATTTGAACTTGTCCGCACCCGTTCTCCAAAACCGCTTGTCAGATTAACTTAGGGTTTCACAATATGTTAGACTAACATATCTAGTGGTGCAATTAGGGTTTTGTTTGTGCAATGGGGTTTATAAAGGGGTACTTTGAGGGGCAAAAAGAAAAGAGGGTTTTACTATATAGAACCCTATGGGATTTTATTTTTTAAAATTTTCAAATGATTATAAATTGAAAACCGTTTGAGATAGACACAATCTTTTTAATTGAAAATGTTCTAAATGATAAAACCCATTAAATGAAATACAGGGTTAGTCCCCAGGGTTCACCCCCACCCCCTGCCATTTAAGAAAGTTCTTATACCTTGTAAGTGGTCAAGATCCCCACCCCTAAACCATATATATTCTGGTTTGTCATGCTAAGATGGTTTGAATGATATACAGGGTTAGTCCCCAGGGGTCACCCCGACCCCCTGCCATTTGAGAAAGTTCTAATATCTTGTAAATGGTCGACATCCCCACCCCTAAACCATATATATTCTGGTTTGTCATGTTAAGATGGTTTGAATGATATACGGGGTTAGTCCCCAGGGGTCATCCCGACCCCCTGCCATTTGAGAAAGTTCTAATATCTTGTAAAATGGTCGAGATCCCCACCCCTAAACCATATATATTCTGGTTTGTCATGATAAAGCACATGAAGTGAAGTACAGGGTTAGTCCCCAGGGGTCACCCCCACCCCATGCCATTTAAGAAAGTTATAATACCTTTGTAAGTGGTCAAGATCCCCACCCCTAAACCATATATATTCTGGTTTGTCATGCTAAGATGGTTTGAATGATATACAGGGTTAGTCCCCAGGGGTCACCCCGACCCCCTGCCATTTGAGAAAGTTCTAATATCTTGTAAATGGTTGACATCCCCACCCCTAAACCATATATATTCTGGTTTGTCATGTTAAGATGGTTTGAATGATATACGGGGTTAGTCCCCAGGGGTCATCCCGACCCCCTGCCATTTGAGAAAGTTCTAATATCTTGTAAAATGGTCGAGATCCCCACCCCTAAACCATATATATTCTGGTTTGTCATGATAAAGCACATGAAGTGAAGTACAGGGTTAGTCCCCAGGGGTCACCCCCACCCCATGCCATTTAAGAAAGTTATAATACCTTTGTAAGTGGTCAAGATCCCCACCCCTAAACCATATATATTCTGGTTTGTCATGCTAAGATGGTTTGAATGATATACAGGGTTAGTCCCCAGGGGTCATCCCGACCCCCTGCCATTTGAGAAAGTTCTAATATCTTTGAAATGGTCGAGATCCCCACCCCTAAACCATATATATTCTGGTTTGTCATGATTAAGCACATGAAATGAAATACAGGGTTAGTCCCAAGGGGTCACCCCCACCCCATGCCATTTAAGAAAGTTCTAATATCTTGTAAGTGGTCAAGATCCCCACCCCTAATCCATATATATTCTGGTTTGTCATGCTAAGATGGTTTGAATGATATACAGGGTTAGTCCCCAGGGGTCATCCTGACCCCCTGCCATTTGAGAAAGTTCTAATATCTTGTAAATGGTCGAGATCCCCACCCCTAAACCATATATATTCTGGTTTGTCATGATAAAGCACATGAAATGAAATACAGGGTTAGTTCCAAGGGGTCACCCCCACCCCATGCCATTTAAGAAAGTTCTAATATCTTGTAAGTGGTCAAGATCCCCACCCCTAATCCATATATATTCTGGTTTGTCATGCTAAGATGGTTTGAATGATATACAGGGTTAGTCCCCAGGGGTCATCCCGACCCCCTGCCATTTGAGAAAGTTCTAATATCTTGTAAATCGTCGAGATCCCCACCCTAAACCATATATATTCTGGTTTGTCATGCCAAGATGATTTGAATGATATACAGGGTTAGTCCCCAGGCATCACTAATGCATATAACTTGACTGGACCAAACCAATTTTCACTGGACTTTGCCCAATGTCAGGCGACCCTGGGAATTACGAATTATGGGAGCTTCGTTTGGGAGACTTTGTAACAGCATCCTGTTACAATCATTTCTTGTTTGTTAAGCATTTAAATTTGGTGTTCATCTGCACCCAAGAAAATGATATACCATAAATAATGACGAATCCACAGTAACATATTTTGTATATATTCTTTTGTAGCCAAGCCAAAGGAGGAGATCATCAAGAGAAAGTAGTTTATCAAATCATTAAAGAAGCTAACAATAAAGGTAGAAGATGTTTATCTTAATTTACTATACACTTAATATGGCCAACACTATATGCACATAATATTTAAATGATTTGCATAATTAGACATCCTTAACTCTTATTTGTTACAAGCACTTTAGTAGTTATTTTTTGTGACAGTATATATTTTTTGATACATTTCACTCTTGACACAAAATTTATGTAATATATTTAGTTAAGGAAAATCATGTTGATAAAATGATAAAGATCATGAAAAAATATTGTGACCATTTTTTTTTGTCTATTGTTTCTTTATTTTAGAGTTAATAAGTGCTCTTCATGGACTGGCTTTTATTGTAATTTTTATGATCTTTTATGTACATTTTGTCTACTGATAGAGACTAAAGAACATGAGGGTGGAGATCTAACAAAATTAGTTTAATTCTGTCACATTTTCCTGTTCCTGTTCCAAGTTGCAGTATGTCATATAACTTAACGTTTTTTTTCATTTTTTGGAGAATAGGATATGTATATATATTAATGTTTATATTAAACTTGTTTACAACTTTTATTATACGACCGCAAAAAAATTTTGAGGTCGTATATTGGTATGACGTTGGCGTCGTCGTCGTCGTCGTCGTCGTCCGGCGTCGTCCGGCGTCGTCGTCCGAATACACAATGGTTTTCGCACTCTAACTTTAGTTTAAGTGAATGGATCTCTATGAAATTTTACCATAAGGTTCAATACCACAATAGGAAGGTGGGGATTGATTTTAGGGGTTATGGTACCAACAGTTAAGGAATTAGGGGCCAAAAAGGGGCCGAAAATAAGCATTTTTTGTAACTTCCAGACATAACTTGTGTGTTAGCATATGGATCTCTTTGACATTGTACCACAAGATTCCATATCACAAAGGGTCAATGCTGGGATTGATTTTGGGGTTAATTGCCTCAAAATTTTAGGAATAAGGGGCCAAAAGGGGGCAAAAAATAAGCATTTTTCTAGTTTCATGACAATAACTTGTGTGTAAGTGTATGGATCTTTCTGAAATTTTACTACAAGGTTCCATTTCACAAAGGGAAAGCTGGAATTGAGTGTTGTGGTAATTGCCCAAAACGTTTAGTAATAAGGGGCCTAAAAAGGGGTTTAAAATAAGCATTTTTTAGTTTCTAGACAATAACTTGTGTTCAAGTGTATGGATCTCTCTAAAATTGTATTACAAGGTACCATACCACAAAGGCAAGGCTGTTATTGAGCTTGGTTTGGGGGGAAAGGGGGTGGGGGTGATGAATCATAAGGGGGGCGGGGGTCAAAAAAGGGGTAATTTTTTTTTTCCTTTTTTTTTTTGTTTAAAATTTACATTTTAAGTTAGTTATTTTTTATCACGAAGAGAAAGTAGGAATTGAGTTTTGGGGTTAATTGCTCAAACATTTATGAATAAGGGGCCAAATATTGGTCGAAAATAAGGATTTTTTTAGTTTGCAACAAAAACTTGTGTTCAAGTGTATGGATCTCTGTGAAATTGTATTGCAATGTACCATACCACAAATTGAAGGTTGTGATTGAGGTGGGGGATGATGAATCAAAAGGGGGTTGAAAAAATGTGTGGGGGGTAGGATTTTTTTTTTTCCTTTTTTTTTTCTTTAAAATTTTCCATTTAACATGTTTAAAGATGGTTGTTTCAGATTTATATATGAAAGAAAATAATAATGATACGGTTATATATCATGAGGAACTGAAATTTAAAATTATGTATATTGGAAATTTAGGTTACATTGGAAAGTAATAATTGGCTTTGGGGGTGGGGGGGGGGGGGGGGGGGGGGGGGTGGTGGTTATGGCTCTAATGTTTAAGGAATAAGGGGAAAAAAGGTTAAAAAACAAGGGTTTCCATTTTAATAGACAAATAATTGAGTAAAGAACATTATTTAAAAGCAGTGTAAGGTTGGTAATTCAAACTCATTTAAATATCTCATCTACACTGCTTTTAAATTATGTAAATTGGAAATTTGCCAATAACTTTATTGTTAATAAATGCATTGGAAATTTGCCAACAATTTTAGTGTAATAAACTTCATTGGAAATTTGCCAATATAAAATTTTGCTGATGAAGGTTTTTTGTTTACCTTTAGCCTTGACTATGAAGTCATTTTCTATTTTTAATGCCTTATGATGTAGTTGAATTATTTAATACTTTTATGATGTGTTTAAATGGGGTTTTGTCATGTTTATGGTTGCAAATTTATTGTTTTAGTATAATAAACTCCATTTAAAATTTGCCAATAAAAAAAATTTTTGTTTATTTTTAGCTATGATTATGATGTCATTTTCTATTTTACTTTTATGGTTGCAAAGAAATTTTTATTTTTAGATATTACTGTTAAATGATGCTGATTAAGGTTTTTGCTATGTTTAGCCATGACTATGATGTCATTTTCTATTTTAATATCTGTTATGATGTATTTAAATGGGCTTTTATGGTTACAAAGGAATTTTATTTTTAGATATTACTATAAAATGTTGCTGATGCTGATTAAGGATTTTGTTTATTTTTAGCCATGACTATGATGTCATTTTCTATTTTAATACCTTTATGATGTAATTTCCATTTTTAGATATTACTGTTAAATGATGCTGATTAAGGGTTTTTTGCTATGTTTAGCCATGACTATGATGTCATTTTCTATTTTAATATCTTTATGATGTATTTAAATGGGCTTTTATGGTTACAAAGGAATTTTATTTTTAGATATTACTTTAAATGTTGCTGATTAAGGATTTTTGTTTATTTTTAGCCATGACTATGATGTCACTTTCTATTTTAATACCTTTATGATGTATTTAAATGGGCTCCCATGTATTTAGATTTTTAATTATTTATACATGTTACCAAATTGGTCCACATTGAACAAAAACGGTCCAAATTTCAACTTTATTACATTACATCAAACATTGAATTCTACATATTCTTTGATATATTGAAATTAACAAACAATTTAGTTTATGGATATTCCACCATAATAGGTAAATTAAATTTTTTCCAGTTCTTACACCACATTCATCCTGTGTCAGAAACCTATGCTGTGTCAAATATTTAATGACAATCCAAAGTCATAGCTGTATCAAGCTTGAATTTTGTGTCCATACTTGCCCCAACTGTTCAGGGTTCGACCTCTGCGGTCGTATCAAGCTGCGCCCCAGCGAAGCATTTTATTAGACTTAAGGTGGTACATAACACTACAGGGAGATAACTCTGTAAAAATCAGCTGAACGTTTTAATCACAATCTATTGTTAAGGAAATATTAAGCTTCTCAATGATCAAAATTAGTGTTTGTCAAACTCCTATATATCCAATGAAAGTTTTCCGATAAAGTGTGTGGTTCAAGTTTTTTGAAATATTTCTATTTTTGTCAAAGGGTCAAAGTAAATATTTTGTCAAAATTTTATGAAAATTAAAAGAGCCAAATTAATTTTAGTCAAAGTGTTTGGTGCCACCTTAAAATGGTTTGAAGACTAACATTTTGTGTAGACAACTGTCTATTGTTGAAGACTGTTTGTTGCCATTTAGATGCATTTACATATTTTTGTTGTTGGGTGGCTGTGTCATTGACGTATACCCCACATCTCCTTTTATTCATGATACAGTGTAACCTATTGAAACCAAAACCTATTTAAACTGGGTGAAAGGCATTCAGGTCATACAGGTCTCACTGTATGTAAAACTTCTTTAAAATAAAAATAAAATGAACCAAATCATACAGTCATTTGTTTTCCTTCATACTAAATCAGATATAACCACTAGATTTTGAAAATCATGCCACAAGGGTCTGGATGGGGTTTACAGAATAGAGAATAATGGACCAAGAGTACATAAAAATGAAGAAAAATAGACCTAAAAAATTAAGAATAGAGAATAATGGGGTCCTAAAATAAGATTAAAAAATAACAGTCAAAATTAATAAAGAATGGAGAAAAATGATTGTGATTTCAGGGCCTTTTATAGCTGACTATGCGGTATGGGCTTTGCTCATTGTTGAAGGCCATACGGTGACCTATAGCTGTTAATTTCTGTGTCATGTGGTCTCTTTGGAGAGTTGTCTCATTGGCAATCATACCACATCTTCTTTTTTATATTGAAAAATACAGAATACAGAAATGAGATTCCCATCATCCAGACCCTCATTCGTAAGCCAGTTTCAGGTATAAAACCACTTATTCATAGCCCCATTGCTTTCTATGTTAAATTCTGCAATTTCAAGCATAAATGGCTACTTTGTCTTAAGTTCAAATAAAGTGGTAGTTATTTCATGTCAAAACTGTACCTTATGCTGACTTGTACTGAAAAAATCAACATACCTTTAATTGCATATTAGAGCGAACTGGTTCCCGGAAGTTTGATAGTACAAAAACAGGAACTTCTGATCTGAACAACAGGCCAAATGAGCCCTCCTATTAAAATTTCATATACTTCTTTATTATTCAAATAAAACTTTCAACAAGGGTTCTACAGTGATCCCAAGTCCCCAAGCTTTCATTTGATACTAAAACTACCCAAATATTCCCACTATTGACAAAGATACAGCTATGCGTAGGAACTATTTTGTTTAAATTATGTACTACTTTCTTGTATGTTCTTCCCGACCTGGCCTGAATTAGTGGTTCTATACCTTCAGTGTATTTGGAGAGGAAATGGCGATGGAGAGAATAGGATGTCTTAACTCCTCCTTTGACCTAAATAATCATGTATCATATTTATATCATTCAAATGTTCTAGGAATCTGGATAAGAGATATAAGATATAAATCCAACTTATTACTGACTCAAGTCAACAAGATATTAAAGAATTTGGAAAGTAAAAAATTAATTAAAGCAGTTAAATCTGTAGCGGTAAGTATATATTTTGTCAGTTAGGTCGATAAATTCTATGTTTAATGTCACCTGGTAGTGCAAAACTTGATGGAAAGAAGACAATTCAAGAGGTGATTAAATTTGAAACATGATGCATTTAAAATTAGAAATTAGACAAAGAATGACTATGGTAGATATTTATGAAAAGTTTGTCTTTGTTCAACAGCTTGTTATTGCAATGAAAGGACCAGAAATTTTATTCAAAATTTATATGAAATATATTTGAGTATGTTAATTTAAAAAATCTTTCTAATGTGGAAAATTTTGACCAACTTTTGAGACTATTAAATTGATGGAAAACATAAAATCAGTATAGAACATCCTTTGTAGTAAATACCTTATGAATTTAACCATTTCTTTCATTTAATTTTGTATTAGAAGAAAAGTAACTATCCTGCCATACATCTTCTGATAGAGAAGTTTGGTAAAATGAATTGATTAGTCTGTCTGTCTGTTAATCCAGCAACCAATTATATCAGCAAATTATCATTCATATGTTAAATGAATCGTAGTAGAACTCCCTAATTTGTCTATATTCTATTCAGGCCTCAAAGAAGAAAGTATACATGTTATATGACTTAGAACCTGCCCAGTCAGTCACTGGAGGAGCTTGGTATAGTGATCAAGATTTTGAATCAGAATTTGTAGAAGTATTGAATCAACAATGCTTCAAGTTTTTAGAGCAGAAAGTATGAACTAGTTTCAAACAAGCTTAGAACAACATAGAATAAGTAACAGTTTATAAATAATATTTAGAGAAAAGAACCTATTATAAAATCTAGATACATGTAATATATTCACTGTGTATCCATGGAGATTGTTTAGCCATGTATCTTCAGTCATAGTTCATTGACTTTGAATATTTGTATAACTTACATGTTTAAGTATTTCTATTTTAATATTTGTATTATCAAAATAACAAAAAGGTGAGACATATTTCTGTGTAAACATTTTAAACTTCTTGCAATCTATCAAACATCTATCAAAAACACATAATGATCCAAAGGCTAGTAAATGATTATGTACTGTAAATTCCAAAATTATTGCGTCCAATTATTATTGCAATGTTTGAAGAATGGACATAAATGCAAGATTAATTATTGCAAATTCAGGAAAAGCTGCATACAGATATCAGAATGCGAGTTTTTATTATTGCAGTTCTCACCCAGACGCATTATTCGCAATAATAAAAACATCGTAATAATCTCTGAATTTAAAGTATTGGACAATACTGAATAAGGGGTGTTAAAAAAAAAAATCCATAAAAACATGCATGAACCACAGATGACACATTGAAATCTCAACAATGGGTCTGTGTTTTAGTACAGTAAGTGTTAGAGAAATTCTAAAATCACCTCTACAAATTGTTATCTCAATTTCAAAGTGCCCTCCTTCAGGGCTAGGATAAGGTTCCATGTATAATTTAATGGAAAACAGCTCTAAATATCAAAATCATCTGAAGAGGTATTTTAAATTTGCATGATCAAATGTTGGAAATTTTTAATGATTTCTATTTGAAGAATAATGGTAGAAATTTTAATAATTACAGGCAGCCATTGCACGAGATACCAAAACAGACCCAATTGCTCAAAGAAATGCTTCATTCACACCTTTACATGATGTGTGGAAGTTCATATCAGAGTTAGGGATAAGTAAGGTAAGTAGTTCTACCCAGAACTGTTTTAATATTACTGTTTTCTTGTTAGTTATAGATAAATCATATTATTACATTGGTTGTAATGAAATACCGTGATATCCCGATCAAATAAAAACTGATAGTTTCACATGTTAATAAAAATCTGATAATTTTACTCCTCTGACATCATACAACAATGAGTGTTGTCAAGACATGATGTTACATTAAAACAAAAAAGAGAATGCTTAGAAAAAGATTAAGATCCTTGTATTTTCTACTTTATATCAATTATAAGGAACTTGTTTGATGTAATGAAAAGAATAACTTATCTAAGATTTCAAAAATTGAAAAAATATTCAACTCTTGACCACACTACACCGATAATAAACTAATGTGGTGAATTAATGTTTTGTTCAGTCACTCATTGAATATTTTTCAATATTTGAATTTTTGGATAAGTTATTCTCTGAAGAATCTTGTAAGACAAAAGTAAAAAATCTGATGTAGTTCTGTAGGAAATTCTTTTTATCATCATTGCAATTGTCTGTGAAAAAAAATTATAAAGTCTTTTATTCTATTTCAGGTTCAGTTAACCAAAGAAGACATAGAAACAATTCTGAATACCTTGATATTTGATGGGAAACTGGAATGTACCATTGTTGCATCAGCAGGGGGTTCAGGGGATGCTGGGAGATCTAAGCTGTACAGAGCTATAAATCCACTTGTGGAGACTACAGGACTTATGAGAATGCCATGTGGTTCATGCCCTGTAAGTTAGTTTTAAACATTAATAATTGAAAAAAATATAACTTATATTTAAAAGATTCACTAATGGTTTTCTTCATGCAGAATGTATAATGTATCCAGTAGACAGTAGCCAGTTTTATACGACCGCAAAAAATTTTTGCAGTCGTATATTGGTATGATTTTGGCGACGTTGTCGTCGTCGTCCAAAGACACATTGGTTTTCGCACTATAACTTTAGTTTAAGTGAATGGATCTCTATGAAATTTTACCATAAGGTTAAATACCACAAAAGGAAAGTTGGGATTGATTTTGAGGGTTATGGTACCAACAGTTAAGCAAAAAGGGGCCAAAAATAAGCATTTTCTAGTTTCCAGACAATAACTTGTGGAACGGTGTATGGATCTCTCTGAAATTATACCACAAGTTTCCATACCACAAAGGGATGCATTAAGGTCCAAAGGGTCCAAAATTAAACTTAGTTTGATTTTAACAAAAATTGAATTCTTGGGGTTCTTTGATATGCTGAATCTAAACATGTGTTTAGATTTTTGATTATGGGCCCAGTTTTCAAGTTGGTCCAAGTTGGGGTCCAAAATTAAACTTTGTTTGATTTCAACAAAAATTGAATATATGAGGTTCTTTGATATGCTGAATCTAACCATGTATTTTGATTTTTGGGCCCCGTTATCAAATTGGTCCACATTGAGGTCAAAAGGGTCCAAAATTAAACTTTGTTTGATTTCATCAAAAATTGAATTCTTTTGATTCTTTGATATGCTGAATCTAACCATGTATTTAGATTATGGATATTGGACCACAATAGGTAAATTAAAAAATTTTAAGTTCTTAGACCACATTCATTCTGTTTCAGAAACCTATTGTGTGTCAAATATTTAATCACAATCCGAACTCAGAGCTATATCAAGCTTGAATGTTGTGTCCATACTTGCCTCAACAGTTCAGTGTTCAACGTCTGCGGTCGTATCAAGCTGCACCCAGCGGAGCATTTTATTAAGTATTGGCTTGTTTTAAATGAAACATTTTTAATATCGGTACTGTGGATGCATACATTTTTGTGGATTGAAGAACAATTGTATTTTCATGGACATTTGATGTTGTGGTTTTTGCCAAAGGAAATTTGTACTTTGTTGAACATTTAAATTTGTGGTTTATCTATACCCACAGAAACCACAAAAATTGGTATCCCATGAATAATAATGAATTTACAGTATTTTTTTTTCAGTTTATAGAAAATCAATTTTTACTAATTTCAAAACAGTCTGTGCCAAAAACTATTTTACCAACTATCAAGAAAGCTATTTTCAAGCAAATGCTTTTATATGTCTGAACATTTTTTTTTATTTGCTCAAACCAATTTACTAGTCAGGGGCTTTAATAGGGCTATTGGTTTGTTGCACAGACTGCAAACTCTAAGATTGCAACTCTCTCAGACCAACTTAAGCAATTTTAGCTGTACAATGTCTTACTTGACAGTTAGGGCCTTTTTCCTACTGCTTAGTGCCAGACAGTAACCTTAAGATCACATTAATTTTTTGGATAAGTTTATTGTATATTTTAGTCTATTTATAAGGCCACATAGGCTTAATCCTAAATGTTTTATAGGATTTAAGATAATTTATAAATAAGTATAATTCATTTCTGTTGTTGCAGGTGTTTGACAAATGCTATGAAGGAGGAGCTGTGTCCCCAACAACATGTATTTATATGAAAGAATGGCTGGATAGCTGATAAAAATTTAGGAGGAATTGTTGTGGTCCATGGAAACACTGGTATGCCAATACTCTGGGCTCATTAAAATATCATTCAAAGCTGACAGTAAATGTGATCTGTAGAATCATAACTATGTCAAGTTCTAGATATAGATGAAATCTAACATGAAGTTATTGGAAAATTCAATATTGAGCAATATATTGTAATAGTAATGAAAGAACTTTGTTATTTGTACTTTAGACAGTAATATTGATACAGTTTAAATAACTTATAGGCTGCTGTTATTTAAAAATTATATGAAAATTGTGTGGTTAAACATCATATGTAAATAAATTACTTACTGAAATGGAAGTAAATGTTTTTTTACTCAAATCATTGTTAGTTCACACATTATACCCCCTGATTTGTAGAGTGGGCTATTGAAAGTGATTTTTGCTTATTTGTTCACTAATCCATTCATACTTTGTTTTTATGTGTGGCATTTATTAAATTATATTTAATTAATAGTATATAATTAAGGCGATTTGGTATGATTGCCAATGAGACAACTATCCACCAGAGTTCAAATGAAGTAAATATAAGGAATGCTAGGCCACTGTATGGCCTAGCATCATAGTTCATCTGTAAATTAATGAACTCACATAATGAAAAAAAGACAACTATCAATTAAGAATATCCCATTTCACAATGCTATATTTTCATAACAATAAATACCACCATGGACAAAATTTACCACAACCTTGTTTTGTTAGCCTGTAAGTGAATCACAATCTCATATCATGGTTTTCATGACAAATAAATGGAGAATGTGTCTATGGGCACAGATGCCCTGCTTGTAAATATGCATCAGTCAACTTCCACATACAGATGCTGGATTCACGTAGTTAAGACCATTTTGTGATTATAAGCATTGTGTATAAGTTTCATAACATTTGGTTGACGCAAACTAAAATTAGAGAAAGAAAACGACAGATTTAGCAATTTTTCAATTTATAAAGGGGCATAACTCAAGAACAGTAAAAGTGACACCACCCAATTTCAAACTTGCTTTGTGAAGTCTGTGTTTTGTGGTAATAAGCATTGTGTATAAGTTTCATAACATTTGGTTGAGGCAAACTAAAGTTAGAGAATGGAAACCAATTTTAGGGACGTCAGGACAGGACGGACAAGGGTAACACTTAATGGCCCTTTCCGCTATGGCGGGGGCATAAAAATATGCATGTCACAACATTGAAAATACCAGTAGAGACAAAGTATGTCACAAAAGTCTATATTTGTTGAGCCTGCGACTACTGGAGCAGAAAGTGAGACAAAGGGAAAGTGAACCGGTGGAGCATTTAACATTAACATTAACAAACTACTCAAAAGCTTTATATTTTAGAAGGTAGATGACTTGGATGCTTCATACTTTGTATATAGATGCCTTGTAATATGAAATTTCCATCTGTCATATGTCCATTGTCCTTGACCTCATTTTCATGGTTCAGTGACTACTTAAAAAAAAAGTTAGGATTTTTTGTAATCTTAATCTTCTCTTATTATGAGTGATAGGATAACTATATGTGGTATGTGTGTACCTTGCAAGGTTCTCATGCCTGTCAGACAGTTTTCACTTGACCTCGACCTCATTTCATGGATCAGTGAACAAGGTTAAGTTTTCGTGGTCAAGTCCATATCTCAGATACTTTAAGCAATAGGTTTACTATATTTGGTGTATGGAATGATTGTAAGGTGTACATATCCAACTGGCAGGTGTCAAATGACCTTGACTTTCATGGTTCAGTGGTTAAAGTTAAGTTTTTGTGTTTTGGTCTGTTTTTCTAATTATGTATGCAATAGGTCAACAATATTGGTATATGGAATGAGTGTGGGTTGAAAATGACTGTCTGGTGTATGGAAATAATTTACGATGTACATGTCAGTCTGGCAGGTTTTATTTGACCTTGACCTCATTTTTATGGGTCATGTTCATTGTTAAGCTTTTATGTTTTGGTCTGTTGTTCTTAAACTATAAGCAACAATATTTGGTGTATGGACTGATTTAAAGGTTGTCAACTGACCTTGACCTCATTTTCATGGTCCATTGGTCAATGTCAAGTTTTCCTGGTTAAGTTTGTTTCTTAGATACTACAAGTAATAGGTTTACTATATTTGGTGTATGGAATGATTGTAAGGGGTACATGTCCAACTGGCAGGTGTCAACTGACCTTGACCTCATTTTCATGGTTCAGTGGTTAAAGTCAAGTTTTTGTGTTTTGATCTCTTATTCAAATACTATCAGCAATAGGTCAACTATATTGGTGAATGGAATGATTGTCTGGTATCCTTGACCTCATTTTGATGGTTCATTGGTCAATATTAGGTTTTCATGGTTTGGTCCACTTCTCATATACTAATAGCAATAGGTCAACTATATTTGGTGTATGGAATGGTTGTAAGGTGTACATGTATTTCTAGCTTGGTTTATGTGATTTTTGTAGTAAAACTTTATATTTAGGACTATCAACATAAAATCAATGTTCAGTAAAGCAGGCGAGACATTTCATCGTGTACACTCTTGTTAAATTCAAATTTAAGAATTTCTGTAAAGGGAAACAACTCCTTTGTAGAACAACCTCTATTCCTGTCTATAATAATAATTCTTTTATTTAAAGAGGGTTACACAGTTAGCTATAAAACTAATCTTCCCTGAGGCCTTCATGAAATACAATGAAATATAACAAACAATTACAAAATATGAAACAAACACACATATATGAAAAAATGAATTAAAAAAAAAAATTGTTATGAAATATGCAGGTAAAAATTACAAATTCATAGTATTGGCAACATTCAAATTACCTCACCAATATCTTAAGTTTGAGTAAGTGTGTGAAAATTATTATGCATATAAAATTACACAGCTTCTTAATGTTCCAACAAGTAATTTTTTAAATCTTTTTAGAATGAGCTTGTACTTGAGGTTGATTTTTTCAGGGATATTGGTAAGCAATATATGAAGCAAGTAGAACAAGCAAGGTGTATTGTGTAGGATCTAACAACATTTTGATTCTAAAGTACTTTACACATTTATGGGTTTGCAAAATAGGTTATATTTATTACACATTAAAGATTCATTACAGCAATTATACAACAAACATGCAATTTCCATAAGCTTTGTATAGGTATGGATTGTTTATCCCACCACAGAGTTGTTTCCCTTTACAAAAATTCTGAAATTTGAAACCATGTTCATAATTTAAAAATGGTCCATTGTGATCCATATGATAGGTAATTTATGGATCATTTCAATGAAATGTTTACAGTATTTTGTCAACCAGAATAGAGAAATAGCAGTATAAAAATCCGTAATTTTCTAAATTATGCTTTTGATCTCATCTGAAGCAATTTTTGTCAACAACTTTTTTTTCCTCAGTTTTCCACAAAAAATGATTTCAACAACTTCAAGACTTCTTTTATCATTTTCCTATCCTGATGAAAATCATAAAATTTTATTGTAAAAAGGAAGAGATTGTGACTCTTTTCTCAGAATACAAAATTAATTTTGAAATGAAATGTGAAGCCTGAAATTTTGTCACTGCACTTTTACTATATTGTTTTGTTTTCAGTCTCTTGACAGTTTAAATGCAATGAACTTTTTTTTTATCAAAATCACCCTTAAATCAATATTTTCATGCCAGGTTTATTTTTTGGGGAAAACTATTTGATTCTAAGCATAATTTTCCAACAATTTAAAGTCTATACTCATCAAAGATTGATATTTTTCTAGCTGTCATTGTTAAGAGCTTGATTTAAAGAGAACATTTGGTGTTGGAAACCTTAAGATAGTCATGATATTTGCAATTGAGTTATGTTTTGATTATCATTAACTTTTTTTCTGCATATATGTCCAAAAAAAATGTATAAACTAAAAACCTTTGTTTTCTTGACGTATAATTACAATATAAGTGTATCAAAGTCTTATGTAAGGTTCATATGATCACAATCAGACTTTTTTTAACACCAATACATTCTGTGCCAGTCCTGCTTTTTTGTAAATTGTTTTGTTATCAATTAGGCCGTTAATTTTCTTGTTTAAAATGTTTCATGCTTTTTATGTAGGGGCAATCTTATGCACACACATATGGATATGAAATTTTTTCGATACAGTACATAGTGTGTAATAGAAAAACAAAGGATTTGGGGTATCCATCCATGACACAAAATCAGTACATGCACAGAAAAACAAAGGAACAGCGCTTTTATTGCTGTTCTTCATCTCAAAGTCACAGTGAGGCTTTCAACACAGAGCAAAAAACTCTCAACTCACTGCAAGTTTAAGACGGCCCTTGTATAGTTTTACTTTAAAGTTACGTTTCCATAGTTAACAACACTGATGTTATAGAGTAACCTTTAATTGGTTTTTATCTCCCACTACCAATAATCCATATTTTTCATTATTGAGAAACTTGTGCTCATGGTAGAATCAAGGTAGTCCTAGTTAAATTTTTAGCACAACTTGTCTAACCTTGGGTCCAACCTCCAACCTTTAACCTTGAAGGTTTAGATACTTGTCTATTGTTGAATACTGTATGTTGATCTCTAGATGATGATGAAAGTGTTTAACGACCTTGGCTGGCTTTACAGCCCTCGCACGGTCGGTACTTGGATGATCTTCTATTTGATGTGGTGTTGGGTTGCTGCAATGACAGACTTAACCGCTAATTTTGTCCATTTGTCTTTGGGAGCAAAATATAAAAATATTAAAAGAAAATATTTTAATCATTTAATATAAATCAATACAAAATTAATCATCAACCATAAACTCTAAAAAAAAAACGATTCAACAAAATAACAATAACAATTTAAATGATTGGATCAACATTACTTTTATATCATTATATAATGTTATAGAAAACAACTAACTACTGGATATAAAATTTACATATATGTGTGACAGGATTTTTTCATGTCAAAAACATGGTGGCCAGGTGAGCTGAAAACTGTTGGATCTAATAATAGGTGAGTGGAAATGAAGAAGGGCAGATAATTTTTAGAGTCAATGGTACAGGGGCATATAGGGTAAAATCAGAAGTTAAGCCACACCAAATATCACTTAAAGATCCCTTTAAAGAATATTTTGTTGTTCTTTATTGTGTTAAGAATGTGATACTCTCCCTACAGGTGTCTTGAATTTTCAAATGAAGAGTTTTGCTTTCCAAATGATCAATGAAAACATTCCAATTCAGTTCTAAAATTACAACAAAAAATCCAAAACTGATTCGTACGTGTACATGAAAAAATTCAACTAACTTGGTGTAAAGTAAAAGATGTATCCTTTAAAATAACTAAATACAATTCATTATAAATATAAGTATATAAATGAATGGTTCATATTTTAAACAGCTATCCTGTTTACAAAACAATAAAAATCTGCATGCATATAAATGACAAATTAGCTCTGAATACAAAAATATAAAAAAAATATAAAACATTTATTTAAAAACAAGAATGTGTCCATAGTACACGGATGCTCCACTCACACTATCATTTTCTATGTTTAGTGGATCGTGAAATTGGGGTCAAAACTCTATGGCATTAAAATTAGAAAGATCTTATCATAGGGAACATGTGTACTAAGTGTCAAGTTGATTGGACTTCAACTTCATCAAAAACTACCTTGACCAAAAACTTTTAACCTGAAGCGGGACAGATGGACAGACGAACGGACGCACAGAATGAAAAACATAATGCCCCTAGGAGGGGCATAAAAATGTCCATTTTTCTCATTGCACATGTGAAATTGATTCAGGCCAGGGAAACTGTGAGTGGAAATTAGAATAGGCCACACAAAGTTGCGGAAATAAAACTATTCAGTTAGGAAAGTCACCCAAATCTGAAAAAGTAGTGAATAAAATTAACAGAGACTGTAAAAAATAGTTCATTAAACATCAAAATACTTTTCTGTACTACTGAGACGTTTCTTCAATGTTTTATCTTCATTTACAAAAATGGTGGCATATTTTCAGCCATTTTCTTGCTATCTCCAACTTTTCTGAACCAAAAAGTAGCTTAAAGGAAACTAAGAAACCTATTGTTTTTAGAATATATTGCATGATTATACTAAAATATGAAGGGTTGGAACACGAAGCTTGTTTTCTGAACATGACCATTTTCAATCAAATATACATATTAATGATACATCCTAATTAATCACCCACAACCACCAGAATTCAAGGCATCATTCGGTGCATGAGAGGCCATGACTCAAGGCATCATTGCCCGGAAAGGGTTAATATAAAACATTTCCAATTAATAACATAACAATACTTCCTATAATATGGCACTTAATAAACAACAAAAACTGAAGTTTATATTATACAACCATCACCAGATTTTTTTTAACCTTCGACCTTCTGAAATATAAAGCTCTATACAAAATAGTTTACACTATCACGGATAGGTGACTGTATGTTTCGCATTTTGCATTTTTCATCACAGACGGGACAAAATACTGATATGTAGGCATAAAAAGGTGTAACAATTGTTTTCTGTTCTAAAAAATAATATTTTTGAAATTTGGGGAAAGGATTGACTGTAAAAACATACATTATGCAAAAATTCACAAATCCTAAGAAACATCTTACTATTTCACTACTATTTCAACAAGTAGGTATAATATGCTTTTCCAAATTCTCCATGTCAAATTTCAGTAAGTGAAAATTGTTTTGAATGAGAATCAAGGAGTTTTTTTTTGTTTTTTTGCCTTATTTGGGTAATCCACCTTTTGGGAAAATTGTGACCATTTTTTTTAATTGTTTTTACCATTTTCGCTGAGAACATTTTAATAAATAAATGAAGATAAAATTGCAAGAAGTTAGTTTATTTTTATTTCTAAAAATATCTGGGAAAAATATAAAAAGAATTTGCCCCATAGCCCATTTTTTGATAAAGATGATTTAGAATTAAGGAATTTTGTTATAATGGCCTAGGCATATTTGTATATAAAACATCTACCGGGTAGTAGCAAAAAAAATTAAAAAACTTTTGGAGTAAGTTGCTATAAATTCTTAACTTCTTTAATTTTTCAATAATCATGATAATTAAACTTTCTTTGGTCTTTTGAATGAAAGAATATAAGAAATTTATTTCTATAATAAATGCCCTTCTTTCATTTAAAAATATTACAGGGTATTTATATGACAGTTAAAATACTGGCATACATTTACTTTATTTTTTTCATAATTCTAATTATGTTTTTTAATTGAAAGGTAATACATGTAGCATAAACTGGATTAATATATTTAGTATAAAATTTGGATATCCTATATAATTTGGATTTCCTATCAATCAAAAAATTTTATGGCAAAAATTTTGCATCAAATAATTTCATGTATTCAGCATATACCATCAAAGTAACGGCATTAACTGGAAAACCACGTAAACATATCACACCTATTCCACGATAAAATATCTTAATACCACCTTCCTGATATGTTTTAATTACACAATCCATAAAATTATGGTACAATTTTTTGTCAACATCAGCTTGCATTCGACTTTTAAGTACATCAAAAGGCACAATGGTCGCCCAGCTTACAACACCAGCCAGCCCTCCTGCCATGAAGTTTATAACTGGATGTGGAACAGTCTTTAAATGTCTGTTGCCTTCATAAGATGAAAATTCAAACACTGTAAAATATATGGTGCTAGCAATAACATCTCTCGGTAGCTGTGAAGACATTCCTCGAAACATTCCAGAAAAGCCTCTGTGTTTTACTATGTCAACCACACCTTCAATTGGTCCTTTGTAGAATTTCAGACCTAAAATTATCACATAAATATAATGTTTACTACATGTAATAAGGAGAAAATTGAACAGATTTCATTTTATGCACATACAATGAAAACCCAAAGTCACATACCATAACAGTGCTTTCCCTTAAAAAGGATGAGAAGTTATAAAGAAAAGTATGGAATTCAACATTTTTGAAGGATCAGGATCTACTTTAATAGTAGGGCACCACTATGCTTAAACACTCTAGGGAAAACACTGCTACTATACAGTTTTACTTGTAGTTTTTATTCAGTCCTTCTAAACACAAAGTCCATACTTTTTTATTAAGCCTGCAGATATTGAGCTTATACTGTGGATTTTAAAAAGGAGAATACTGGAAAGTACTAAAACAAGAGCCCACCAATCGTATATTCTCATATGCATTATTAACACTGTCACTTAAAATAACCAAATAGAGATATGTTTATATTTTTAATGGACGGAGAACTGTTAAGTTAAAAAAATGTAATTTTAAGATTTTGGTAGGTACCCATTTTTGTGGATTGAGGAAAAATTGATTTAAGTAGATATTTGATTACTTGTCTTTTGCTAAAATGAGCATACTAGATTAAAGAAAATGTGTACTTTGTTGAAGATTTTAATTCAAGGTTCATTTTTATAAACGAAACCACAAAAACTTGTATCCATAGAATAATAACTGTATTTGGTATGTAGTTGTCTTTAAATGATTGTTTCAATCTTGTGCCAAGTTCCAGCTGACTGTCTTAAATAGATTTACTGCACTTTCGTGTGGAAAACTCCTTCAAACTAAATTACCTTTGTTGTTGCCATGAGGTATTTGTGACTGTAAGACAACTTTAATAACTTCAATAGGACAAGCTATTATTAGCTGGAAAACACCTGCCATTCCACTGGCAATAGCTATTTTTAGATAATCTGGATGGTCATGTTGTTTGTCTGCACTGGTACCCATGACTTTAAGTATCTGGTTGTATGATCCAAAAAACACAGAGTTTATAACTCCTGCTGATAACATAGGCCAGGACAGACCTCTGAAAAATCCCTTTGACTGAAAGAGAATAAAAGTTCTTGGGTCTATAAAATTGAATTTTTACTGTACGTTTAAGTTAATTGTAAAGGCTGTTTACTTTCATTACTATCTAAATAGATATATAATATTTTGGTAATTGCTCACAAATCATTTTCCCCATTTGATTTTTGAGGTAAATAAAAAAAAACAAGTAAGATAATTCGCCAGGATTTGGGGAATCCTTAATACAAATAATGCTATCAATATCAAAATGGCAACACCTATCCAGTCACAATTTTTGCAATGATAAAAACATCACAAAAAATTGCGGTATTTACAGTCACTTTGATTTGTTCTGGTCATTTGAAAGAATTGAAAAATTGGATAATTTTCAAATTCATTCTGGAGGTGAAGGTAGAATATGTATTTACATGACAGACAAAGTCCCTACTATCAAACTGAAGAAAATAATGTCAATATAAAATACCAACCCATGATTGTTTCTTTATAGTAGAGATACAATCCCAAACATTCTTGTAACTATTGCCTCTAGCTTGAACTTGCAGCTGGACCTACAGTAAAGAAATATGTGTGTTATGATTTAAACTAAGATGGATGTTACGTTATATACCACACATGCTGTAAACAGTAAACTATAACAATTCAACAACATACACATTATAAAATTTTTTATTACCCCAAAAACAGTTTCTGAAGCCAAAAACCTCTGCTTTGTCCACATCTCCAAAACAAATGCTTTCTGGATTGTAACTTGATACCCTTGTTAATTAGAATAAATCTTGTATAGATGGAAGATACATGAAAGGAAAGTAACTGGATTTGTTTTGGGGATCAATAGGTTAAAGTTCAAGGTCACTGTTACTAAAAAAAGTTTTTTTTTTATGTGGTCTGAACAGTTTAACAAACCATTATCAGAAATTTTATTTGTTTTTAAAACCGTAATCTTAAACTAGTTTGATTGCAACAAATAAGCCCTTCGATTGATGAAAGATATAAAGAACTTAAAGAAGGGGGGAAGAACTCTAATAATTTGCAGGTCAAAAGATCAAGGTCAAAAGTACAAATCACAGATACTAAAAAAAGAAAAAAATTCTTGTTACTACAGTAGTACACATGCTGGATTTTATAATACTGATTGAAGTGGTTGAAAAATAAGAAAGAGATGAAAACTTTTGTTAAGGTCAGTAGGTAAGTTGCAGTTGCTAACATGAGCTGTACATAGTAGGAAATTCTTCAAAATCTCTTGGCTTTTAATTTTTCTGAATCATGACAGTCACAGGTTATACATGGCACTCATCTAAGCTTCCTCTCAATTAATGCCAGCAGTTCAGGGAACATCTGTCTACAGTGCCAACTTTTTACTTGTTTTTTACATTATTTTGAAGGACTGGATGCATTATAGCAAATGCAAATTCTGACTATATTTAAAGGGACAGGATGCAATAAGGCTAATTTCAAAGTAATGCCAATAAAAAAACGGGTATAAAATAAGATGTGGTATGATTGAGCCCAAGACAATTATCCACCAGAAATGTAAATTTAGCAACTATAGATTACCTTCAACAATGAGCAAAGCCCATACCATATAGCTCGGCTAGTTCAGGCTTTATAAAATCACAATAAATGTAGTTATGTAGTAATGTATTAAAACAAAATTCTTGAAGCTACTTGAAAATCATTGTATTTATTATTTTTATATGTTTATTGAGAAATATTTTTTTGCTTTTCTGCATTGGTAATGATTATAATCTTAATACTACAAGAATACAAGAAACAATTTCTGTACTTTTATTTTTGTCTAAGTCCAATTTTTTCGGTAATCATTTTTTTGAGTTAGTGATTGTGGATTCACAGGTGTGCCATTACTTGATTTATTGCCCTCCTAACATTTGCCAGAGGTGAAGTTCTAAAGGGATTATCACTTGGTAATTATTTTTACAACGAAATAATTGTTAACATATTACTTTAACCCTGGCCAGAAATTTAATCAAACCAAATCATTGGACAATAGTATTCAATCAGGAAAACAAACATGTTCCCTAATTGTCCTCAAAGATAGTCAATTAACATGTTTAGAAAAGAAATAAAAAGATATAATAAAACTTTTTCGTAAATAATAAACATGGAATATGTCAAATGTTCAATTTTATTCTCCTGGAAAACTGATTTACGTGACTTTCAACTAGAATATCTGCTTGATAATTATACAGACAGCGAGACTTTTTGCACCAGAAAGTCCACTACATTTCACTATATATCGTTGATTAAAAATATCTTCAAATAGCATGCCAGAAAAAAATGTGTTATATATCTCTGGTGCTATATATATAACTTAAACCCTGTATAGCATAGTGTAAAGTTTTCAGAGTGATACAGTCCAATTTAAGAAACTTGTTTAAGGGCACATACACAAGTCATAATTCATGCTCATCAAGGACTATTCTTTAAAGTGCAATGGGATGTGTAAATGAAAAAGTAAAAATATACCTCAGTACCTTAACTGTATCAAATGGATGACCAACTAATACTCCTGCAGACCCTGCAAATATATATACTGTGGATTTATTATTGTTCATTGGTTCCTGATTGATCTAGACTATTTTTTATAATATTGATTTCTTTGGCGGGTCTGTGAACTGCATATTTTCATTTCTTCATTGATGGAAATTTTAAGAAATACATGACAAAGTTATTTTTCAGTTCTCTGGATTTGCTATTGTAATGGCATGAAGGAAAGAATACTAATCCATGATGGAAAAACATAAAAAAAAATTTTTATTGGTTTTTGGCAAATCAATAGTAAAGATTGATCATCAAATTTTGTATATTAACCATAAAATGCAAACCAAATATCAAATCATATTTCTCAATGGAGTGAGAGAACCTATATATTAAGGTCTAAAATTGTTGTCTGAAGTATAATACATGTATTTTGATAAATATATTGTTAGACAAGGATTTAGAACTTTTTCAATTGTTGTATCACCAGAAATTAATCCACCAAAGAAATCATGGAAGATACCATCTGCCATATTGTCTTCAGTTCACTTTAACAGATTCTTTTATTTGCTTCAAATTATACGTCATGGCTGTCTTCATCAATATAATTGTCTGAAAATAAAATAATACTTTAAACATAATCTAACCCTTTTTCCAAAATACACAATTATAAGATCTTAATTGAATTTTCTTTGTATCAATCTGATGAGTTAAGCCCTTTTCAACTGATTTTTATAGTTTGGTCTTATGTTGTGTGCTGTCCCAAGTCAGCCTTAGTCAGGATCGAGCCTTTAATGCAGTGGTTGTAGTTTGTTGCTGTATATTTATTTTGAACATAAACCAGGCTGTTTAAGTTCAATACATTTGTAGATTGAATTGTTTTACACTTGTTAATTTATTTCATTAGTGGCTGATGGCAGACACCTAGCTATAATAGGTGTATGAAGTTCATAATGGTTGCTATAGACCTTTTCACTATTTGCTAGCCATTACTGGACATCATATGGCCATTTGCTTAAATGTATTGACTTCACAAGAGGAAATTAAAGTCTGTCAGAATGTACAATCGAAATGTGATTGTTGCATGACATCAATAGTTCAAGTGTTATTCCTTTCAGGATTCTGTGTCCAGAATAATTTTCACTCAAGACCACAGGCACTTAATTGTTTCTATCCATGGGAAGATCCACTTTCAACGTATATTTCCTAAATATACGTTGATAATGGATCTTCCCATGGATAGAAACAATCCTAAATATACGTTGATAATGGATCTTCCCATGGAGGGGATAGAAACAATTAAGTGCCTGTGCTAAAGACACGTTTTCCCGGATTACTTTTGGTCTTTCAAGTAAAAAGAAATTGATTTTTCACCGCTCTAAAGGAGTAGGTCCGGTAAGGGCCGATTTTGGCCTCAAACTTCAGGTTCATCTGATGAAAGATTTTGGACACTTTTTAAACACTTAAGTGTCTACTTCAGTCGATTCAACTAGTTTTTGTGAAAGATTTGAACAGATTAAGTCATTAAAAACGCTCAAATTCAAGTTAAAATATGAAAAATCTATTAAATATGCCATAACATATCACTTTTCAGATGGTTTTTGTCAAAAATGAAAGTGGCCACATTTGTGTTCATTCTCAACCTTTATATATGTTGTGTATTATCATCAAATACAACTTACATTCAAATATTAAAAATGAACACAAATGCGGCCACTTCCATTTAAGACGGAAAACGTCTACAATTTAACTCAAATGCTAAAATTGTGAAGATTTCAGTAATTTAGCATGACTTAATGACGATAGTACCCGATACATGTGCATAGTATTGTCAAAAACAGCCCATATTTATGTAACAGTAGTATTCTACTTTCCATTAAATAGATATAAGTTTACATTCGAACAATTTTGTAAAACTGCAATATTTTGGGGCCAAAAAGGGGTCTTACTGGACCTACTTTTTTGTTTGTTAAAAAAATTTTTGTTTAATAGATGATTATAAACAATTTGTCATAAATTCCAAGAAACCGGTTCTTTCCGTGTCATCGGTCCTTGTCGGGCAATACAGTTTTTGTTTGTACTTTCATTTTCTACTTTCAAATTCGCAGCGCGAAACAAATTGATGATTAAAAGCGCCACCTTTTGTTTTGTTTTTGAAGAAAATGCCCGGATGTTTTCAAATTTGGCACAACCTGGCCGATATTGACTAGAGAATATATCAGCCATTAAGGCAAAGTAAAATTATAATTTTACAAATATGAACAAAGGAATGACTAATGTTTATTATGCGCACAAGGAAAAATACAGTTGTTCCACGTTTTCACTATAAATTCGGTAGTTTTTCAGGTTAGGTCCAAACAAAATTGTCATGTGTTTCCGCCAATTTCCTTTCATTGCGCATGCTCCTGAGCGGAAGTATGGGAAAAAAATGTACGCCCACGTGATTTTTAACCAATCATTTTGCAGGATTTCTTGATGACAAGTTGTTGTTTCATTTAGTCGTGGTAGCCAAATTTCTGTAAAATGTTTCCAAAATGACTTTTACCAAATAACTCGACGAAGAAAACAGAAGATCATCACGAAGCAGTGAGGGAAGTGTTTTTCTTTTACAGGGAGAACACAGATTGTTTTCAAAATGGTAATTAAGTGTTTAAATTGTCAAAGAAACGTGTTGTTCAAAACGCGTCGGCCTGAAATCTTGTAAACAAATTTTGATGTCCCGGCTCCAATTATTTGTCTTCCTTAGTACTTATCAAACTATTATTAACTCTTAATAGTTGAAACGCAAGTATGTTGATTAGCAATTCCTTTGTTTTGATTCCATTTAAGAACAAGCTGCTGCGAAACAATATCTGGGAAAAGGGGGATTGAACACTGATTTTGTAAAATAACTGAGCAAAATACGTTAACTATTTTAAGCGAGCAACATTGATAGGTATGAACAATTTTTATTTTTAATCTGTTTGTTTGTTTGTCTTTTGAACGCTTGTAAGTGTGACCTAGAAAGTTCTCATCACACCTGTCTGCACCAAAATCTTTTCCAACTACTACTAGTACTAGTTCGAAGACCAATATACACGAATGTACCAACAATTTTCTTATGTGTCTAAACTTAGTTTTGCAAACACTTACTAGTCCCAATAAAATTTGACTAGTCTGGGGCATCGAACTAGTGGCTAATGGTGCAGGCTGTCACACCATTGAAAGCAAAACATTCTGCATCACACAGTACTGTACAAGTCACCAAATCAATCACTAGTCCAAATAATTATGATGTCTGGGAAGGCTTTTTTGATTTTTTGCTTTGACAACTGCATCGAGAAAGGATATAGAAAAATCAAAATACCCTTAGAAGACTTCATGATTATGTGGACAATCAACCAAAAGCACACTGTACTCTTATCCTAGGATTTAAAGACTATTAACCCGTCCTGGCAGTGGCCAGATGTGTCATACATAAGAATATGACAATGAGAATCTTCCTAACAAACTTAAGAATTGTTACAAACTTGAATATTAAAATTTCATATAACATGTATACCATAGGATTCCTTAAATTTAAATGAATAACACATAATGACAAATACATGTATGTCAGAAAATGAAGTTTGACTATTTCCTGATAATTCTTTACATTTTTAAGTTAAATACAAAATACTGAGTATGTTAAGACTTTCATTCTAAGAATGTTGTCAAAGAGTTTTTGCTTAGCATCATGGTGCGGAGCTATTAGTTTCAGTTGATATACATGCCATCTTGAAATAATTACTTATCACATATAGATTCTGATTGGTTGCTTTATGATGTGGCTGAGATACAGCAACAGCTATTGGCTTAAATGAGATAAAGAATTAAAGACTTTTCTCGTCTCAGGATAAGACATCAAATGCCAGAAGATTAACTATGTGTATTTCAGTTCCGATCAACTGTCTTTTATTCATGTTCGTTTTATTAAGCATATATTGCACACTGAAATTCAATGTTGAAATATCAATTATTAATAGAATGTACATGTTTATTTGCTTTGTTAATCTGCAATATACACGATTTGTTTTGCTAAACAATGTTCCTTTACAATGTTTACAAAAATGCATTATCTGTATTTTATAACTTCTGCCAATCTAGGCACATCTCCAGAGAGGCACACCTCCAGAGTTGTGTCTATTTGTAAATGTTTTTATTTTCAACAAGTAAAGTGAACAAAATTTTAAAAGCATGGGTGTATAACGCACACTCTTAAATTAGAACAACATCATTTTCACAGAAACTAAATATTTTTTGCATTTTATAATCAATATCTAAAAATACCACATTTCCAATACTAAATCAACAACCACATGCACACATATAACCTTAAATTAGGATAGATCGAAGCAGTCCACAGCTTTTTAGAAAGCTCAAACTTGTGTCAAAATTTAGATTGAAGTTGAACTGTTAAAGTCAGAGTGTAATGACTCCAAAAATTCCCCTGAGAGACATTCTGTGAGCATATCAGTGCTCTTAAAAAACCAGACACAAACAATGAACAACACATGGTCAAGGTGGGCACAAATTGGTGCAGACAATTAACACGAAGAATGGGTAAAAAAAGTCTCCTTGTTTAATACTACTAGTCCTATTTTTATACGACCGCAAAAAAATTTTGTGGTCGTATATTGGTATGACGTTGGCTTCGTCGTCGTCCAAAGACACATTGGGCTTCGCACTCTAACTTTAGTTTAAGTGAATGGATCTCTAGGAAATTTTACCATAAGGTTCAATACCACAAAAGGAAGGTTGGGATTGATTTTGGGGGTTATGGTTCCAACAGTTAAGGAATTAGGGGCCAAAAATAAGCATTTTTGTAACTTCCAGACATAACTTGTGTGTTAGTGTAGGGATCTCTCTGACATTTTACCACAAGGTTCCATGTCACAAAGGGAATTCTGGGATTGATTTTGGGGGTAATTGCCTCAAAATTTTAGGAATTAGGGGCCAAAAAAGGGTAAAAAAACAAGCATTTTTCTAGTTTCATGACAATAACTTGTGTGTAAGTGTATGGATCTATCTGAAACTGTACTAAAAGGTTCCATATCACAAAGGGAAAGCTGGAATTGAGTTTGGGGGTAATTGCCCAAAACGTTTAGGAATTAGGGGTCAAAAAGGGACCAAAAATAAGCATTTTTCTAGTTTCCAGACAATAACTTGTGTTCAAGTGTATGGATCTCTCTGAAATTGTACTGCAAGGTACCATACCAAAAAGGGAAGGCTGGGATTGATTTTGGGGGTAATTGCCTCAAATTTTAGGAATTAGGGGCCAAAAACAAGCATTTTTCTAAATTAGGACAATAGCCTGTGTGTAAGTGTATGGATCTTTATGAAATTGTACTACAAGGTTCCATATCACAAAGGGAAAGCTGGTTTAAGTTTGGGGGTAATTGCCCTATATGTTTAGGAATTTGGGGCCAAAAAGGGGCCTTAAAACAAGCATTTTTCTAGTTTCCAGACAATAACTTGTGTTCAAGTGAATGGATCTCTCTGAAATTGTACTGCAAGGTACCATACCAAAATTTTCCATTTTAAATTAGCTATTTCTGATTTATATATAAAAGCAAATAATAATGATATGGTTTGAATAGGTAAATTAAAAAATATTAAGTTCTTAGACCACATTCATTCTGTGTCAGAAACCTATGCTGTGTCAAATATTTAATCACAATCCAAATTCAGTGCTGTATTAAGCTTGAATGTTGTGTCCATACTTGCCCCAACTGTTTAGGGTTCGACCTCTGCGGTCGTATCAAGCTGCACCCAGTGGAGCTTTTTATTTTATGACCATATTTGTCCTATTAGAATCGAAATAATTCATGGAAGCCATAGATTTGTTGGAAATTTACACATGGCCTGGGCCGTGTGTAAATTTCCGCTCAGGATAAAATTTGAATATCACGGCCCAGGCCATGTGTAAATTTCCAACAATGCTGTTTCAAATATTTAATCACAATCCAAATTCAGTGCTGTATCAAGCTTGAATGTTGTGTCCATACTTGCCCCAACTGTTCAGGGTTCGACCTCTGCGGTCGTATCAAGCTGCGCCCAGCAGAGCATTTTATTGATAGAAAGATGTGACAGGAAGATTAGGTCAACTTAACCATGAAAAATGTTGTAGATTATAGATTAGTGCGTTGCTATTAAGTACAATTTATATATGAAATAAATGAAATTCTCTTGATTTAAAAAATTATTCCAACATTCTTTCAGACTGGTGATGAGCCACCATACTTAGCTGTTGGCACTGAAGTTAGTGCTAAGTATAGAGGTGCATTTTGTGAAGCTAAAGTGAAGAAACTTGTTCGATCTGTAAAATGCAAGGTATGTTTAATAACACTTTTAACAAATTTAATCAGTTCAGCACTGGACCAATGATTTTTCACCATAAAACTTCATTTGTTGTCTAAATGTTCAAAAATTCTAGAATATAGATAAAAAGAGCTATGGGTATACATCAGACATCAATCCAACAACACATCTCTTAGGTCAATGTAATATCTCAAATAACAAAAAATACATATATTTTGCTGGTATTATGCGATCATGGAAGTTACCAAAAAGAAGGTTTGATTAGCCATTTATTAAAATAGAACTTGTTTTGTCTGTTCAAAATACAGGTATTCTTTTCTTTTACAGGTGATACTGAAAGACTCACAGATATCAATGATGGTAACAGATGATCAGCTAAAAGGAATTTTAAAGGTAATTGGTTGTGATGTCTTCTTTGTAACTATGACAGGATTTCGGTAATTGCTTTGGAATAATGTAACGAAATTACAAAACCTATCATAGCACTGTTATAAGCATTCTTAATGCTGAAGTGGGTGATGTACTCATTTATGATTGTATTTTTATGAAAACAGATGCCTGCTGTATATGAGGTTAAATTACAACATGCCTAGTATACATGTACATAAAGCCTTATATGCAGTGAATTTGTTAAGTAAAATTGAGAATGGAAATGGGGAATGTGTCAAAGAGACAACAACCTGACTGAAGAGCAGAAACCAGCTGAAGGCCACCAATGGGTCTTCAACACAGTGAGAAAACCTGCAAGGTTACATTTAAAATAATGTGGACATGGACAGTAAAGGCAAAAATCTGCCTTTTTATAGAAAATGTTATTTCAGTCCAAGCCTTTCTGAAAAGTTTTCAAAATGCCTTTAAATGATTTTGAATACAGATTGAAGAATTAGTTGAATTACAGACTAAATTAAGAAATTGTGATTTGTTGTTCAAATGAATTTATGTATGGGAAAAAATGCAAAAAGTATGATGATTGTTTTTAGATTGGTGAAGTGGTAGAACTAAAGGACCCAGACTCTGGCCAGATGGTTAATGGTACCATCCACAAGATGACTGATTCCAGCATGTATACAGTTGGTGAGTAATCTCATGTTTTACTTGCCTGTCAATTTGAATAGACTTCTTTGCTGTGCCAATTATTTGGTGTCTTGAAACTTTTGGAAGTGCTTAATGCTTTTCAATTTAAAAAGAGTGTCATCATATGAGCTGCATTGGATAGAAATCGACCTTACACAAATGAATATCAATACATCTGTTAACCTATTTCGGGTTGAAAAAAATATCTATGAAAAGTCTGTAACTGTTTGAAAATTGAGTTGACATATAAAGAATCTTATCAAAAAGACAAAAGTTCATCTTTTATTTCGTATTTGAATGTTCAAAATCAATCAAAGTCTCATACATTTACATGTATATGTGCACTTGCATAAGGTTGATTTCTATACGACGCATCTCATATTTTAAGCAAACAATGAGCTTAAATCTTCTGTGTGAAAATTGACTCACATGTAATTCATTGACCAAATCCTATTCTTATTTTCAATTTTAGTTTTTAATGATGGAGATGAAAGAACTTTGCGTAGAACCCAGTTGTGTCTTAAAGGAGAAAAACATTTTATTGAAAGTGAGGTATGTCATTTGAAAAAAAACATGAACAGATTTACTCTGATATATTATGAAAAGGATAGACAATTATATTCTAGTATATTGTAATTTAGCCTTAGTAACTGATAGAAAACAAAATTATTGATATGTTTCTCCTTGTTCATGTTGGTGCAAGCACATCCATGTAAAAACAAATTCATGCCAATTTATGCAGACATTCCAAGTAAAAGCCACTTTGTGCAGGTAAAGTCCATGTAACAGGGACCTTGTGTAGGCACAATCTGTGTAATATCTACTTTATATGTATGTAGAGCGGTACAGTCCATGTAAAAGGGACCTTGTGTAGGCACAATCCATGTAATATCTACTTTATATGTATGTAGAGCAGTACAGTCCATGTAAAGCTACTGAGTGCAGACACAGTCCTCATAAAAGCTACTTGGTGGAGGAACAGTCCATGTAAAAGCTTCTTGGTGCATTCCATGTTTAAGATAATTGGTGAATGCAGTCCATGTCAAAGCTACTTGGTGGAGAAACAGTCAGTGCAAATGCTACTTAGTGCAGGGACAGTTTTTGTAAAAGCTTCTTGGTTTTGACAGTTACTGTGAAAGCTTTTTATTACAGACAAGGACAATGTGAAAGCTACTTAGTGCAGACACAGTCCATGTAAAAGCTTCTTGATGCTGGTAGCACCAATCTTAAAATTATACTATGATCATAGTTGTGTCTTTTCTTTTTTATCTGCTACTGAATTGAGTAAGATCCTATGGTAGCATGCTTGTCTTGAGTAGGGCAGTGTTGTTGTTTCTATCATCAACCAATAGATAACAAAGTTAAAATTGATTGAGCAAGCAAAGACCAGTTTGATTATAATATCAATGACATGTGATTACATTTAATGTACATGTTATTTAGTGCAGAACAGTAAGCATCCATCAGTCTATAAATTTACTGATTATGATATGATATAAGTACAAATTATTATATTTGATAAGACATGTGAGAGTTATCTCTTTTTTTGCAGACTTTAGATAACCTACCCTTATCCCATCCTGAACATTTTGGTACACCAGTAATGCATGGAAAGAAGTCAAAGAGAGGAAGATATAGTGGAGGAGGGTAAGATATATACTACATGGAAAGTTATGAAAAAAACAATGATAAAATGTGCACATGAGCAACAATGAGAAAAACCCATACCATATCGTTGGCTATAAAATGCCCTAATATCAAAAATATGAAAAATTCAATTGAGGAAACTATGAATGCATTTCTCCTGAAACATGTATGCATTTCTCCTGAAAATTTTAAAACTTTTGTTGTAGTCACATGTCAAAATAATGTGTGAATTCTGACAGCAGGTTCAGTGATATAAGTTATCTATGTTGATTATAGAGAAGTAAAGATTTTCTGAATTACTTTGAATTGATGTGTGTAAAATGATATATTTTAATCTAGAACTGAGGATGAATTGGATGAAACAAGTTCAGAAGATGGTGCCTCAAAAAGAGCAAGTTACAAAGGTCGTTTAAAAGATCTTGTTGGCAAGGTGATGATTTTAGATTTTGGAGATAAGAGAAAACTACAAGTTCCTGTCTTAGTTGTGCTACCAGACGCCCAACCACCTGATCCAAAGAAAAAGGATCATATATTGGTCAAATCATTCAAGGATGGAAAATTGTAAGTTTATTTTAATAAAAATATAAAATAACTAAAGTCTATTTTTACTGTTATTAATTTGCATTATTTTTGTCACAGACAATTTGCATAAAAACATGTAAAAGTAAAACTTTGTGGCTTGTTTTATGTTTCAGTGAATTTCAGATAAGATATCAGAAAAATGTTGGTTTTTGTCTCGCCTGCGACTTTGTGGTAGTATGCGAGACATAGGTATTACTATCCAGCGGCGACGATGTAAACTATTTGTATAAAACTTTATATTTCAAAAGGTAGAAGACCTAGATGCTTCATACCTTGTATGTAGATACCTTATGTTACGAAGTTTCTCTCTGTCATAAGTCAGTTGTCCTTGACCTCATTTTCATGGTTCAGTGACTGCTTGAAAAAAAAAGTTTTTTTTGACGTGAATTTCTCGCTTATTATGAGTAATAGGATAACTATATTTGGTATATGGGTTCCTTGCAACACTTACATGTCTGTCAGAAAGGGTTCACCTGACCTCAACCTCATTTTATGGATCTGTGATCAAGGTTCAAGTTACATGATTAGGTCTGTTTTTCAGATACTATAAGCAGTAGTTCAACTATATCTGGTGTATGGAATGATTGTAAGGGGGTACATGTCAGTCTGACAGGTTTCATCTGACCTTGACCTGATTTTCATGGTTTATTGGTCAATGTTAAGTTTTTGTGTATTTGTCTGTTTTTCAAGTACTGTAAGCAATAGGTCAACTTTATTTGGTATATGGAATGATTGTAAGGTGTGCATGTCGATCTAGACGGTATTATCTGACCTTGACCTCATTTTCATCAGTCAGAGCACAGACATAAATAAGTCTAAATCTGCTTTTGACTCGCAGAGGTCTAAATTTGTAGGTTTCAAGATTTGTCTCTCTTTAATTTAAGACAAATCATGACTTCAATAAGTCATTTAGTGTAAAGCAAGAAATATTTGACCTGAATTAAAAAGTTGCAAATATTGACTCCATCAAGTCGATAAGTTACCAAAATTGGTCAACTTCAAGACCCCAAGCATATTTATAAAAAGGTCATGCATCTACATGAAATTATGACAACATTGAAAGACAATGCTTTGTCTTCTAAAGAAAAATATGCATGAGAGCCTAAAAAAACGGAGATAATGTTTATTTACTTTACAATGCAACCATCTATAACCACACAAAAGTGGGAAATAATCTTATGTTAAGTAAAAATGTTCAATTAGATGATTAAATATAGATAGCTCAGGTCCTTGTGAACTTTCAGACAGGTTAATGATGTCATAGGTGGTGCACTTTGGCCACCAATTAAAATTAAGTTTTTTCATAAACATAAATAGACCTAAACAAGTCTGTCATTTTCTGACTTAAATAAGTCTGAAAATGAAAACACATTTTTATAATAAATACATTTTTTGACTTCTGTAAGTCAAAAACAAAAAACGACTTGTTTATGTCTGAGCTCTTACTGTTCATAGGTCAATGTTATGTTTTTGTGTTTTGGTCAGTTTTTCAAATTCTTATAGCAATTGGTCAGCTATATTTGGTGTATGGAATAATTGTACGTTGTACATGTTTGTCTGACCTTGACCTCATTTTCATGGTTCATTGGTTAATGTTACGCTTTTGTAATTTTGTCAGTTTATCAGATACTATAAGCAACATGTCAACTATGTTTGGTATATTGAATGATTGTAAGGTGTACATGTCTGTCTGGCCTGGTTCATCTGACCATGACCTCATTATCATAGAATATTGATAATGTTAAGTTTATGTGATACTTGTAGTAAAACCTTCGTGTAATAGACTTTCAACATAAATTCAATGATAAGTAAAACAGGCGAGACATTTCAGCCTGTGCACTCTTGTTTCATTTGAGTTCAAGAACATAATGTGATCATGAAACATTGAATACTTTGCTCATGTTTGTCTTAACTTTTTAACAGTGTTCATGCACAGAGAAAGGAGTTGAAGGAATTTGCAAGAGATGTTGCCCTTAAGAGTGAAGATAAAGCATTGAAAGCAGGTATGTATTTTTTCAAAAATAACCTATTTTCTGTTACCAATAATGCCTAAAATTTGATCTAGCTGTACAGATATTTGGGGCTTACATAAGATTAGGACACAGCCTATTTTTATGTCCCACATATGACAAGTGTTTCCAGTCTGTGCTTCTGTCTGTCCCACATCAGGTTTAACTTTTGTTTAATGGTAGTAAACCATCAAGTTAAGGTTGAAAAGCATTAAACATAAAAGTTACTGTTGCAAAAAATAGGGAGAGACAAAAAAATCCTCCCTAAATTCTTCAAAAAATTTTAATATTTCAATTACTACCAAACTTGAGGGAAATGATCCCTTATAAACACTTAATCAGTCTTCTTAAATTTGGAATTTTGAAATAATACTATCTTGTTTCTAGAATTATAGCATCACATCCTTGACACTTTATCTGCTTAATTCTGCCTCAATACAGAAGCTCAAGTATGAAGTTTGCCCCTTAAGAAAAAAGGAACAAATCGGCAAACAGAATAAAGTGAGGTGCCTATCTCATTGACATTTACCAGACATATGTAGTTGGTTTGCTGTTGTATTGACTTTATTATTTAATTTTTACTTTGCAGCCTTTGAAAAGACCTTGATGTATTATGACACTCAGGATTTACCCACCGAATGGGATCATGATGAATTACTTGGTACAGATGATGATGAAGATTTTAATGAGGAAGAGGTAGGAATTTCTTATGATTAAGTGTTAATATGATATCTTAACCTTTGTTGTTGTCATTGTAGTTTAGTGAAATACACATTAGGGAAATTCCACTTTTGATGAGAATTTTTGAGCTTATTGCATCATCATCTATTCTGAGAAAATATAGTTTAGACCTTCCCGTTTAGAGAAAAAGTTGATTGATTGTTTAACTCCTGTTGCAAATATTTCATTCATTTTCAGCATGTTCATGACAATGAAAGAATACATGTAACATCCAAAGTTGTGTATTCTTAATAAAAAGAGACTTTATCATGTTATAAATTTTACTTATTCATTTAAATTTGATAGACGCTAAACTTTCTGAAAGACTACAGGTCAGAAAACATTTGTTACATCGTGGACAGAAGGTTTTAAAAAGATTGGGAAAAATATGAAAGATATAGATATATGTCTGCTAGACCTTTTTGTGTACTTAAATAGATATCATAGATTTTATCAACCATTAGGCCATGTAGTAGAGAATGGGCTTACCTGATGAAACTTACAATTTATGTGTCATACTTCACTCAGTTTTGTGAAGTAAATTCCACATAAGAATTCCAGACTTTGAGTAAATTATTTTTGTTGCATGAATGAATGATGTCATTATTTTTTGAGATGGTAAACTTGCATTGTTTAACATTACATTATTAGAAATTGTATTAATAGGAACCATTTGTTTATTATTGCTTTATATTAGTTTCAGCCCCTGAAGCAGGTATTACGGTTACATTTTCTGTGCACATTTTCACTCCTTGAATAACAAGGTGGTTTGTTAACATGCTGAATAATGAAATGTATAATAAAATATGTTTTCTGTTGAAGTATAAAGCACCTGTTTATGTTCATACTTGAGTTGTGTTTTAGTAAACATAGATGTTCATCTATATAAGTGCTTAATAATTCAAGAGGATTTTGGAGAAGATGTTTTCTGGTTCCCTGCATAGATGTTCATGAGAATTCAACATATTTTTTAAAACATAAATAATCGTGATTGTATTGTAAAAAGAGGATGGAAGTTGAGACTAAAAGCCTTAAAATTATAATATTTTGAAAAGGGAGATAACTGAATATTTCAAAACTTAATTTATTATTTTGTCTCTTTTTTTATGGAACCAGAATGCATTAAAACTGATAAAATTATCCCTCACAATAATCTAATCTTCAGTTTATACTAATAAACAATCCGGATAACGGTATTGTGAAGGTCTGTAAGTCTTACTTGTTGGAATTGACAGAACATGTGTAAAAGAAATGAAATTTGTTCTCCCAACCTATTCATGACTGAAGTGTGTTACATTAATGTGCCCTAGTTCCAGAGTGAATTTATTGGAGGAGAATATCTCAAACATTTAATCTGTTCATGTCTGTGAAAGTAAAGGGACAAAACCAAGTATGTAACATACCATTATACATTACCATTATACATTACAATAGATATAAGAAGATGTGGTATGAGTGCCAATGAGACAACTCTCCATCCAAGTCAAAATTTATAAAAGTAAACCTTTATAGGTCAAAGTACGGTCTTCAACACGGAGCAACAGTAACTTTGTTCTGATTATGTTGCTGAGCAGTGTGAATGTATAGTTATGGTTGACAAATTTTTGCTGTGGCATATTTGTTTTTTTTTTATCACAAACTTTTTTACCTAGATATAAGATATAACTGGTAGAAACTTATTTCGTTAAATTATTTGACAGTTTAAATCAAATCAATGTTTATTATCTTCACTTTGTTCATTAAGGGATTACAAATTTGAAAGTTATGGTAAACTGACGTATAATATATCCCACTCAATTAAGATAAGATATTTTTCAGCTTCTAACAATAAATTCCAATCTGTCAAATCTATATTTTTGGGGGAAGAAACCCTAAACACATGTATATTTTTGGTACTTAGACCATTCTAAACTGCTTTTTAACTACCAACTGAATTTATAAAAATATATGTCAGATATTATACAGAATCTGTAGTAAAGTAGTTCCTATTAGTTTTCATGTATTGTTAAACTCAGAAGGTAATGGTATATAAAGTAATTCTTGATTTATCTTGTCAAAGATTGGATTGGAAAGAAATTAATTTTTTTGAAAATATATTTCGTATCAAAGCTTTTTATTCAAAGAATGGCAGTACTGTATTATTTGAAGGGTTGTCATGCCAGGTCAATTTTGGGAGTTGATGGTAGCGACTCTTCTAAAACAGTACCATTTTTCTTTTCCTGTGCTATTTTTGTTAAATGGTTAGAATATCCTGGAAATGTTGATTGAGATTGGTCACTGTTGTTTCCAATGACTCGCCCACCAACCATGGAATTGTTGGCAGATGTCTTCTAATCAGATATGGTGTCACCATTTCATGTTGCATAGAATATATATATCTATAATTATGATGTTTCTGTTTTATTTTTTAGTCATCAGATGATGAACCTAATGAAGAAAAAGACTGTTTTGTGGCACAGCTTTACAAGTTTATGGACGATAGAGGTAAAATAAAATTATTTGTAAAATCAAATCATCTTGTTGATTATAAAGATTGACTAAATATATTTGGATCCTTAATTGTTCTTTGGAGAGTAGGTGCTTGGATGCACCGAGTACTGTAAACAAGGATTTTACGTTCCTGGTCTGCATTTGATTTTCATTAGTGAGTGGGGTACATGTTAATGAAACCCTAAACAACAAAAGTTCAACATTGCAGTCTACAGTAGACTTTTAAGTTTATATACCATATATATATCATGCGTTTAGATTTACCTAAGTTAAGACGGGTGAATATATGTATCAGAGATTACTAATCAGGGCTCACACTACTTCAGAATCATAGGGAGAAGTGACTTCTCTTTTTGAAACTGAGAGGGAGAAGTGGTGAGATTTGAGAGAGAAGTGCTCGATCGCGCTACAATGTATGGTTTTACTATAATACAAAGGACCATATGTATCTTATTTTTTTATATTGCTCAATTTTTACCTAGGAGTACAATAAAAGTAACAGTTCAAATTCAAAGTTGTTTAATTTTATCATATCTAGTTGCACAATCATATTAGTCCTCTTGTCAGAAAAAAAAAAACAGTTTAATATCTAGCAATAATAAAAAAGATTTTTTTTAAATCAAAAAGGAAAAGAAAGTTGTTATTTCAATTTAAAATATACTCTGTTATGTTTGTGAAATTCAGTGGTTAAAATTCTCATTTAAAAGATATATAAATTTAACACAGTTAAGCTTGGACATAGTATAGTAGTCCCAGAGTTGAGCAATTTTAATTGAACAATTCATATACATGGAAATATATACATTAATCAAGTAGATCTAACCAAAAGTATGTTAATGCGCGTGGAATGCGTAATTTTTCCTTTTGGGATCAATATTCCTCTGTCAGCTGTGCCATTCATTCTTCAGTAGTCATTATCGTATGAATCCGATTTCGGTCATAGCTGGTCCGGTTCCGATCAGTAGTTTAGTACAAATATTTCAATGGCGGACGAAGAAGAAAAATTTACAAAAATAAACGATGTTTGACACGCTATTTGGAAAGGAATATGACGTTTTTAATGCAATACATGGATAACAAATTCACTTCAGGCAAATTTCATCACGTTCTAATGAAGTATCGAACTTATTATGTCGAAAATTAGAATGATTTGATGTACGCTCTCTAACAAGTACCGGAAGTGATAAAAAATTGTTTTTATGAAATAACATGCAACCAACTTTAAAATCAATGCTTTTACCTCTTTTCTGAAGAAAACAAATCGTTTATGTCTTTGAATTTCTTTACTTTTTACTGAAAAATTGCTGTTTCATCGACTTGGGAAAAATTGAATATTGCCGATGATGAAAGCAACTGAAAGCGAGTATCGTAAACCACAGGGCGACTAGTTTTTGCTTTTGAGGGTCGGGCAAAGCGAAGTGACGGACGGGAAAGCGACATTTGCCCTAGTTGCCTGGTAGCGTGAGCCCTGCTAATGATGTGACACCAACACTAAAATCTTTACATGATAAAATTCCTGACTGGCACAGCCTTATCTTGCTGTTTTAATTTCTGTTGACAAAAAACCTTTAACTATTACATAGAGTAATTTTCTCACATCAGTGCTCAGTGTCAGGAATCAAATGCTATTAAAATGACTAAAAACTGACAAATATTGCCAGGTTTTTGCCAGTTGTATCCACTTTTGAAATATAATGAAGACATTCATGTATAAATTTTGTTCAGTATTTTTAGAATATTTGAATAAAGGAAATATTATTTTTTATTATTTTCAGGTACACCCATAAATAAAGCACCTGCTATTGTTAACAAAGACCTGAATCTCTACCGACTGTTTAAAGTTGTACAACATATTGGTGGTTATAATAAGGTATGTATAAATATAATGTTTATTTTTTTTTGTCATAGTTGTTGAGAACATATATGGAGAATTACACATGTTTAAAGCATATGTTGAATGTTCTAATGTTAAAAAGTACATATATATAGCATAAATGTATGTTGACAATTTGAATTGTAAAAAAGTACATGTTAACTTAACTGCATTAAGCATTTGTGGAGTTCGAGAATTTTACAAATAGGTTGTACATTTAACAAGTCAATATTAAATGATGAGTCTTACATGTAAAAAGGATGTTCCATCTTAACTGAGATTATATAATATTCAGAATTCCACAAAAATGTGCTCATGAAAATATATCTGAGTTTTTGTCCTCTTAAGAATATTGAAAACACATTCTGTGCAAAAGTATTAGTTCAGCATAACTAACATATTGGAATTCCCTGATATTGTAACAGATAACCTCAAAGAGCAGCTAGTCCTCTGACCTCAAGACAATTTGCTAGACCAATAAAATATATATTGGTAGACTTTTAAAATTTTTGTGAGACATTTGGATAAAAACCAACCAGAAACTGCTGAACGAAGATATAATCAACTCTAGGGCTATAGACTACAGCCACACTCGAGGCTCTGATTAAATCTATATGTATATAAACATTTCCACTTTTCATTGCAGGTAACCAATCAGATGAAATGGAGAATGGTTTATTCTAAGATGAATCTACCACCCATTAATACAGCTTCTCATCAGATCAAAAATGCTTATAAAAAGTAAGTTTTGTTAGACAAGCAGAAATCTACTGCAGAAATCTGCTGCAGAATACCTGCAATGGTCAATGCAATCAAGAATTTCACAAGTATTTGTTTAAAAACTTATACTTGTCTAAGGCTAACTTTTGGAAGGATTTCTTGTATCTATGGTAAAGAAGCCTGAATAAATGGGATTTTTTTTTAATTGTTGAACTTTTGTAAGAGATTTTAACTCTTTTATCAATTGCTGAAAATATTCTGCAAAAATTGAATAGAATCAACCACTTGTCAGTTAGTGGTTTTTAAGTTCTGCAATGATTGATTAACTTCATTGAGATGATTTGTATCTTTAAGGCCACCAGTAGGAAACTTTTTGTTTGATGTTGCCTACCCACACCTTGTAGGGTTGGGTAGGTAGGGATTTTTTTGTTTTTTGGCCAACAAAAGTTCCGTGTTTTAGACAAAAAAAAGATGTTAGAGCAGGAAAATGTCTTTTAAAAAAAAATGAAATGATTTCTGTCATAAAACTTTTAGAGTAGGCTGCTTTTTAGGTGGGTAGGTAGGCCACATCAAACAAGTCAAATTTTATTTTTGGCCTAATGTATCTGTGGTATTGTAGGTACCTTCATGCTTTTGAGGATTTCTATAGGAAGTTGGGAAGTTCTATGGGAACCATAAGTCGGCCTGGTAGGAGTAGACACAACTCTGGACGAGGGATGGTACAGTTCCGCGGTAAAGACAAACATGAAGATAAGGTAAGATCAACCCTTCATTATTATGATACGCTTCAAGTAATTTAGTTAAAAAATATTGGACATTTTTTTGAAAGAACATAGAAACTAATCAGTCAATTTTATTTTGGACAAATGTAATGTTACTGAGCAGGGTTTAAGCTAGGATTTTGAGGGCTTTAGTCACTTTTGCACGAGTTGAAAATCAACCTTATTTTGGGTAACAGCAAGGGACCAAGGACGTAAATTACTAGCTATACATCTTTGAAGGACTTAGGCATGCTAGGCAGTTGTTGCATGATCTAACTGATGTGGCACTTAAATATGAAGATTATGATATAGCATACGGAAATCTATGTCACAATTTCACTTCAGTTATTTTCAGGGGACATTCCTGATCAACAAAAGTTGGGTTCCATTTTTTTAAAACCAGGAATCACAGCAGAAATGAACTTGTAACGATTATTTCACTATACTTGAAAAAAACGTTTAAATCGATATTGGAATTCATTGCTATAAAGTTGGAACCAAGGATTTGTACAAATCCTTATTGGAAAGATTCTAATGACGGTAAAGATGTAAATTAATCAAGAAAAGATCACGTTATACTTTCGATTTTTAAATGAAATAAAAACGGGAAGTGACAAGTGGATAATAATTCAGAATGGATCAGGATTCATCTACAGATTGGTTCGTGTTTAACAAAAGGCAGGAAATTATTATTTTTTAAATTGAATTGCTTAGTAAGAAATATATTTGTTTGACTTACCAGAATAATTCAGTCTCTCCCTGTAATCGATCTCTCCTACTTGCGAGTAATTGTAGATCATCGGAATATAACAACTGAATTATTGGGGTTAATGTTTGACTGAAAATATTTTTGAACGTTGTGAATAAAGTTCTTTGTTATCATTTTAATCGAAATTGTCGAAAGTTTTTGATGAAAAGTTATATCAGATATGACGAAACTACGACAAACGAACAGCAAATTGTGATCGTTTGAGAAATATTGAAATTAAGATATGAACTGTCCAGGGGGAAACTATTTTGTTCAAATGACGAAACTACGATAAACAAACTGCAAATTGTGATGGTTTGAGAAATATTGAAATTAAGATATGAACTGTCCAGGGGGAAACTATTTTGTTCAAATGACGAAACTACGATAAACAAACTGCAAATTGTGATCGTTTGAGAAATATTGAAATTAAGATATGAACTGTCCAGGGGGAAACTATTTTGTTCAAATGACGAAACTACGATAAACAAACTGCAAATTGTGATCGTTTGAGAAATATTGAAATTAAGATATGAACTGTCCAGGGGGAAACTATTTTGTTCAAATGACGAAACTACGATAAACAAACTGCAAATTGTGGTCGTTTGAGCAATATTGAAATTGAAATGCAGACTGACTGATTTTACTGGTACAAATAATTGTGATGGTCAATTATGAGGTGACCCATCTGATGGCGATAAGTGGATTACCTGTTATCACATCTTCTATTTACCTGTTGTAACCCTTAATAAGCTGAGGGTCATAAACTTGTCAGAAACATGAAGACAGGTAGAATAATAGTATTTTCATGCGAAAATATTTTTACGATTTCCAAATTTAAGTGTTGAAATTGATTTGAAATACTTTGGTCATTTTGAAAACGGTTTCGTAAATGACAAAAATGACCAGCCTTAGCAAAATCATTGTTACTGAGTACTATGGTAAAACTAACATCTGTTTAAATAATCAAAAGAATACAATTTCAACTGTCTTATCAGTATGCTCACCTTGAGTGCTGAAAGTCTTAGATTCCATCCCTTGCCTTGTCAAACCAAAGACTTAAACATTTGTAATATAGCTTTTCTGCTGAGTTCTAAGAACATATAAACATAAAATGTTTACTTAATAAGCAGAATATTTTTTGGTAAATGAAATGTGAATTAAAAGGTTATATCATGGAAGTTATATTGAGAGGAATAACAAAGACTAATTAGCATGTATTTATGGCCTGCAGAGCTCTGTACTAAAATCATATGATTTTATCCAATTATAGTCTCAGCGGCAAGACCCCTTTGGTTACTATCTGTGATACCGCAGTTGTAAAATGGCATCTGGAATTTCTTATCAGTCATGTGATTTTATTGAGTACGGTAATTATAAAGCACCTGTGTGAAATCCTAGTTTATTAATTAACAAGGTGGCGCTGTATCATATAAAACTTCTACCTTCAAAAAGAAATCGAATGATGTAAAAAAAACTTGAAAAACGGACGAGAATTGTTTACACTACAGCAGTTAAACATGGAAAATTGTATTTATTTTTGCATATTTTTGCTTTTTAACTGATCTAAAAGTATTTTCCGATTGAAAGCGGATCCCGAGTAAAACAGGTAATACCGACGAAAGCGATCAGGTTTCACAGGATGTTTAACAAAATAATGAAGACAAATGAAGACATAGATTTTTTTACTGTTGAAATGTGGAAAGTTTATCGAGATTTAAAAAAGGATATTTACTTTCAAGTATTTTAAATTTATGTATATATGGAATAAATGTCATTGATTACATTATTGAAACTGGACAACTAAAATCGGGATAATAAGTTCGTAAATATCTATTTTTAAAAAGTGTTTTAATACAGTTGATATATAACACGCTACAGCTTAAATAAAAACAAACAGACAAAATGAGCTTGACCCTATCTGCCTAACCAAAAATTCATTTATACGAATTAGTTTAAAGAATAGAAACGTTTGTGAATATTTTAATTGACTGGTATACATGCATGACATGGATTATTCATATTTAATAAAAGGGGGTCCAAACATATTTTTTGTACAATCATATTCTTAAATTTTTAAGAAATGGCGTCTTAAATGTCTGTAAATATTAAAATTGAAAACGATCCACCCATGTTCTCCAGTTTTTAAGATCGAAATAAACAGAAATAGGAAAATTAGACTAAAATCAACATTGAACGAATTACTCTATTCGGCAGCGTACATCAGCGTAAAGGTAACGAGTGGATTATTAGGGTTACTTCACACGTATATACGACAACAACTTGTCTGTTCGTAATTTTCTGTGAACCCGAAAATGACTGAAAAGTGTTAGTGATTTGATCGATCACATGCCGAGAGTCAATTACCATGCCATATATTAAACCAATTAACGAGTTATCGAAAGATGGGCGGTAATGCAGATGAAACCTTTGAACTGGCGTTGTAGTTATTCCTTTCAATATTACTTCCATGGTTATATCAAAGAAGAAAGAAAACACTTTCTAAAATATTAATGAAACAAAGAATAAAAAACTCTGTTCTTTTCTTTTATTTATTGCACAATATTGCTGTACCGTATGCTTCAACACAAAGAAAGTTAATAATATATGAAAAATATTTGAATATCTTCAGGATTCTGAAAGTGTTTCTGAGGAGGTAAAAGATGAAAAACCCAAAGAAGAGGAGGTTTCACCAACAAAAGATCGACAAACTCCAAAAAGAGTAACACGACAAGATGTAAGTGAGGAATCTGGAAAGAAAGAAAGTCAAACAGATGCAAAGAAAGCTGTGAAAAAGGAAGAACCAGATGATAGTAAGAAGAAAACAAATAAAAAAGAGGAAAATGAAAGCAAAAAAGAAATTGAAACTAAGAAAAATCAAAAGAAAGAGGAAGTGGATGTGAAGAAAGGCAAGGAGGAGGAGGCAAAGAAGGGAAAGGACGATAATGAGGCAAAGAAAGATAAAGATGAAAAGACTATCAAAAAGGAAGATGAGAAAAAAGCTAAGAAAGAAGAAAATGGAAATAAAAAGGCAGCAAAAAATGAGGATTCTAAGAAGGAGAAGAAAGAAGAAAATATGAAAAAAGCAAAAGTTGTGTTGAAAAAAGAAAAAGATGATACAACAAAAGTAAAGAAAGAAAGTGAGACAGAAGTGACAGAGAAAAAGACTGCTAGTCAAACAGCTGATAAAAAGACAGCTCAACCTGCCGAAAAGAAAACTGCTTCTCAAGCTGCTGATAAAAAAGCTGCTCAACAAACCCCAGACAAGAAAGTTACAAATCAGACCAATGAAAAGAAGACTTCTCAGCAGACAGGCGATAAAAAGGTCTCACAGCCCCCGGGAGATAAAAAAGTTGCCACTACACCGAAAACTTCAGATGGCGATGATAAACCAAAGACATCTCCTAAAAAGGTAAATACTAATTGGTTGTCATTGCCTTATAGAATTCACTATTGTGAGGAAAATGCCATTGGTCAATTTGAGTCTTGAAATAATTTTAAAAGATATAATAATGTACTGTTCCATAGATTAAAGTCTGGTTATAACAATTAGTGATCCAAATTCAACCTTTGTTGTTGATTTCAATATTTCATAGGAGTCTCTTTGTAATCATTTTAGGGGAGTTTATACATTGATTATTTAGCATTTATCATAATGAGGGCTGGCTATAAACAAGGGATCAAATTTGCTTTAAAGAAATGAAAGGTACAGGACCATATAGATTTTCAAGTAAAAGGTCCTGCACAAAGCATCAGTGTTAAGACGAGGAGGTCCTTGATTTTTGTAATTAAAAAAAAATCACTCATAATTCTCAGGTTTCGATTTAAGCTTCACTAAAAGTGTTAAGATTCCAAACATTTCCATTTTACATGAAGCAACCAACAATCAATCAATATTGAAAAGTTCGATTTCTAAAATATGCATTCTATCATTTCGGGGTTGTTTTTTTTCAGATTGTCCGAAGGCGATCTATGAGAAAAGATGAAGTAAAAGAAGAAACCAGTGCAACAGCTTCAGCTAAACTAGTTATGCAGAAAGAGGTCAAGGTTAATCTTATTAAAAAAGATTTCAAACCGGCGGAAGTCATTAAAAGAATTAAAAAGCCAAAGGTTGAAGGTCAAACAGATGAGAAGGACAAGAAAAGGTGTGTTATAGTTTTAGTTTATATATGATATGGTAACTTGTTGATTGTGTCAAGCATGTATTTAAGTACACAAACTTATCACCCAGAACCATATTCTAATATAAAACAGGGGCTGCACGTGATTGGCGCCACAATTGAAATTGCAATGTCAGCTGTGTTTTGAACAACGCTGGAAATCAAAACGGACATTTGTTTTGTTGTTGCTCGCTAGGAAATTAAATAAAATCATTCTTAAAGTAAGTTTACATTTATCTGTTCATTTGCTTATCGTGAAACGATTAATTTTCTATAACGTTTTGGCTTCATCAAATCTAAATGGATGCCTTTTGAACGCGTATTATAGGTCAGCTTCGAAGTACAAAAGTTATAAATTGTCCTATTAGAATAGAAATAATTCTATCATGACATGCTCTATTCTCATTTTAACATGGGTAGGCACTAAAAAGTTATAATAGAAAATATCCTCTACAAGAGAGGCGAAGGATACCAAAGGGACATTCCAACTCATAAGTCAAAAATAAACTGACAATGCCATGGTTTAAAAAGAAAAAGACAAACAACAGTACACAAAACACAACATAGAAAACCAAACACAGAGACTATATGATACTATTGTGTTCACCATAGTTAAAAAAAAAATTTAGAAAGGAAATACAGTAATTCTGTTTCTTTTAAAATTTTGTTATCTTTAATAAATGTCTTATTTTTTTTAGTGTAAGTCAGAAAGATACACATAACTGTCCAATGGGTTCACGTCTAAAGGTCAGATATGGTGGAGGTCAGACACAAAAGATTTATGATGCCAAGGTAATGTGAAATTCAAGTAACTAATTATGCATTGCAACAGGGAATGGAGAGAGAGAAAAATATCCATCTATATTTTTTTGAAATGGTTAACATTCCTCATCTGTTTGATAAGAAACATTTACCATCTTTTCCGCAAGTTTTTTGTTTTCTATTTGGTATTAGATTAAAATTAAGATCCATTTTGTTACATCTGTGATCCGTTTATTTGGCAATCGCCATGGCAGTCAGCAGGGTTTAAGAACATCCGTTGTTCGACCTGCTAGTCAAATGCGTTTTGTTAAAATATACTTTTTCACTTTTTGGTCTTTTGGAAAATGTTGTTTGTGCTGTATTTAGACCCCTCTACCAAGAAATTTGTTTTGCATGCACACGTATAAAAATTGCGGTTTTTATCCAACGCTATCATAGGTTTGAACGTTGTTTTCAATTTAGACTTGTTCACTTTATATATATAAATATATATGATGGATGTTAATGGATTTGCCAAAAGTTCGAAAGAAAAAGATAAATGGAAAAAAGTCAGTAAAGTTGTATCACTTCATAAAAACATCCAGGTTGATTAATTGAATTTCGTTGTTCAATTTTTTGTTCTTTATTTTTTCTTAATTTTTATAGGAAAATATAATCAAGTTCAATAGTATAGAAAATTTTAATGAATTTAGGGGTAATGGAAAAATTAAATTTATTCTCTGCCCCTAAACACAAAAACTGTTCCTTTATAAGACAGTCACTGGTACAAAGGATTGGGGAGACTTTATTGAATTATAAACTGTATTATTATATTTTATTTTATTATACATTATAGACTCATATGCTCTCTTCTAGTCATTTATTGGGGCCTAGGTGGATGAGTGGTCTAAGTAGTTACTACTGTAATCACTAGCCAGTCAACACTGAGGTTGTGAGTTCGAACCCTGCTCGTGCAGGTGCACTCAACTCCAATCTTAATTGACTAGGATTGTCAGTTTTCCTATCAAAGGTCGGTGGTTTTCTCCGGGCACTCTGGCTTCCTTCACCAATAAAAACTGACCGCCACAAAATAGTCCAAAAGCAGTGCTTAAAAGTGGCGTTAAAACACCAAAAAATCAAATCTAGTCATTTATACATGTTTGTAATGCAATGTTTTGTTTACTTTGTCACAAATCATGAATTGAATTGAATTGAATTAGATTTTAACCCTAGATTTTGACAGAGTTGAACCAATACAATTTATATTTTTTCCGACAGGTTGTTGAAGCAAAAGATGATGGTTCTGGATTACAGTATTTAGTTCATTATGCAGGCTGGAATAATAGGTAAGTGTTGTGTATGGACTATTCCATTATTATGGAAATTGGAGGTTAGGAACAGACTTATTTTGAATACATCAAATGTACAGACAACCATATATGACCCCTGTTCAAAAATGAAACTTCCCTTCTTGCACTCCCTTATTCATTTTAATGGAATTGCCCATAAACGGAATTTAAAAAAAAACTTTCCTGTTATAATAACTTAACTAAATTTAAGAAAAAATAATCTGTGCAATTATATTCAACACAAATTTTGGAGTAGTTTTAAAGAATTCTGCATATTGAAAAAGATTTCCTTTGATTTACAAGTCAGCTGATTTGATATTTACGTAGGAGAAATTTTGTCATAAAAATGATTTTTGTGTTTGAAATAATTACATTTAGACTGTATATTATCATCATGGTCTCCCAAAAGGAAAGAAAACATGCAGGAATGTGCAGATATTGCTCACTTAAAAAATTGTTTAAAAATTAAAAATGCTTAAGTTTGGTAATATGACGATGGTAAAACTATTACAGATATGATGAGTGGATACAGCCAGAGAGAATTGTCAGTATTGTAGAGAAACCAGCATCAGATCTGGTAGTCAAGAAAATGGAGAAGAAGTTTAAAGATGTCAGTTCACCGAAAACACCAAAACTTTCTCCAGCTCAGCCAGTGCTTACACCTCAACAACAGGTTAGTTATTCTCTAAATACTTGGAAACCTGCTCCAGCTCAGCCAGTGCTTACACCTCAACAACAGGTTAGTTATTCTCTAAATACTCGGAAACCTGCTCCAGTTCAGCCAAAGTTTACACCTCAACAAGAAGTTGGTGTAGTTCTTAGAAAACTTTAAAACCTGCTCAAGCCCACTAGTGCTTACACTATGAGTTGTTGTGACTTTGAATATTCAGAAAAGAATAATATTTTTAAAAAACCTTGTTCTGTGTAATTTTAACAAGAATGAAAATCAGACAAATTCATATTTTCTTTTTACTTAATTTGAAATGTTATGTTTCAGGTGATGAAGAAAAGAGCCCGATCTGGACCAACAGAATCACCATCGTCAAGTCCTGCGAGGTCTGAGAAAGCTAGGTCCCCAGCATCAAGTGTTGTTGGTTCAGACAAGAAAAAGTCAAGGCCTACAAGGTCAAACAGTGTAGAGTTCAAATGCTTAGAAGGATTACAAGGTAACTTTTGAATGAAACCACATGGTATATGAATTCATAGATAAAGTAGATGCTATTCCAGGAATTATTTAACTGGATGCATAAGAACTATTCCATTTAAACATACATGGTATCCACCTAAAGAGGCTAATTTACAATTACTAATTTGATTTTGTTGACCTAAATAAAAGCTATAGTATGTTCTTGTCTATAGAAAATAAAATGATTAAACTCAGGTAATCCAGAAAGAGTAAGAGTTTAAATCTCGATCATACCAGAATATTTAGTAATAAAGTTACATATATATCCAAATGGCTTCAAACATACATACATAGCATGAATAGTTTTGAAGCACTGTAAATTCAGAAATAATTACGAGGTTTTTATTATTGCGAATAATGCGACTGGGTGAGTATAGCAATAATAAGAAGTCGCATTTGGATATCTGATACATATATCTGTATGCATATTTTCCAGAAATCGCAATAATTGATCTTGCATTTATGTCCATTTTTCAAAAAACAATTGGAGAATTCATCTTAAAGATTACATTAATTATTTACAAGATAAATCTTTATTAATACTTCTTGCATTTGAAGCTTATCTTTAATTTTAAAAATATGTTTTTAATATCATTATCACAATTTTTATGTTTATTTAATGTGTATTTTTCAGTAAAACACAAGAGGACAAGAAGAAATTCTGGTGTTACAGAATCTTCAGATATTATCTCCCATGGTATGCTTTATAAACAGTCATCACACTTAACCACAAGCCCACCAGCCCAAGTGTGATTGGGCTTGTATAAGTGTGGTTGGGCTTGTAAAAATTATCTATACAGGCTAATAGAATCTAACTAAAATTTTCATAAAATTTCAGCTTCAGGCCTGAAGTTGCAAATTTTATTGTGAAGACTGTATAAACTTTATTTATTTACACCATACCTAATGGTTTGGTCATGATATTTTCTTACAAGTGTTGATTTTTATGCTCCCATAAGGACATAAGTAAATCAATCAATATTGATTTGTGATGTAATGTGTGTTTGGAGTTGAAAATTTTTACAAGGAATTATTATGTTTCTTGTAATGGCATACAAACTTAAAATTCATGTATAGCTTAGGCAGGAGCCAGAGAAGGCTATTTTCAGTGGTAAATGGCTCCTATTTGGTTTGTGAAATAATCCCGGAATTTGATAGCTATATGTGAAATATGATCTGCTCATGAGTGACCTAAAACAATTGTCATTAGTCACTATAAGCCATACAAAATTATTTTTTATAGTACAATAAAAAAAATGTATCGTGTAGTAAAAAAAAAAATGAAAACTTATGAAAAATTTGAATAGAAAATACTCAGCAAAAAAAAGTTATATTTGTATCAGTCAAAGTTTAGTGCAGCAGCTGATAAGATATAGACACACACAAAAAAAACAAAAAACATTGGTAATATTTACCAAAATTATATAATTTCTACAAGGAATGAATTTTTTTCAGGACTAATTGATTGTTTTCATTGTAGCCTCCTTTACAGATGATACAGACAATTCAGATGAAGAAACTGACAAGGCAGAGGAAATGGAGTCCTCAGACTGTCAATCAATTACTGAGCCGTCTAAACCTGTTATATCAGATAGTGAATCAAAGACAAAAGAAGAAACAAAATTGGACGAAAATGAGGAAAAAGGTTCAGTAGACATTGTGGAAGTTAAGGTTATGTATGGTGGTGACTCCCCCGTTAATGTGGAAACAGAAGATTGTGACATTAATAAGAATGAAGACAGTGATGAAATAGATGTGCCCAAAATAGAATCAGAGATTGCAGTGCAGTCCGAGGATCAAAAGCCATCAGAAATGATAAGCAAAGATATAACTGAAAGTGTGGATACTACAGAACAGGAGGTCACCGAGAACAAAATGCCTGAGATTCCTGAAGTTAAAAATGTTCCTTTAGTTGAAGTTGTTACAGAAATTTTGGAACGTAAGCCTGATTGTAAAGAAGAAGAGGTTGTTAAGAAGGATGAGGAGCAGGAGGAGCAGAGTGTTGACATTAAATGTAACGAAGACTCGTCAAGTCTTGATAGATACGAATTCAAAGATGAAGAGGAGGAAATCAGTTTACCAGAATGGAAGGCTGAAAGACACGTTGAGGAGGATTGGAAACCAAGAGAACGTGGAAGACCAAGGAAAGCTCAGTGTAAAGATAAAATTGAGCCGAAGAAGGAACAGCCTACAAGAGAGAAAAAAGAAGTGAAAAAGACTAAAATGACAATGGCTGAGAGGAAATATATGGGACAGAATCCTCCATCAATGGCAGACTTGGAACCTCCGGTGAAGAAAATGAAGGAAGAAGAAATTGTGGAAAAAACCGAGGTCAAAGATACAAATGATGAAGATACGGAGGAAGATAATGAGATGGAGAAGAAAAAAGTGAAAAAGAAAACGAAGAAGAAAGAAACTTTCGATAGTGATGGTAGTGATATAGATCATAAAAAAGTAAAAACCTCTAACAAACCGGTGACAAAATCCAAAAAGAGGTTGAAGGATGCTGATGACCTTGATAGAAGGTCGCTCATGTCCGATGATGATTCTAGTGTTGCAAGTGAGAAGTGTGACACAGACAATCCTTCTGTTTCGTCAGAAGTTTATTCAAATACTGTGATAAATATTAATGAATCCAAAACTAGTGCTGAAACTATAGAAATCTCTGAGCAAACAGACACTGCTACTACAGGTGCGTTTGAAAATACTCCCCCCACATCCCCAGAGCAAGAAACAAACACATGTGTCATTCAATCTCAAGATCATTCCCATGATTCTCATAAAAACATTGTTGCCATGTCAACGGAACAACATCAGTATGAATCTCAGGCAGGCAACACTAGTCCATCTTCGTCAAACGAAGGCAGTGTTGGTAGTGGCAATGTAGCTGGATCAGACAGCAGCGATGCCGTCAATATAGGCAAGAGGAAGAAAGAATCTGAGGAGGTTACTCCAGCCAAAAAGAGGAGGCGAGGAAAATCAAAGTCTAATGGAGAAAAGAAATCAAAACCTAATGGTAAGTAAAGGATAATCATTCAAAGAAAGACAACCAACACCTTAATGAAAAGATAAAAGACTACATAGAAACTAAGGGTTATTGAGAAACAAGCTCTATTGAGAAACAAGCTCAAGAGGTTTAGCAGTTACTTTTCCAAAGTTGACACTAGTACATTTCCATTGCTTGTATGGTTTGCCTTTGTAAGCTTCTGTTGTCAGTCATAAACATTTTCAACTTTATCAGTGGTCAAATATTTTACACACTCTATAAGATGGTTTGGTTTTTATACGACCGCAAAAAAATTTTTGTGGTCGTATATTGGTATGACGTTGGCGTCGTCGTCGTCGTCGTCGTCGTCCGGCGTCGTCGTCCGAATACACATTAGTTTTCGCACTCTAACTTTAGTTTAAGTGAATGGATCTCATTGAAATTTTACCATAAGGTTCAATACCACAAAAGGAAGGTGGGGATTGATTTTGGGGGTTATGGTACTAACAGTTAAGGAATTAGGGGCCAAAAGGGGCCAAAAATAAGCATTTTTGTAACTTCCAGACATAACTTGTGTGTAAGTGTATGGATCTCTCTGACATTGTACCACAAGGTTCCATATCACAAAGGGAATGCTGGGATTGATTTTGGGGGTAATTGTCTCCAAATTTTAGGAATTAGGGGCCAAAAAGGGGCAAAAAACAAGCATTTTTCTAGTTTCATGACAATAACTTGTTTGTAAGTGTATGGATCTTTATGAAATTGTACTACAAGGTTCCATATCACAAAGGGAATACTGGGATTGATTTTGGGGGTAATTTCCTCCAAATATTAGGAATTAGGGGCCAAAAAGGGGCAAAAAACAAGCATTTTTCTAGTTTCATGACAATAACTTGTTTGTAAGTGTATGGATCTTTATGAAATTGTACTACAAGGTTCCATATCACAAAGGGAAGGCTGGGATTGATTTTGGGAATTTCCCTCAAAATTTTAGTAATTAGGGGCCATAAAAGGGCAAAAAAAACATGCATTTTTCTAGTTTCAGGACAATAACTTGTGTGTAAGTGTATGGATCTTTATGAAATTGTACTGCAAGGTTCCATATCACAAAGGGAAAGCTGGAATTGAGTTTGGGGGTAATTGCCCTAAACGTTTAGGAATTTGGGGCCAAAAAGGGGCCAAAAAACAAGCATTTTTCTAGTTTCCAGACAATAACTTGTGTTCAAGTGTATGAATCTCTCTGAAATTGTACTGCAAGGTACCATACCACAATGGGAAAGCTGGGATTGAGTTTGGGGGCGATGAATCATAAGGGGGTTCAAAAAATTGGGGGGGGGGGGATTTTTTTTTTTCTTTTTTTTCTTTAACATTTTCCATTTTAAATTGGTTATTTCTGATTTATATATAAAAGCAAATAATAATGATATGGTTTGAATAGGCATACATGTGGACCTCCCGACGGGAGTACAATAATCCCGTTTTCAGGGGTCTCCTCCCCCCCTCCCGTTGAAAAAATCCCGTGTATGAAATTTTTCATGAATGAAAAATTTCTGCCCAACATAACATCTCAGGCATCTGGTGTAACTGACATTACCTGAAGTTATATTTTACCTGTAAATCAATTAACATGCATAATTATATGGCTTCACTTGTCAGCTTGGGTGTCAAACATACTGGTAAGCAACGATTTTTACCTCAGGCTAACTGCCGTTGTGTAACAAAAACTGTGTATTTATTGGGTTACTTCCCTTGATTTATCCTGTTTTAAGTTACTTTCCTTTTAATAATGAAAATTTTTAAAAGAATATAAATAAAATATAAATTGAACAAATAATCATAAAAGGATGGTTATTAAATGATTTTAAATGTCTTAGGACAAATAAAAAAATAATAATTTGAAAATTATTTGAGGATTCTATACTTCCTTTTAAGGCTTAAATTGAAATTTATATAATAACTATGACCCTAACTTTACAGATAGAATGAATTTCTGAGTTTGCAAATAAAAACTATTTGCAAGAGAAAAAATAAAAAAAATAAAAACTGTTTGCAGACAGCTAAACAAATGTTCTGGTTGCAATGATTGTTTTATAGAATATGAAGTAAAAAATTTAAAGAACATACTGGAAAAAAACAATGTTAGATTGAACATGTAGAATATAAAGATGGAGAAACTTTATAAGTACAAGGGTACTATAAACATAATAAATTGGTTGGAAAGTTGAAGAAAACACACTTTAAAAGACCATTTTTACAGCACACGGTTACATTTACAACAAAATTAATGTCGATTAAAAACCTCCTGATCTGAGTCCTAATCTCCTGACCAAAATTTCCCAATCTCCTGATCTGAGTTTCACAGTCCATCACATGTATGAATAGGTAAATTGAAAATTTTTAAGTTCTTAGACCACTTTCATTCTGTGTCAGAAACCTATGCTGTGTCAAATATTTAATTACAATCCAAATTCAGTGCTGTATCAAGCTTGACTGTTGTGTCCATACTTGCCCCAACTGTTCAGGGTTCGACCTCTGCGGTCGTATCAAGCTGCGCCCCAGCGGAGCATTTTATTTGATACTGAATGCATGCATGAAAATTTTTCAGGAATTTGCTTGTTAACTGGATTTTGACATTTTTATACGACCACAAAAAAATTTTGAGGTCGTATATTGGTATGACGTTGGCGTCGTCGTCCGAATACACAATGGTTTTCGCACTCTAACTTTAGTTTAAGTGAATGGATCTCTATGAAATTTTACCATAAGGTTCAATACCACAATAGGAAGGTGGGGATTGATTTTAGGGGTTATGGTACCAACAGTTAAGGAATTAGGGGCCAAAAAGGGGCCGAAAATAAGCATTTTTGTAACTTCCAGACATAACTTGTGTGTTAGCATATGGATCTCTTTGACATTGTACCACAAGATTCCATATCACAAAGGGTCAATGCTGGGATTGATTTTGGGGTTAATTGCCTCAAAATTTTAGGAATAAGGGGCCAAAAGGGGGCAAAAAACAAGCATTTTTCTAGTTTCATGACAATAACTTGTGTGTAAGTGTATGGATCTTTCTGAAATTTTACTACAAGGTTCCATTTCACAAAGGGAAAGCTGGAATTGAGTGTTGTGGTAATTGCCCAAAACGTTTAGTAATAAGGGGCCTAAAAAGGGGTTTAAAATAAGCATTTTTTAGTTTCTAGACAATAACTTGTGTTCAAGTGTATGGATCTCTCTAAAATTGTATTACAAGGTACCATACCACAAAGGCAAGGCTGTTATTGAGCTTGGTTTGGGGGGAAAGGGGGGTGGGGGTGATGAATCATAAGGGGGGCGGGGGTCAAAAAAGGGGTAATTTTTTTTTTTCCTTTTTTTGTTTGTTTAAAATTTACATTTTAAGTTAGTTATTTTTTATCACGAAGAGAAAGTAGGAATTGAGTTTTGGGGTTAATTGCTCAAACATTTATGAATAAGGGGCCAAATATTGGTCGAAAATAAGGATTTTTTTAGTTTGCAACAAAAACTTGTGTTCAAGTGTATGGATCTCTGTGAAATTGTATTGCAATGTACCATACCACAAATTGAAGGTTGTGATTGAGGTGGGGGATGATGAATCAAAAGGGGGTTGAAAAAATGTGTGGGGGGTAGGATTTTTTTTTTTCCTTTTTTTTTCTTTAAAATTTTCCATTTAAAGATGGTTGTTTCAGATTTATATATGAAAGAAAATAATAATGATACGGTTATATATCATGAGGAACTGAAATTTAAAATTATGTATATTGGAAATTTACGTTACATTGGAAAGTAATAATTGGCTTGGGGGGGGGGGGGGGGTTATGGCTCTAATGTTTAAGGAATAAGGGGAAAAAAGGTTAAAAAACAAGGGTTTCCATTTTAATAGACAAATAATTGAGTAAAGAACATTATTTAAAAGCAGTGTAAGGTTGGTAATTCAAACTCATTTAAATATCTCATCTACACTGCTTTTAAATTATGTAAATTGGAAATTTGCCAATAACTTTATTGTTAATAAATGCATTGGAAATTTGCCAACAATTTTAGTGTAATAAACTTCATTGGAAATTTGCCAATATAAAATTTTGCTGGTGAAGGTTTTTTGTTTACCTTTAGCCTTGACTATGAAGTCATTTTCTATTTTTATAGCCTTATGATGTAGTTGAATTATTTAATACTTTTATGATGTGTTTAAATGGGGTTTTATCATGTTTATGGTTGCAAATTTATTGTTTTAGTATAATAAACTCCATTTAAAATTTGCCAATAAAAAAAATTTTTGTTTATTTTTAGCTATGATTATGATGTCATTTTCTATTTTACCTTTATGGTTGCAAAGAAATTTTTATTTTTAGATATTACTGTTAAATGATGCTGATTAAGGTTTTTGCTATGTTTAGCCATGACTATGATGTCATTTTCTATTTTAATATCTGTTATGATGTATTTAAATGGGCTTTTATGGTTACAAAGGAATTTTATTTTTAGATATTACTATAAAATGTTGCTGATGCTGATTAAGGATTTTGTTTATTTTTAGCCATGACTATGATGTCATTTTCTATTTTAATACCTTTATGATGTAATTTCCATTTTTAGATATTACTGTTAAATGATGCTGATTAAGGGTTTTTTGCTATGTTTAGCCATGACTATGATGTCATTTTCTATTTTAATATCTTTATGATGTATTTAAATGGGCTTTTATGGTTACAAAGGAATTTTATTTTTAGATATTACTTTAAATGTTGCTGATTAAGGATTTTTGTTTATATTTTAGCCATGACTATGATGTCACTTTCTATTTTAATACCTTTATGATGTATTTAAATGGGCTCCCATGTATTTAGATTTTTGATTATTTATACATGTTACCAAATTGGTCCACATTGAACAAAAACGGTCCAAATTTCAACTTTATTACATTACATCAAACATTGAATTCTACATATTCTTTGATATATTGAAATTAACAAACAATTTAGTTTATGGATATTCCACCATAATAGGTAAATTAAATTTTTTCCAGTTCTTACACCACATTCATCCTGTGTCAGAAACCTATGCTGTGTCAAATATTTAATGACAATCCAAAGTCATAGCTGTATCAAGCTTGAATTTTGTGTCCATACTTGCCCCAACTGTTCAGGGTTCGACCTCTGTGGTCGTATCAAGCTGCGCCCCAGCGAAGCATTTTATTGTAACTTCCAGACATAACTTGTGTGTTAGCATATGGATCTCTTTGACATTGTACCACAAGATTCCATATCACAAAGGGTCAATGCTGGGATTGATTTTGGGGTTAATTGCCTCAAAATTTTAGGAATAAGGGGCCAAAAGGGGGCAAAAAACAAGCATTTTTCTAGTTTCATGACAATAACTTGTGTGTAAGTGTATGGATCTTTCTGAAATTTTACTACAAGGTTCCATTTCACAAAGGGAAAGCTGGAATTGAGTGTTGTGGTAATTGCCCAAAACGTTTAGTAATAAGGGGCCTAAAAAGGGGTTTAAAATAAGCATTTTTTAGTTTCTAGACAATAACTTGTGTTCAAGTGTATGGATCTCTCTAAAATTGTATTACAAGGTACCATACCACAAAGGCAAGGCTGTAATTGAGCTTGGTTTGGGGGGAAAGGGGGGTGGGGGTGATGAATCATAAGGGGGCGGGGGTCAAAAAAGGGGTAATTTTTTTTTTCCTTTTTTTTTTGTTTAAAATTTACATTTTAAGTTAGTTATTTTTTATCACGAAGAGAAAGTAGGAATTGAGTTTTGGGGTTAATTGCTCAAACATTTATGAATAAGGGGCCAAATATTGGTCGAAAATAAGGATTTTTTTAGTTTGCAACAAAAACTTGTGTTCAAGTGTATGGATCTCTGTGAAATTATATTGCAATGTACCATACCACAAATTGAAGGTTGTGATTGAGGTGGGGGATGATGAATCAAAAGGGGGTTGAAAAAATGTGTGGGGGGTAGGATTTTTTTTTTTCCTTTTTTTTTCTTTAAAATTTTCCATTTAAAGATGGTTGTTTCAGATTTATATATGAAAGAAAATAATAATGATACGGTTATATATCATGAGGAATTGAAATTTAAAATTATGTATATTGGAAATTTAGGTTACATTGGAAAGTAATAATTGGCTTGGGGGGGTGGGTTATGGCTCTAATGTTTAAGGAATAAGGGGAAAAAAGGTTAATAAACAAGGGTTTCCATTTTAATAGACAAATAATTGAGTAAAGAACATTATTTAAAAGCAGTGTAAGGTTGGTAATTCAAACTCATTTAAATATCTCATCTACACTGCTTTTAAATTATGTAAATTGGAAATTTGCCAATAACTTTATTGTTAATAAATGCATTGGAAATTTGCCAACAATTTTAGTGTAATAAACTTCATTGGAAATTTGCCAATATAAAATTTTGCTGATGAAGGTTTTTTGTTTACCTTTAGCCTTGACTATGAAGTCATTTTCTATTTTTATAGCCTTATGATGTAGTTGAATTATTTAATACTTTTATGATGTGTTTAAATGGGGTTTTATCATGTTTATGGTTGCAAATTTATTGTTTTAGTATAATAAACTCCATTTAAAATTTGCCAATAAAAAAAATTTTTGTTTATTTTTAGCTATGATTATGATGTCATTTTCTATTTTACTTTTATGGTTGCAAAGAAATTTTTATTTTTAGATATTACTGTTAAATGATGCTGATTAAGGTTTTTGCTATGTTTAGCCATGACTATGATGTCATTTTCTATTTTAATATCTGTTATGATGTATTTAAATGGGCTTTTATGGTTACAAAGGAATTTTATTTTTAGATATTACTATAAAATGTTGCTGATGCTGATTAAGGATTTTGTTTATTTTTAGCCATGACTATGATGTCATTTTCTATTTTAATACCTTTATGATGTAATTTCCATTTTTAGATATTACTGTTAAATGATGCTGATTAAGGGTTTTTTGCTATGTTTAGCCATGACTATGATGTCATTTTCTATTTTAATATCTTTATGATGTATTTAAATGGGCTTTTATGGTTACAAAGGAATTTTATTTTTAGATATTACTTTAAATGTTGCTGATTAAGGATTTTTGTTTATTTTTAGCCATGACTATGATGTCACTTTCTATTTTAATACCTTTATGATGTATTTAAATGGGCTCCCATGTATTTAGATTTTTGATTATTTATACATGTTACCAAATTGGTCCACATTGAACAAAAACGGTCCAAATTTCAACTTTATTACATTACATCAAACATTGAATTCTACATATTCTTTGATATATTGAAATTAACAAACAATTTAGTTTATGGATATTCCACCATAATAGGTAAATTAAATTTTTTCCAGTTCTTACACCACATTCATCCTGTGTCAGAAACCTATGCTGTGTCAAATATTTAATGACAATCCAAAGTCATAGCTGTATCAAGCTTGAATTTTGTGTCCATACTTGCCCCAACTGTTCAGGGTTCGACCTCTGCGGTCGTATCAAGCTGCGCCCCAGCGAAGCATTTTATTTCTACAACATATTCCTAAAAAAAACTTATTGTGCATAAAGTGTAAAGAATTGACCGACCCATGTTTTGAAATGACCATTAATTTTCCATGCACATTGTTGATAAAGAATGCACACAATGCCTCTAGATAACAAAACCCTTGTGGTATTTTATTCACAGGTATATTTAATTCAAATTATCTTTCAGGCATATTATCAAAACCCAATTAATTGCAACATTTACTTGAAGACTTTGAGATGGTATACAGATGTCTATAGATCAGATATTCATGAAAAAGAAATTAAAATTGAATTGCATTTTTCATGTTTTTGGAGAAAACTGACAAAGATTTTGGAAAATGATTATTAAAACTAGTTAATCTCAATATTTATGTTACCCTTTATAACAATACTACAAAGTATTTTTGCTACAAAATTAATTAAAACCGTGTAAATCATCCCTAGTATTTTGTTGTTTGATAACTTTCCAATATTAAACTACAAAATAAATAAGTATAATACTGCTACCAAAGTTGGTGGAAACACATGATGTGTTCAAGGTCATGCCAAAATAACTTGACCTACAAAGCATTGTGACCATATAATATTTTGATAAAACCTTAAACACACATTAAAAAAAAAATAATCCAAACAAAGATCACTTTTTTGCAGTAAGAGGGATGTCGTGTGCTTCCTGTACTTAGTATATGCATTAAGAATTCCCAAGTTTGGATTTGGGAAAAAAAAAACCAAAATGATGTATTATTACTTTAAGTATGTATTGTAATAACATTTCTTCTTTTTGTAGGAAGTGATAGTGATGAAAGCTACAATCAAACTTCCGGATCCTCATCTCCTACTAAATCCCGTCCACGTTCTCCTAGAACGCCAAAATATAATCTCAATCTTGGTGAGTAATGTTCAGATCATTAAACAAATATTGTTCTAGAATGCTTAATTTAGCTTGGTCTCCAAGAGTAATCTGACTCATTTTAAATCCACGCTACCCTAGAATGCATAATGCTCAAGCTTATTTTCAATGATGGTGATTTGTCTCATTTCTAGGACGTCAGACATCCAATATAGAGTCCTATAGTTTGTGTTAATGTCTCATTGAGATATACCAGGGCTTCCAAAATTATTTTTAGCCAGGCGGACATTTTATATATTATCCCGATTTTAATCCTTTAAGACTAAATAAACAAAAGGCAATTATGGTAATCAGTTGCCGAGTTGGCCATCCCAATGATTGATATTTAAAAAAAACGATATTAAACTTTCTTTGATTCAAATTCGAAGTTCTGATGTAAACTGTTAAATTGGCAGTGCATCATCTGAAGTGTGCAACATCAGCGTACTCATATCTGCCTTAGACTCTTTATTTGTGCAAAATAACGTTGTCAAAAACTTGACTTTCATTTTTAAATCTGAAACCGGATGTTATCTTGACAATGGTAAAACATGGACCAGAGACGGATACGTAAATTCCGTGTATGTTTGCAAAGCATGAATGAGTGTAAGTAGCTCATTCTACGTTATTTCTTCAAGAAAATATTCGAAATAAACGTGAGATAAAGGTATCAATGACAATTTAAGCATTTTTTAAAGAAATTAGGATGCATAATTAAATTTCACACTTGCACATGCACATGCGCACACGTGTACTAGTTCAAACAGAGACATGTCTCTGGTTCAAACAACGTGGTTTTGACGATTTTTCATTTTCACCTCTTTAATTTTTTCATCAAATCTTATTTATATATGTATTTCTGATAATTTAAATCTTTTTGACTAAATTAATTAGATGCAACCCGGTGAAATGTAAGAAAATAACTTTGAATAGACCGATCAATGTCCGGTTCAAAATAGTTTACCTGTCACCTGAACAGGTAAATTTCAGCTGTTCGACAACTAATTAGCCTTGATTAAAATGAGAAAGTATTAAAGTAGGGGTTGTTTTGATAGTACTTAATGATCATGTTACTTTTATGACCAGAAATGTGTGGCTGTTAAAGGCAAAAGGTTGGGTCAAAAAGATTGTGAATTATGTTAAAATGACCGTCTCTTAAGAAAGCCTTGAAAAATAAAAAGTAGATGACCGTTTCGTGCTTTGCCCAGCCGGACTTTTACCGGACATTTGTATGGAATATATGACCGTTTCGGAAGCCTTGAGATATACCCCACATCTCCTTTTCATATGAAACATAATCTCAGTGTAAGTTAGCTATGTGTGTAGTTAAAAAATTTATATTTTTATTGCAAATATATTTTTACATTTCTACTCTAGGAGTGGGGCTTAATTGCAATCACCTTGTCTGTCTGTCTGTTCAGCAAACTAATATTTTTGTCACACTTTTCTCAGGAACAACTGAACAATGACTTCATATTTGATCAGCAGCTTGACAGTGATGAGTATGAGCCCTTTTCGGTTTAGTCAGACACCTACTTTATGTTCCCATAAATTTTAATTTTCTAGCAGGGTTAGCTTAGCATGACAACACTAGAAACTTCTTGTTGATTTTACAATAGAAAGTTATCATGGTTATTGAAATGGTTATCTTATAAATGTATTGATTTTATTTGTTTTAATCTTGTGTTACTTCTGTCCATGAGATATTGGAAACCAAATTGTTTTGCTTTCTACAATTGAAAACAATAAGCTTCTTAATCATTAATGTTATTTAATGTGTTATTTCTATAAAAAAAAAAAACAACACTATTCATGCTATTCAAGCTGTGTTTTTTTTTTTTTTTTTTTTTTTTTATTTATATATAGCTATTTGTTATTTTAACAAAATTTGTTAAACTTAATTTCATGTCCTTTCAGAGGAAGGCAAATACTTAGAAGGAGAAGAGAGAATTACTTTTCTTATGGAAAAGGCACAGGAAATACGCAAAATATATATGGACCTGAAAGCTGAGGTAGCAACAATTGATAGGCGAAGGAAACGAGCCAAACGCAAAGACAGAGAGAGTAAGTCGTGCATACTGTTAAACAACTAAGGCAAAAATATTTAAAAAAAAAAAATTACTACTTTGTATGTAGAATGAACATTTGTAAAAGTTTTATTTTCATGACATTTTGGAAGTGAATAACTGAAATAATCTTGGTCATGCTTTTTGACAATCATAATTTTGAGTTGAGGGTCAATGTTCAGTGTCAAAGGGGAAGGGGACTAACTGAATTGTCCTTCGCATGTTGAGAAATTGCTTTCTTAGGGACCTGTATTGAGGATGGGGGAGCCCTCTAGTTTTCACTTTGTCAATCAGTCCATCAATAGATTTGTTAAACCTTTATGTTTTAATCTTGTGTTACTTCTGTCCATGAGATATTATATCTTTGTTCGTAATTATTAATTAAAATATTATGGTATTTGGATGTATAAATTCTTATCAACGCTTGCTATTTTTATTTACTTTTACAAATTGTGACTTGGATGGAGAGTTGTCTCATTGGCACTCATACCACATCTTTTTATATCTATTTACTGCAGGGTTTGTTGCTCGTGCTGTGTGGATGCAGTAGAATGTGTCCCCGGCTTGTGGTGTTTGCCCTTATTTTTACAATTATGGGTTGTTTGCCTGCGAGAGAGCTTTCACATGTTTATTATATCTTTGTTCTTAATTGTTAATTCAAATATTATGGTGTTTGGATGTATAAATACTCATCCACGCTTGCTATTTTTATTTACTTTTATAAATTGTGACTTGGATGGAGAGTTGTCTCATTGGCACTCATACCACATCTTCTTATATCTATGGAATGTTGTTAAACCTGAAAATAAGCTTCAAGATAAAAAAAATATCTTCTGAAGAAAAAAAGTCTAATTTATTTTAATTTTACTGTATTTTTCTGATAAATGGACTTTCTGGCATTCAACATTACACTTTTACACTAACAACAGCATCACAGACAAGACACAGTGTTCCCTTGAAACCTTGAAAAAAATTATTTGTTTCTGCTTTGTTCACAGATAGATGATTTAATAGGTCTTTATTATGTTTATGAATATTTTCAGGTTATCTAGACAGTGCTGGAGATTATATTATTGGTCTTTATTAATATTTTCAGGTTACCATGGAGCAGATCAGGAACATGTGTAGTATTTAGTCACATGACACAGAAAGTATTAGGTCAGCTGACCCAGCAGCATTGGTGCATAATAGATGATCATTTTATAGGGTATCTTCCATGAACATAATGAATAATACTTGTTTTGTTATTGTCTGACAGCATTATGAAGTATTTTTTTATTATAAAGAGTTATGTATTAAATAGTTTAAAGATATGGATCTAGGATTTTTTTTGTTTTGGAAGGGTGGGGCATGAAAACAAAATTATTTGCAATAAAAACATTTGCTCTTTGTTCTAATGTATCAAACCTGATCGGGTTTTCTAAAATGGAGAATAAAGATTTAATTGTGTAGGCAGTTTTATTGCACAGAGTAAAACTCTAGTTAGAACTGTTTGTCTGCATTTAGCTTTCGAGTTTGCATGTCTGACCCATTAAAAAGCTGACAAGTGATTTATTTACAGATGGAAATTCCTATTTTTAATAGATGTGTGCCTTGTATTAATTACATTTCCAGCATTTATTGCACAATATAAGTTGAAATGCACAGGTTAAAAGTGAATTTCCCGAACAGCGAATTTGAAAGCTCTATGCAGTCAGACAGTAGTTTGATCAGATTATGGTTATATTTTTTACTGAGACAGCATGCAGTGTATGATATAAGAAACCATTTATTCATGGTAGATAACCGTTTCTCTAATTTTTGCGCTGTTTTCACATTTCTTGTTCTCGGCAAATTATTGTTCGAAATTTAATTATGACGTCAAATTTTCTTGGTTTCTTCTGAATTTCCTATTGTGACGTCATGAAAAAAGGCGACCATGCCTGATGACGTCACATATAAAGAACACAACTTTCTGCAAATTTTTGAAGAAGAAGGATAAAAATTAGAGAAACAGATTCCACCACTATAACTCGTGTATTACGATATTCGTCCACTCTCCACAGTTAAATTTTAATTATTTAAAAAGCTCGGCAAGCCTCGCGCTTTAAATATTAAAATTTAACTGTCCCGAGCGGAGAAATATCGTAATACACTTGTTGCAGTGGTGAAATCTATATTTGTATGTTTTTAACATGGTAATTTTTAGATAGAAAAAAACCAGGAGGAAGAATTTGGTCTGTGATACTCATTTTGTGAAATATAAAAATATGGCAGTATAGAATTATAAATGCTATTCAGGGCACACTTTTTCAACAACAAAAATCAAACTAAATTGATAAATCTGAAGAACATTTGGTGAGAAATTCTAATTCTTTTTGAAAGTATACCTTTAAAATGTTGGTAGTTAGTGATAAACTTTCACGAGGGTAATGTCAAAATATGGTTCATCAGAGAACGTCATTCTTGAATAATTTTTAATCAAAAATATTTTTGGTGAAGTAATTTGAAAACTGGTGTCAAAATACAGGTTTGTGTTCCTTTAACTACATGTAATTTTTGATGTTAACAGAAATGACAAAATGGTTTCTTAGCATTTTCTGAATTAATGTTAAATATTTTAAGATTGCACTATCATTAGATCAGGCAGTTGAGAGCAAATAATACTTGTCATGCGCATAGTCCAGAGATAAAAATTCTATGCTGCCATGTTATTAAAAGAGTATTTGCTGGATGTTCTGTCCATTTCAAGCACACATATTTTCATGAAGTGGCTAATATATGTTATACTTATAGACTTGTGGTAAATTTTATAGTTCCAAAAAGCAAAATTTTCACATATATGTATGTTTTTGCAGAAAATGTTGCATTTTCCATTTTTTAAAGTCCTATGGTCCCAGGTTATTACAAAAGGGGTTCAAAGCCCTAAGTAGATATCATTCAAGCATGCTAAGACCACTAAGTGCTTCATTTTTTGCCAGTATATTATTTAAAATTTTACAGGATGTTCCATCTAGTAACACTTCTGCGCATTCTTGTGTAATATCTTAAAATAGTCTATTGGAGAAAACTAGAAATTATAATATATGAAGAACAGGTCTGTTGTTTGATGTACTAAATATTTGAAAAGGTTGTGCAGAAATACTTGTTGGGGGCATACAATTTGTTGGTTGTTGCTTAAATGATTCTGAAAAGAGATCTTTTCTCTAAAAATTCTTACAAAACTTACAAATGTTTTTTCCCATAATAATTTTTTGAAAAGTGCTGCAGATTGACTTAATGTCTGAAGAAATAATCATCAACCTCTGAATTGAATTAGGAGATATTGTTGCACCTTTCTGTTCAATAAAAGTAAGGTGTCAAATTTGAATTTGCAATGCAATGTTTGCAAGTTGCCTTGAACATGAAGAAATGTTTTGTAACTTTTTTTAAGAGTGTGCTAAGGTGAAATACTGACAAACCAAATATATAGAAACATTTTATAAATGGCCAAACATTTTTGTTATTAAATTACAGTGTATCACTGTTGTATATGTTAAATGTAAACCAGCTGATTTTAGTGTACACTTTTTTTTCCGTGATTTTTGAAAGTTGAAAAATATTGCAAAAATTAATCGCCTCAAATTTGTCAAACTAGGACATCCCTTATATGAAAATATCAAGATATTTATATTTAAAAATTGATAACTAAATTAATTTTCTACAAAATCTGCTAGAAACTTCTAAATGTGAAAAATGAGTTTCTACTAAATGAAGTTGGTTTACAGTTGTGATTAATCATTTTAGAATTTCCAAAGTCTCAGAATTTTGTCGATTTATTTTTGCAACCTAGTCATTGGTTTACGCGAAACATTTTGTCAATTCATTCAATTCAATCATTATTTTTTCCCTGCCATTTTATCCATTCAGTTTTGTTCAGTCATATCCATTGGTAAATTGAATGGAACAATCATAAAAAAAAAGCCATGTTGTTTTTGTTTAAGACTTGCAATACTTATGATATTTATTAGAGTGCTATCATTGTTGTCGTAAAGTTTATTTTTTTATCAGTGACAAAGTTTATTTGTCCAAGATTGTTATGTAGATATGTACATTTTCATAGACTTGTTGTTTTTTATTTATACTGATCTTGAATGTTTTATAACAGTTTGACAGTCTCCACTTTATCATTTCATGCCGTAAAGGTTTTATGTGCTAGTATCCTTACAGTAAAAACAAGTAATGTGTTCACCAATTTGCTTCCAACTAGTAGATAGAAAATTGTGTGGTTTTAAAATAGGAATTTCTTAGTTGAAACATGTTAGGAATTTTTATTTTAACAACAACTCTTTTTTTCACTCAGTAGTTTTCAAAATTTGAAAATAATTGACCACTTGCAAGAAAGTCTGTTAGCAGATGAGTTGTCATTGCTATAATTGTATAGAATGCACTCAATCATTTAGTAAGGAATTTTATGGGATAATGTTATGAACATTTGTTAACTATGTATGAATATAAGATTAGGTTTTTACACCAAAATTACACATTTGTTACCTAATTGTCTTGCTACTGGTCAGTATGAACTTTACAAAGAACTATATCTTTAAAAATTGATTTAGTTAGGTGTTGAAATCCATTTTTGCCCAGGTGAAAGAATTTGGTACCGGTGACTACCTTATATTTACCTAAATTTTAACTGAGCAATATGGTTTTTAAAACACCTATTAGTCTTACTTTTGACTTCTTTTCTGGAATAACATTTGCAAGAAAAATTGTTAACACATACATTGGTTTTGTTGTTTTAACTATTTTTTGTAATTTGAGATTTTTTTTAAAAAGATCCTTCAAAGAGACTTATTTCACCAATGTGACCTCAACATCCCTATTGACTTCATATATCCATTGAAAATTGACAAGTGTTAGGTTATGAAAAATACTATCCAAAAATATATTCTTATTCAGTTCTACTTTAAATTACTCAGGGTAATTAGTGTGGAAGTAAAGGGAGTCCCCTAGGCCAAAGTTTTTAAATAGGGCAAATTATATCTATTGTGTAACTGGCTCTGTGGAGCTGTAGCATTTTGTGCAGTTGCAGGCTGACATCTTTGGGTTGGGCTGATATTTAGAATTTCTTTCCCTTGTTTTACTTTTATCCTGCTGGACTTCATACTAGTATTGCTGTTTATTCCTTTTCTTACTACTGTTTAAATTTCACTTTTAAACAAATGTTCCAACATAGAATAACTTATGTTATAAACAGGAATATATATTTTTTCTTAAATAAAGATATACTAACGACAATCTGTAGTTGCATCCAAAATGAGGACTTCAACAGATATATTTTCAATGAATTCCATATGATGGAAGTGAAAAGTTGTGAATGGTAACACACATTAACACTGACTTTATCCATTACAAGAAGTTCACTGTACATGTATTCATATTTAATGTCTGTGAAAAGAAAAGTGATTTTCTGTTGTATTTTTAAAGTCTATGGAAAGATCAATTTGGTTATAGGATTTCATTTTGCTCTTTGTGAAAAGTTCCCACAGAGATTTCATTTTTATCATAAAAAATTTATCAGCAATGTCAGGAATTATGATGCTGTTTTCTTGCCATAACATGATTTTAGTACATTATATTTCATGTTTGTTATAGAACTCTGGAACCTTTCTTAGCAAAATGGTTCAGTTAAATGTCTCTGTTATTTTGGACAATAACAGCTGGACTGTTTTAACATTGTAAACTAATTCTACAATGCAAAATCGTTTTTGACAAAAATTGTTTAATCTATTAAAAGAATTCTACTGCAAATTATTGATACTGTTTCTAGATTGGAAATGTTCACATAGTTCTCATGCTCCAAACACGTAAAGGTTTTGGCATTATTTTAACCTGGAGTGAATTCAAAAAGATTTTTCAACTGCCAATTCTGTACAAATATGTGCATCATCTACACTAAAAACTTCTAGTATGAATTACTGTTACCATGCCACTTATAGTTATCATGTTAAAGGGAGAGCTGTTAAACAGTCAGTTGTACATGTGCTGTTTTGTACTTTATTCAACTTGTTATGTAACCTTTGAACCTAACCTTTGATCTTTTATATGTTTGTAACAATCTTATTTGTTGTATCATGGCAACCATCATGTAAAATTTTACAGAAATGAAACATTTTGTATTTTATCAAGTTAATGAAATTTTATAAAAGTGATAGTCAAAATGTTCATTTCTCGTGTATCTATTTATAGAATTTGTAAATACCATTGTACATTCGTCATTCAATCATCCTACATAACTTATTAAAGCCATCAGGATAGAATTTTATTTGTTGTATTGTGAGTGTATTTTGTCTAATCTGTTGGAAAAGAAGAAATTTGTGTCAGGTGAGGAAGAACTTGAAAACTGCCTGTCTGTCATACTTTCAGTATTTAGTACAGTATTTTTATTTTGTTTAAATGTTTAGTTTTCTCATAAGGTATATAGGGGCCTCAGTGGCCAAGAGGTTTAAGTTGTTTTTTCTTTAGTGATCACTATAAAAATGAGATGTGGTACGATTAATGACACAACTATCCACGAAAGTTTAAATGAAGTGGATGTAAGCAATTACAGGCAACTGTATGACCTTCAACCATGAGAAAAACCCATACTGTATGACCTTCAACAATGAAAAAAAAACCCATACTGTAGAGTCGGCTAGCCCGTCAAAACTGAGGTTATGAGTTTGAACCCTGCTCATGTTAAGGTGTTTAGACTGATCTAATCGACAAAAATTTCGAGTTTTCCTGCCGATGGTCATGGTTCTTTCGAGGTACTCTGTTAGTTAAACTGGCCACCATGTTATAGCCAAGGTCACTAAAATGGGTGTTAAATACCAACAAACGAACACACATGAGGATATATATATATATGTGGAACTTCCTCTTTTGATGATTGAATTTGGTGTAGTGGTTAGCACCTCTGTCTTTGCATGCTAGGAGAATGGTTGTTGAAAGATGTAAAAAAAAAAACGGTTATAAATTTGTCTCTCAGAGATGATTTATAGGGTAGAAATTACCATGCTATTGTTTGGTTCAAATATAAGGCCTATTTATAGACAAATGGTCTTGGTAGTTCATCGACATCTATCACTAGTACGTAAACTGAGGTGGTCAGAACTATACTGTTCTATCTCAACACTCCCATTGGATTATAATAGCTTATTCATCTAGTTAGTTCAGAGAAAAATATTTTTATGCCCCACCTACGATAGTACAGGGGCATTATGTTCTTCGGTCTGTGCGTCCGTTTGTTCGTCCGTCTGTCCCGCTGCAGGTTAAAGTTTTTGGTCAAGGTAGTTTTTGATGAAGTTGAAGTCCAATCAACTTTAAACTTAGTACACATTTCAATATGATATGATCTTTCTAATTGTAATGCCAAATTAGAGTTTTGACCCGAATTTCATGGTCCACTGAACATAGAAAATGATAGTGCGAGTGGGGCATCTGTGTACTATGGACACATTCTTGTTATAGTGATGTATCTCCAATATTTCTCATTCATTTTTTATGTTAAATAATTATCAAAATTATCTTAGTAGTACTATGATTAAATGATTTGCATGGTTTGAACTCGATCTATGAGCAATTCTTAGCATATCCAGCAGTACTGAATTGGGGTTATTACACAGCTGAAAAATCCATGGTCTATTAAACTACATTGTTTGTAGTGAAATATTCTGTTTATGTCTTGTTGAAATATGTATGCTCTTTTAAAGTTTGATTAAATTTTTTTATCACAATTAACAAATGGGAAATACATCATTATAAGATTCACACGACGATTAGATTATTAACAAAACACCAACACATTTCGAGTTCAAAATTCAACAAATGTTTACCTCAAGTTACAGAATAGTTGTGAAAAGAGTCAAATAATTGTCTTCAATACAATCTTTCTTGAATAACTTAGAATTGACTGTTTAGATTGGTATGCATTTGCATCCCTGCATTTTAGCAACGCCCTGTGCAATATTTATGCACAAGTTACTACACTTGTAGTTAGGTTTTAAGATGTGTTATTAGAATAAAGTTGACTCCATAGTAATTTGATATTCGGTATGCTGTTGCATAAGCAATCACGTGGTTTAGTTTGTTGTAATCTGTTTGTTTTTCGAGCCTGAAAAGTAAGTAGCAGAAGCAAGTCAGAGATCCTACATTCCGTATGCATAACTAGACAGTCTAAGATTAAAACTTTTTTAGGCATTAACTTTTGTCAAACATTCATGGAATTTTCAAAACTGTGACAGAACCTTCTTTAAGATCAATAGACAGTATCCACAGAAAAAATTGTATTTGCAGTTATAATGTTAAGTCTATGTGATACTTGTAGTAAAACCTTTATATTATACAAAATTTCAACAGAAATTAAATCATGACTGGGACTAACACATTATCTTCTTATACCAGAGCATGATAAGCAAATCTGGCGAGATATTTCAGCTTGTGCACTCTTGTTAACATTACTCTTGTTCACATTCTAGATCATTAGGTAACAGTCCACAGGAAGAAATATCAACCTACTCATACACATTTGTTCCTCCTCTAAAATGCCGCATGCAACAAACATTTATAAATCTTGTTTGACCAACCAGGGACCGAACCAATGTCCTCCGAAACTGGGGGTGGGCAGGCTACCACGTGACCACCGAGACAGCAGACACGTCTATGCAATCATTGAAAGGATTCAAAGGTTGTATTTATTCCATAAAATTATTACTGAAGCAGAAAATAATTATTCACTATCGGTCGCACGCATCAATATGTGGTATAGGTGTTATTTTACATAATTTTATTATTGATTTTTATGACTACATTGTTTTCGCTCTGCTCAAAAGTACCCTCATGTAGTGTATCAATGTTATAGTTTACGCTGTAGAGGGTGACATTTTTAATTGTACCACTACCATTGGTCACAAAATAGAACGTATTCGCCAAGGACTTTACTTTGGCCTAAACTTCCAGTTATAATTGTGTAAAACAAATTGAAATCGGTCCGGTAAAAAATAATTCTTTTTCTACACTTATATACAGTTCCAAAACACAAGCTCTGCATTTTAATTGAAGACAACAAACTCCTCTTTAATCCACTCTTTGAAAGGGCACTGTGAATAAATTTTTTTTCTATTTGTTATGATAGAAATATGAATTTGCATAATAATGAAGACGAAATGTGCGCATAAGAGAGAGAGACAAGCAGGAATCAATGAAGGAATCCGTGGAATTCTATCATTCTATCGAACTGGAAAACATGCTTTTTGTTTTTTTTATCTAAAAAGTATCATAAATATAAGTAGCAGTCCGATATATATATGATGCAGTTTTAGATTATTTCCTTTTTTTTTTAAATATACCCATGCGACAATCGAAAACCGATCAGTTTGAAAAAGAAAATACATAAATAGTGACATAGCGTTTTCATGATGATTAAATTAGCATGTGTATATCAAGGTTTTGTATATCATCAAAGATAAGTTTATGGGACAAATACAAATAAAAAGTTTTTGTAAGCTTTCCAACATTTTAAAATTTAAATTAATTCATCAGTATTGAATATTTTAGTCAAAGTAAAAAGGGTTATATATCTCTTCAAGGAGTTTATAAAATGACGATATGACATGCAAAGTTTTAACTGAATAATAAAGTAATGTCTGATATTACATTTATTTTCTTATTGATGTTTTTATGCTAAATCATTAAAAGGAAACTTGATGAATTGTCAAAATGACAAACATAATGTTGATATTATACCATTCATTTAGAATCTATTAAACATATCCTCGTTTATAGCACACAAAATTGCAGTGAATTTAAATATTTGAATAAAAAGACGAGTATCATTTGAGGAAGAGAATTTCCATCTTGATTCCGTACACAAATAAATATGGATTATAAAGTAAAAGAGAAAACAACGGTAAAGACAAAGACAATGGATACTGTGTTTGTTAATGACACTCCAATAACCAAGGTAATTTTTTTAACATTCCTACTCCATTGATCAAGGTAATTATATTGATATTCCTACTCCATTGATCAAGGTAATTATATTGATATTCCTACTCCATTGATCAAGGTAATTATTTAAACATTCCTACTCCATTGAACAAGGTAATCATTTGAACATTCCTACTCCACTGATCAAGGTAATTATATTGATATTCCTACTCCATTGAACAAGGTAATCATTTGACCATTCCTTATCCATTGAGCAAGGTAACTATATTAATGTTCCTACCCCATTGATCAAGGTAATCATTTGAACATTCCTACTCCACTGATCAAGGTAATTATATTGATATTCCTACTCCATTGAACAAGGTAATCATTTGACCATTCCTTATCCATTGAGCAAGGTAACTATATTAATATTCCTACTCCATTGATCAAGATACTCATCTGAGCATTCCTACTCCTCTGAACAAGGTAATTATTTGAACATTCCTACTTCATTAATCAAGGTAACTATATTGATATTCCTACTCCATTGATCAAGGTAATTATATTGATATTCCTACTCCATTGATCAAGGTAGTTATATTGATATTCCTGCTCTGAATACCAAGGTACTCATTTGAACATACCAAATAAATAACCAACGTAATTATTTAAAAATACTAACTCCGATAACCGAGGTAATCGTTTGAACATTTCAACTCCTAAAATCATGGAACATTCCAACTCCGATATAATCAAAGTAGTTTTTAAACACTCCATTTCCGATAACGAAAGTTATTATTTGAACAGCCGAACATATTATAACAGATGTTATCATCCCCCGATAATCGAGGGGATTTTGTGAACAATAACTCCAGTAACCAATGTTATCATGTGAACATTAAATTCCCGATGACCAAGGATATAATGTGAACATTCTAACTCCTATAACCAAGGTAACTATTTGAACATTCCTACTCCGATAACAAAGGTGTTTATTGAACATTCCAAATCCGATAACTAAGATAATTATTTTGACAACCCCTCTCCAATAACCGAGGTAATCATTTGAACCTCTCAAATTTAAGATAACATATGTGACAATGTGAATATTGCAACTCCAGGAACCACGTTTATTTTTGAACATCCTAGCTCCAATAAGCAAGGAGACTATTTGAACATTTCTACTCCAAAAAACAATGTTATCATGAACATTCAATCCCCGATAACCATGGTGATTATGGTGAGTATGTGAACATTCCAACACCGGTAACCATGGTAATTATTTGAACATTCCAACTTCAATAACAAAGGTAATTGTATGAGCATTCCAACTCCGATAACATATTTTATTTGCACATTTAAGTCCGATAATGAAGAAGCTACATCCCAATCACAGAATAGTAGATCAATCTATCCGTCTATCAGTAAAGTTACATAATAATCTGGTTCTGTAAAGATCTACTGTGCATTTACTCTGTCTGTCTATCAGTAAAGTTACGTAATAATCTGGTTCTGTAAAGATCTACTGGGCATTCACTCTGTCCATCTGTCAGTAAAGTTACATAATAATCTGGTTCTGTAAAGATCTACTGGGCATTCACTGCCTGGGTTGCGTTCTTTGAATTTTATGTTGAATTTTAATAAAATTCAATTGAAGTATTTATTGCCATATAAACTTTAAACAATAACTTTGTGACAAATACAAAATAAGTAGACATTATAACTGAAATTCACACATATATAATTACATTACATGTATGTTACACGAGAATCCGTTAATTTGATTGGCTAACAACAGTCGCGCGTCATTCAAAAATTAACGTTCATATCAAAATGAAATGTTACATTCGTGATGACACGTGCTTCCACAAAAAAGTGCACAGCTAAATAAAAGAAAAACTTGACAAAACTTTTTTTTTCGAGGTCGTAGCATTAAAATGTTATTATAAGAAAAGAATGATTCTTTTAGTAATTTGATAGGGTTGTAAAAATGTTGATCGTGCACATATTTTTAGAATGAAGCGCTTCATACAAAATGTGCTTCGGTCAACACAATATATATACACAATCATTTAATAACAGTAAATAGTCCAGTGTCACTTGTCCTCAGTTCTAATGATTTTTTGATGAAGGACCCCAATTTATTTACTTGTGATGATGTTGATAGATTGAGTATAAAAATCACCTTTTACTTGAGCATAAAATTGTTCGTTACATATTACTCAGCGTCTGTGATGAGCTTAGGGTAACAGGTACGTAAATGGGCCTATTTCTATTTGAGAATTGAATGCTTCTTTTTATAATTTTATTGGGGTGTAAAATCATTGACCGAAGCACATTTTATATGAAGCGCTTCATATCAAATATGTCACACGATTAACGTTTTTACAACCATATAAAAATAATGAAAAGAAGCATTTAATTCTTATCATTACATTTCTGTCCTACAACCATAAAATTAAGATTTATACTAAACTCTTTCAGTTTTTTCAGTGAATTATGTTAACATTGTCACGGATAGCACGTGCAGTTATAGCTGTTATGTTTTGTAAAGAAATAAAATATGACATTGGATTGCCTTGCGATTGGTGTCAGCCAATTAAAATTACGAATTATAAAGAAACATACATGTAATGTAATTATCAAATTTTAAAAGCAACTAGTAAAATTGAGAATGGAAATGGGGAATGTGTCAAAGAGACAACAACCCGACCATAAAACAGACAACAGCAGAAGGTCACCAACAGGTCTTAAATGCAGCGAGAAATTCCCGCACCCGGAGGCGTCCTTCAGCTGGCCGTGTATGGATATAAAAAATGAGTAACTTATACACTTCCGGAAATGTAGCAAATTGAATATTCTGTAGGAAGAAGTATGTGTGTAAATATCGGTAAAATTTTGAATATTTTTACTATAAATTACCTTATCTCAAAAACCTATCCTACGAATTTCTTCAAAAAATTATATGTTATTGCAAACAAAATTTCCGTTTTATTGATATGAAATAGCAATCTGATTAAAATACAAGTCCTGTTTTCGCACTTTGCTTGTCGACGAATTCGTTTTTTGCAGAACAAATCATATGATTTTTTTCATTTTCAGTATTTTTCTGATAGATGAACTTAGTTTCTTACAGTTAACATTTACCGACAGTCTTGGATCTAACTTTTTTGACCTGATACATTTGTAAACCTTCATGGATTGTTATAAAACGTGTACAGAAGCTAATCTTCAAGACCATGAAATAGCATTTAAAGAAAAAGTTGGAATTTGTTTTAAAATTCTGTATTTTACTGATAAATGAACTCACTTATTAAGTCAACAGTACACTTTTACACTGATAACAGCAATCGCAGACGAGACACAGGGTTTCAACAATATTGGTAACATTCAAAGAAGGTCAGTAGCACAGGCGATTGGGGAATTGATCCCCATCTTTATTTTAAAATTCTTAGAATAAAGGGGCATCGGTCATATCATACTTTTATTGTTTAATCTTAACGATAATAGCAAGAATACTTTAAAAAGGGGAAAGTAAGTTAATCCACTAAAGAATATTTATTTTAGATGAATTTAAAAAAGAGGGAGGTGCATTCCTCAAGCGCCTGTGGTAAAATGTGGTGAAATTTAAATCTTTGGTAGAGTTATAATGTCTCTAGTTAGAATTTAAATTATGATGCTGGTAACGATCAATCAAATCTTGATGCCTATAGCGACCGAGTAGAATTCATTCGTGAAGTGATAATTTCAATCGTTCCTCCTCATTAAATTTTGCTGTATTGTTCACTAATAGAAAAAATCTTTGGTAGAAATACAAAATGTAGCCATAATGAGAAAAATGATAACGCATATTTTATCAACTTAATGGCAAGCCGTTTTACTATTTATTCTAGCTTCAAGATATCTCATAAAATATATGAAATATCTTATAAAAAAAAGCGTTTTGTTAAAATATACTTTTTCACTTTTTTTGGTCTTTTGGAAAATGTTGTTTGTGCTGTATTTAGACCCCTCTAACAAGAAATTTGTTTAGCATGCACACGTATAAAAATTGCGGTTTTTATCCAACGCAATCATAGGTTTAAACGTTGTTTTTAATTTAGACTTGTTTATATTTATTCGTTTGGACTTGCATTATATTTGCCTTCGGGTTTATATGATACGTTCATCATATTTTGACTCCTCAAAATTCAAGAGTCTATCCTAAATTGAGGTAAATTGTATGGCTTTCCAAATACCGTTTCGATTCCTAACATCACTGAAGAGACATTAATTGTCGAAATCCGGATATGGTGTACAAAAACCTTTGCACCTTTTGTTTGCGGTATACCATCTTTTCCGCAAGTTTATTGTTTTTTTCTGTTTAGTTTTAAATTCATAATTAAGATCCATTTATTACATCGGTGATCCGTTATTTTGGCAATCGCCAATGGCAGTCAGCAGGGTTTAAGAACATTTGTTGTTCGACCTGTTAGTCAAATGCGTTTTGTTAAAATATACTTTTTCACTTTTTTTGGTCTTTTGGAAAATGTTGTTTGTGCTGTATTTAGACCCCTCTAACAAGAAATTTGTTTTGCATGCACACGTATAAAAATTGCGGTTTTTATCCAACGCAATCATAGGTTTGAACGTTGTTTTCAATTTAGACTTGTATATATATATATATACTTTATGAAATATCTTATATAATCTAGTTTTTAAAAGATATCTTATTAACTTTATAAGATATCTTATAAACTTTATAAGATATCTTATATACTTTATAAGATACCGGGTATCTTATAAACTTAAAATGATATCTTAGATATTTTATAAAGTTTATAAGATATCTTATAAAAACTAGATTATATAAGATATCTTATATATTATTGAGATATCTTATGAAATATCTTATATCTTATATGAGATATCTTGAAGTTAGAATAAATAGTAAAACGGCTTGCCATACAACTTAGATACTAGTACGTGAACGCCACTGGCTAATGCATATTGTATGCTACCGCTTAATAATGGAAGTTAACAATAGGAAAACTGTATTAACTGCGTTTTTCGAAAATGTTCGTTATCGTCAATTTAGAGAAAAGTAACTTAACACGAAGCGTATCTTTTTCATGTTTTAACAGTATCCTTAATTGAAAATTTGTTTGTATATATAAGATGCTATCACTCATTGCAAAAAAGATAATAAAAAGTATATATGAAAATGATATAAAACACTTTGCTATATATTTGTTTTCATGTCGTTTTATCAATCTGTTTTTCGTTTATTGTTTTTCATAAATCAGACCGTTGTTTTTTTTTCCGTTTGAATTGTTCCACTTTTGTAATGTCAGTGCCTTTTATAGTTGACTTTACGGTGCTGTATATGCTCATAGATGAAGTTCGTACGGTTAACTATAATTGCTTAATTTCACGTCATTTGCATGTGGGATCTCATTGGCAATCATAACACATCCCCTTATTTTATATCAAAGTCTGCTTCATCTGACTACCAAAAACAAGTTACCAGCAGGGTGTATATTGGAATGTACTATAGGAATGTCAATCGACCAGAGAAATATATTGTCGATTAAAGGTTATTTTTACTTCGAGGTGTGTTTGATACTGGAATCGGTGTAGCTTTTAGCAAAAGAGCAAAAGAACATTTGTTCTGACCGTGGACAATAAATCCATCATTCATTCCACAGAATAAAAACAGTGTTCCAACTGGAAGAATATTGGAAAGGATGTATTTACTAAGTACTATTTTAGTTTTCTAATGATGTGGACTGTTGAAATGACAACATTTATTACTTTCAGATCAGTGAAACAAAGCACACGCAAAAAGTATTAAAGGAGTTTGAAACGATGGCGACTGAAGTCAAACGACAAAAGACAGAAGTTGATTTGATGAGGAAAGATATACAGACCGTTGTCAAACAAAACAAACCATCCCACGATGACATATTGAAAGAACTGGATGATTTGAGAATTGCACTGGAGCAAAAAGACAAGCTTCTACGATCTGCGCATGACGAACTTTTTGCTAGAATCGGACAGAGACAACTTGGATGAAAAAATTATCAAACTGAAAGCTGAGATCGAAGAGAAAGATGCAACAATCATGAAACTTCGTCATAAAATTAAGAAATTTGATAAGTTCAGAGAAGAAATGCTGACCGAAAATAAGAAAACCAGAGAAGAACTTACCGGGAAACTGGATAACGTAACAGGAGAGCTGGAGTTCATGCGTGATGAGTTCAAGTTCATGCATTCTGCAATGAATGAACTGTTAACTGGAGCTAGGAAAGAAAATAACAAGAAGAAACAAAGTGGTTGGAACAACTCTCCAAATACCCATAATACCCAGAATGCAAAGCAAAAGAAGAAACCATAGCAACATGTGCTTGTTGTCTACACATTTTTCATCTGTTAAAAGAACACGTGTCAAACGATGCTAATTCTGGCGAATATAACAATTATTGACAATTAAGGATGTTTGCTCCTCTTGTTTTTGAATATTTGCCAAATTTTCGTAATCCTCTGGTTTTATCCATGTATTGCCATTAAAAAAAATTTGCCCACTAACCCCTACTTTTCTTTTCATAATTTTATTACATATAGTTTAAAAAGCCATATTTGAAAATCTTATAAAATCCTTGTTATTTTTTCATAGTTTTTGAAACAAAAAAGGGGCCAATGTTATGAAGTATGAAAAGTCTAGAGAGAATAATTTCCCGCCAAATTTTCAATGGCTTATACGGACCCTTCATTTTTTTCTGCTTTTTTAGTTCTTTTATTTATATACTATCATTTTAGAACAGTCTTTTAAAAGGCTTGTTATATTGAAACAGAGTAGCGAACATCCTTAAATATATTTGTATAATGAAACAGTTAACCACTCCTTGTCAGTTATCATACTGCACACTTTATGAAGCCTAATTAGAATTAAATAATAAAAGAAGTTTCTTTTTCTTCATCCATATCGTATAACAAATGAATTAGACACACCACACATATTCATTTAAAAACAAAACATGCTAGTTTTCGACCTTAATAGTCTCGTAAATATCTGAGACTAATATATATGTGTCATAGTAGTCTTAGTAAATGATATGTGTTCTAGTAGTCGCAGAAAATATTATATGTTATAGCAGTCTCAGTAAATATTATACGGTATAGTAGTCTCAGTAAATAATATGTGGTATAGTGGTCTTAGTAGATATTATGTGGTATAGAAGTCTCAGTAAATATTATGTGGCATAGTAGTCTCGGTAGATAATATGTGGTATAGTTGTCTTAGTAGATATTATGTGTTATAGTAGTCTTAGTAAATGTTATGTGGTATAGTAGTCTCAGTAGATATTATGTGGTATAGTGGTCTCAGTAGATATTATATGGTGTAGTGGTCTCAGTAGATATTATATGGTGTAGTGGTCTCAGTAGATATTATGTGTTATAGTAGTCTCAGTAAATATTATGTGGTATAGTGGTCTCAGTAGATATTATGTGTTATAGTAGTCTCAGTAAATATTATGTGGTACAGTAGTCTCAGTAGATATTATGTGTTATAGTAGTCTCAGTAAATATTATGTGGTATAGTGGTCTCAGTAGATATTATATGGTATAGTAGTCTCAGTAGATATTATGTGGTATAGTAGTCTCAGTAGATATTATGTGTTATAGTGGTCTCAGTAAATATTATGACGTATAGTGGTCTCAGTATATATTATGTGGTATATGGTCTCAGTATATATTAAGTGTTATAGTAGTCTCAGTAAATATTATATGTTATAGTAATCTCAGTAAATATTATGTGGTATAATAGTCTCAGTAAATATTATGTGGTATAGTGGTCTCAGTAAATATTATGTGGTATAGTAGTCTCAATAAATATTATGTGGTATAGTGGTCTCAGTAGATATTATGTGTTTAAGTAGTTTCAGTAAATATTATGTGTTATAGTGGTCTCAGTAGATATTATGTGGTATAGAAGTCTCAGTAGATATCATGTGTTAAAGTAGTCTCAGTAGATATTATGTGTTATAGTGGTTGCAGTAGATATTATGTGTTATAGAAGTCTCAGTAAATGTTATGTGGTATAGTAGTCTCAGTAGATATTATGTGTTATAGTAGTCTCAGTAAATGTTATGTGGTATAGTGATTTCAGTAAATATTATGTGTTATAGTGGTCTCAGTAGATATTATATGGTATAGTAGTCTCAGTAGATATTATATGGTGTAGTGGTCTCAGTAGATATTATGTGGTATAGTTGTCTCAGTAAATATAATGTGGTATAGAGGTCGCAGTAGATATTATGTGTTATAGAAGTCTCAGTAGATATTATGTGTTATAGAAGTCTCAGTAGATATTATGTGGTATAGTAGTCTCAGTAATTATTATGTGGTATAGTGGTCTCAGTTAATATTATGTGGTATAGTGGTCTTAGTAGATATTATGTGGTATAGTGGTCTCAGTAGATATTATGTGTTATAGTAGTCTCAGTAGATATTATATGGTATAGTAGTCTCAGTAAATATTATGTGGTATAGTGGTCTCAGTAGATATTATGTGTTATAGTTGTCTCAGTAGATATTATGTGTTATAGTAGTCTCAGTAGATATTATGTGTTATAGTAGTCTCAGTAAAAATTATGTGTTATAGTAGTCTCAGTAGATATTATGTGTTATAGTAGTCTCAGTAGATATTATGTGTTATAGTAGTCTCAGTAGATATTATGTGTTATAGTAGTCTCAGTAAATATTATGTGTTATAGAGGTTTCAGTAGATATTATATGGCATAGTGGTCTCAGTAAATATTATGTGGTATAGTAGTCTCAGTAAATATAATGTGGTATAGTGGTCTCAGTAGATATTATGTGTTATAGAAGTCTCAGTAGATATTATGTGTTATAGAAGTCTCAGTAGATATTGTGTGTTATAGAAGTCTCAGTAGATATTATGTGGTATAGTAGTCTCAGTAATTATTATGTGGTATAGTGGTCTCAGTTAATATTATGTGGTATAGTGGTCTTAGTAGATATTATGTGGTATAGTGGTCTCAGTAGATATTATGTGTTATAGTAGTCTCAGTAGATATTATATGGTATAATAGTCTCAGTAAATATTATGTGGTATAGTGGTCTCAGTAGATATTATGTGTTATAGTTGTCTCAGTAGATATTATGTGTTATAGTAGTCTCAGTAGATATTATGTGTTATAATAGTCTCAGTAAAAATTATGTGTTATAGTAGTCTCAGTAGATATTATGTGTTATAGTAGTCTCAGTAGATATTATGTGTTATAGTAGTCTCAGTAAATATTATGTGTTATAGTGGTCTCAGTAGATATTATGTGGTATAGTAGTCTCAGTAAATATTATGCGGTATAGTGGTCTCAGTAGCTATTTATATCTTGAATATGACATCCATTGGTTACTTATCTTTTGATTCTAAAGGGAGGAGGTTGGTGGCACATTTTCTAAAATTATTAATTTTCTTATCAGATCAGACTATTTTTGGAGAAAAAAAATGGTTGTCTCCATAGATTTTTTTTTATCTTATTTTAATACATCTAGGCTGACGATAACCAAAATGCAAACGTCAAAGTCTGTAGGGGGAAATGAATATCGTATGGAATTATTCACCCTCAGACTGAGTCATCAGACTGCTTGTTTTTCTCTTCTTTTTTGTTTGGGACACTTCCAATTTTTCTTTCCAAGAACTACAACTCCTGCAAAAACCGCTGAATCAAAACGAAACCCAAACTTAATCTGCAACTTCTTAACTCAATTGATTCAGTCATTATAGAAAAAAGTGCAGTAAACTGATATTTCGAAGCAATTTTCTATGTTCTAGGTCAACAATTTCTGCAAAAATCGCTCAACCGGAACAATACTCAAACACGATCTATAACTTCTTGAAGGGAAACTTCGCAAAAAAAATAAAATTGATATTATGTTTATTCGATATAAATATGCATATTTGCATTAATATTGATGTTTTATTCACCTAAATATGTGATCAAATTGGATTTTAAATCATACTATCAATTTTCGACATTTGATTTTATTGGGAGGGGGATTTTCGCAGACGGAATACTTATTTTCACCTGTTGCTTACCGTCTTATTTGTTTTCGATTTTTTACATACATTGTAATTTATCCCTGCATTTGTGGGAAGTATATTTATTTTCATCCGGTTTTAGATGATATTTTTTATTTTCAATTCTTACCAGCATATCTATTTCCAAAATCCCCCTACCCACACCAACCACACTATAGAAAATCAAATGCTGCCCCCCACCTTATGATATATATACATGCCAAATATTTAATAACAAATTGAAGAATCACAGAAATAAAGAGCGGAAATTTTAACAGATCGGATGGACGGAATGCAAATTTTGTAATCTTTTGGTTTCGTCAGTAGAGACTAATAGACACACGAAAACATACAAAAACAGAAAAGACTTGTTGATGTCAACACAATCAATTGTACTGCCAAAAGTAAAGTTTCCGAGTTCATAAATATTGGGAATAAGTTTAACAGATCCTGCCAAAGATCTGTCGTCAACACCAAGTTCTGAAATGAAAGAAATCGCAAAGAAAAAAAAACAGAAGACAACAACTGACGTGGTCCTTGACTTTGAACCGGTACATTAAGATATAATCATTATATATTCCTTGATATGTTATGAAATGATATTATTTATCGAATATTTTTGAGGATTTGTGATTCGTTAAAACTTTATCACATGTACATTTGTATTAACTCAGTTTGCACGCCAATACTGTTGTGTTTAGTTTTCGTAGGTCAAAACAGCATATTGCACAGGGCATACAGCATATTACTAAAATTACATTCTAGTAACCCCTAATTTTACATTGTTCATGCAATAGGTGTTGATTAATAATTTGGTTGAGGTCAATACTTCGTCCTCAGTCATTTTGCTTCTCTTAGGTCGATATAACCTCGACGTCATGCAAAGGCAATAATTGTACAATATCTTTTTAATGTCGTCAGTATCATTACGGGAATATTATGCTCACAGTTACAGAAAGCAAGCTCAAAATTCTTAATCTGTTGTTGAATTCTTACACTTTATCAGCGGCTTTACTTCAATGTAGATTTCATACCACGTCATGAATGGAGCAGAAAAATACGACCACCCATCCACAATGCACAAAGGAATTTTAAGTACAAAATTTCAATACTGCGAATAAAATAGTGAAACTTCTTAGCATTGTTTCTAACTGTTAATGAGCAAATTGATAGCTGAAATAAACCAAGATAATATTATATAAAACATTCGTAAAACAATAACTTAACCATTTCAATTTAGCCAAAGACAAAGATTTATACTGTTAGCTCTATATTAGGTATTTTTACCATAAAAAGATGGATGGACCAGAAAAACTTTTTGTCTAAAACACTTTTCGACAAGGCTGCGGGGTAATGGATTGACGTAGCAACCCCAACCTTTAAATATATTGCATCAATATATAAATAAAATAAAGAATTCATAATACTTTTATTCCGTTTAAAAGCAAAACTGGTCAAAATAAATGATATATATGTATATAGTTAACTTTTTCATTCGTGGGACTGATTAGTTGTTGTCACAATTTCAACCGCTTTTAGTATTATTGAATTAAGAAAAAAGGAAAATACAGAAAAAAAAATAACTCTAATTTGTTCTTTTGCTCTGAGTATTCGAAGAACCATTCCATCCTGGTTTCGCCTTTTTGTTTTTCTTTGCACCCGTTAGCAGCTCGTTCATCGCTGAGTGCATGAACTTAAATTCATCGCGCATGAATTCCAAATCACCAGTCACCTTATCAAGTTTCCCGGTGAGTTCTTCGCGAGTTTTTTGGTTCTCGCTTAGCATTTCCTGTCGGAACTTGTCGAACTTTTTTATTTTCTGTCGAAGTTTCAAAATTTCTTCATCTTTCTTCTTAATTTCCTCTTTAAGCTCATTGATTTTCTCGTCTAAATGATCTCTATCCGACTCGATTAAGAACTTTTCATCGAGTATACTTTGTAAAAGTTTGTCCTTTTCCTCTAAAGCAATTTTCAGATCATCTAGATCTTTCAGGGTATTTTCGCTTGGCAATTCTTTTTTCATAACAGCCACAACCTCCTTAAGATTTTGGTTTTCAGACAACTCGGATTGAAACTCCTTATAAACTTCATGGGTGTGCTTTGTTTCTCTTGCCTTCAAGATAAAAATTGTTACCCATGTAGTTATTTTAAAATTTTAGACGTACATCACCCTAAAGTACAGATATTAAGAATTCAACTACATCTGAAATGGGTGGTGTATGATTAGTCCTAATGAATTTACCCATGAAATCGCAAACATAGTAAACTCGATCCTTCAATTCTTTCAAAATTATGATAATTTGAACATTTAGTCAGTTGTGATGCCACTACACGAAGACATAAAAATATTAAAATTTACGTAAACGTTTATCTTAAAAATACAATATTTATTTTAAACATAGTTTTGAGTAAAACGGTAACCAGTTATGGGCCAAGTCCCTAACCACAAAAGATTTTTCAACAACATCAAGACATCTTGTATAGGCAAAAGCTTGGCTAATGTCTAGATATTAATGTCATGATCTAAAAATGAGGCTAATTTGGCATATTTCGAAGTTTTCCCTGAAATTCAAGAAGTTTAAAATCCTTAAGCAAATATGTTAAGACAAAATTCAAATAAAATTCGTAATGCTATCTGACAGAGATTTTGAAATATCCCAAGGATTCTATTTGATAGATTTAAAAAAAAATGATTTTCGAATTCAGGTGGGCTTATTATACCTTCTCCTTTAGAACAAGAAAAAAATATATATACCACGGTTAGACAGCTATTTATATTGTATTTGTAATTTAAAGAAAACTAACCTTCTATTGTCTTTTTTCATCTCGAAAATTATTGTTAAGTGTTGAACAATGAACAGTTATCAATTAAGATATTAAAAACAAAATAACAAGATCCAATCACCAAATTAATGATTTTTTTTTAAAAACATAACATAAATAAAATGTGTATGATATGCTTTAAATACCTTGGTGACATTACTATCTACAGTAACTGTATCTTTTGTCTTTACTGTTGTTTTTTCTTTAGTTGTACAAGTAGTCATGTTGAAAGTTAGAATCAAAATTGGAATTCGCGAATGTCTATTCCAGATTGACTGCAAATTCTGTCCTGTACTGATGTTCAATGTATTGACACTGAAAATAGTTAATTTTTGTGAACACCTGGACCTCTCACATATGTATGCCAAAGTAATTATTATTAAAATTAGCGATTAACATTCAGTAAAAAAACCTTAGTCTTATCATTTAAAATGGTTTTCAATAAAAAATTGATGAGATTATGATAAGTTTAATTTATTTCAATGATTTGATCTTGGTATAATTTGTATTTTAAATGCATAATTGGATAAGAAGAGGCCATTTCTCTAAACATGTCATTCATTAAACTTTGTTGACATTTATTCTGTCATAAAAAGTGGTTATATTTTAGCAATGATTGCATTCAGATTGAAAAGCTTCTTTTAAAATTCTTAATATAAAAAGACAATAATATTTTGGTCGTCACTAAGGAAATACAGAAAACGTTTGATACATTTTGAACCCTTCTTTATAAGTTGTCTTAGACACTGTCTATATAAAACTAAGAAGATATATATATATATTTTTTATAATCGTTATGATTACCATACTATGTACAGTTATGTTCTTTTAAAAAAAAAAAAAATGTGCAAATCAGTGCAGATAGAATAATCAAACATGATGATAGGAGTGGACAATAACATTTCATTTTATTTTAAAATTTTAGACGTACATCACCCTAAAGTACAGACATATAGAATTCAACTACATCTGAAATGGGTGGTGTATAAGTCCTAATGAATTTACCCATGAAATCGCAAAAATAGTAAACTCGATCCTTCAATTCTTTCAAAATTATGATAATTTGAATATTTAGTCAGTTGTGATGCCGCTACACGAAGACATAAAAATATTAAAATTTACGTAAACGTTTATCTTAAAAATACAATATTTATTTTAAACATAGTTTTGAGTAAAACGGTAACCAGTTATGGGCCAAGTCCTTAACCACAAAAGATTTTTCAACAACATCAAGACATCTTGTATGAGCAAAATCTTGGCTAATGTCTAAATATTAATGTCATGATCTAAATATGAGGCTAATTTGGCATATTTCGAAGTTTTTCCTGAAATTCAAGAAGTTTAAAATCCTTAAGCAAATATGTTAAGACAAAATTCAAAAAATATTCGTAATGCTATCTGACAGAGATTTGGAATATCCGAAGGATTCTATTTGATAGATTTAAAAAAAAAAATGATTTTCGAATTCAGGTGGGCTTATAATACCTTCTCCTTTAGAACAAGAAAAAAAAATATATACCACGGTTAGACAGCTATTTATATTGTATTTGTAATTTAAAGAAAACTAACCTTCTATTGTCTATTTTCATCTCGAAAATTATTGTTCAGTGTTGAACAATGAACAGTTATCAATTAAGATATTAAAAACAAAATAACAAGATCCAATCACCAAATTAATGATTTTTTTTTTAAAAACATAACATAAATAAAATGTGTATGATATGCTTTAAATACCTTGGTGACATAACTATCTACAGTAACTGTATCTTTTGTCTTTACTGTTGTTTTTTCTTTAGTTGTACAAGTAGTCATGTTGAAAGTTAGAATCAAAATTGGAATTCGCGAATGTCTATTCCAGATTGACTGCAAATTCTGTCCTGTACTGATGTTCAATGTATTGACACTGAAAATAGTTAATTTTTGTGAACACCTGGACCTCTCACATATGTATGCCAAAGTAATTATTATTAAAATTAGCGATTAACATTCAGTAAAAAAACCTTAGTCTTATCATTTAAAATGGTTTTCAATAGAAAATTGATGAGATTATGATAAGTTTAATTTATTTCAATGATTTGATCTTGGTATAATTTGTATTTTAAATGCATAATTGGATAAGAAGAGGCCATTTCTCTAAACATGTCATTCATTAAACTTTGTTGACATTTATTCTGTCATAAAAAGTGGTTATATTTTAGCAATGATTGCATTCAGATTGAAAAGCTTCTTTTAAAATTCTTAATATAAAAAGACAATAATATTTTGGTCGTCACTAAGGAAATACAGAAAACGTTTGATACATTTTGAACCCTTTTTTATAAGTTGTCTTAGACACTGTCTATATAAAACTAAGAAGATATATATATATTTTTTTTATAATCGTTATGGTTACCATACTATGTACAGTTATGTTCTTTTTTAAAAAAAAAAAGTGCAAATCAGTGCAGATAGAATAATCAAACATGATGATAGGAGTGGACAATAACATTTCAATATTATTTCTTTAAAAATATTAATCAAGATAGACCGAATCCCTCGACTGGTAATGATATGACAAGTAGATATTACACAGTCAAATATGAAGTCCGTTTTGTAATAATGTGTTCAGCAAGAGGCAGTTACTACGACTGACTTATTACTTGAAGGCATAAGTTCTCAAAGGGAATCATTGTCATCATCGGATGAATGTTGCAATAACTATTTCAGTGGCACGTATGTAGAAGTCTAAGGGAAAACCTATCTATACTTCATACATTGTTATGCTGACTTTCCCCCTGAAAATCAAGCATAATTGTTTTGGGAGATTCCCCATGACCATCAGCAAATACACGCGTTTTGCTTAGAAAAATTCTGTTTTGGAATTCATTATAAATAGCCACTCTTTAAAAAAAAAAAAAATTCTCTTCGGCATAGTTATATACAAACATTATATACAAAGTGATACAAAGTAAAAACGTCATTATGTAAAGTCGGCATTGGTATATAATGAAAGAAACAAACATATTTTGGAATGATCAAATTTACATGTATGGCTTTATATAAAATTGAGAATGGAAATGGGGAATGTGTCAAAGAGACAAAAACCCGACCAGAGAGCAGAAAACAATCCAAGGCCACCAATGGGTCTTCAACACAGCAAAAAAATCCCGCACTTGTCGGCGGGCTTCAGCTGGCCCGAAACAAAAATGTGTACTAGTTGTATCTATATGTATATTCATCAGCTTAGTATATGATAGATATAAGCATCATTTCTTTCTTCATCTCTGTTCTTCTGATATCAACATTTGACTGCTAATTTGGGGGGAGACATATTGTCACAAATTAAAAACAAAATGGGTAAATTTTACTTATTTGTTTTGATTTCTTGTGTTATTTAGTAAACATATTATTGTTTGGACTTTACAGCTAAAAATTCTTCTTCTTCATAAATATATTTTTTAAGAAACAAAATAATTGTTCTACAATTTACATCTTATTGATATCTTTCAAGTTTTCATACATTTTCTAAAGTACCCAGCTCACATTAGATATTTACTATTACTAGTACCATTAATTATAAGAAAAAAAAAACATATTCAAAGAGAACACCCCATCAAGCTCTTCTCTTTAAATCAAATTGTCCTCAAATAAGCAGTCATCCAAATAAAAAGGACCCATCAAATTATTTGAGATCTCAAATTTGTTTTTTCTCTCAATTTTAATGTTTACAGTTTTTCTCTATCCATGATTGTTATCAAGATGATGTAATAATAATAATATGTTCATAAAAATCATCATTAAATAAGAGCGAGAAGATACCAAGGAGACATTAAAAACTTATAAGTAGAAAAAAAAACTGACCACGCCATCACAAAAAAAAAAACCGTAAACGACGAAAGCAAAACAAGTCCACAAAACACTACATTGAAAACTAAAAATTAAGCAACACGAACTCCAGCAAAAACGAGGAACGAAGGGTAAGGAGTTTCTGTTCCACATTAAATTGCAACAACTCCAGTAAACAGTCAATCGCTATTTTTCGTCAGATGAATTATTAATGTATCTTGGTTTAATGATTATTTCTGATGTTTTCAAAAACCTTGAATGAAATAGGTGCACTAGGATCATCTCAAATGATGTAAAGAAAACGAACTTTTTTTAGTCTGTATATTCCCCTTTAAGTTACAAAAAAAAAAAAAACCAGACAACTTTGTTTACAGCCCTGGACGATACAACTTTGAGATGTATTATTTTTTTGTTTCATTTCTTATTGTTATCGTAAAAAGTGTAAAACCTGTGGTATACTCATTACTGATACCTGTTTTCAAAGTAACTTGAAATGCACGTAGTCATGAGGATCTGAATTGTACTGCTTTTGATATGTCTATGGTATTGAATGTAATCTTTGTAGAATGATCTAAGTCAATGAAACAGACACAGACTGAAGAAAAGAATTAATGATCACCGGTCTAAACCTAATGATCCTCATAACAAATTCAAATATTTTTATTGAATAAAGCCCATATGATAGATATGACATTGCGTATTCCAAGTGTACAACATACATGGCATATGCAGCATGACAAATAATGTAAATAAAACATAATGCATAACAAGTGAAAATTAATGATATGATATAACCACAAGTCTTTTTTGTATAGTACTTTCAAAATTTATAGTAGACCAACTGACACTAAGTGTTATGGACTTCAAAACTTGTACATATTTGTTTTGCATTTACCAAATTATTTGGATTAAGTAAATATATAACAACATAAACACTATACCAGACTGACTATTCCATTGTTTCACAGAAAGTCAGGATTATAGAAAACATTTTTCATTCAACCAATGACCCCGTATTGAATACACAATATCGCTTACAAAAAGAAGATTCTTGGATTCGAGAATATGGAACAACGGTTCCTTACGTAGCAACAGCAAAATTGATGATATAGGTATTTCATATAGTCCCAGGTGTAGTGATATCAACAAATTCGAATTATTTAACATTTTTGTTTGACGAAATAAGAGTCACGGCCAGTGAAAATATATACCCTCTGCAGATCACACCGTGGCTATGGATGGTTTGTTTTCTTCTCTTCATGAACCTTTGGGAATTCCTAATATTCGAACTGAACTGTTTTCCATACCACAAAAGCTCTATTCACGATACACAGAGGTCCGAAACACTTCCGTTGTTGATTCAAAATTCTTTTTTTTTTATTAGATTGGTTGAAAGGGTTGTCTTTAGTTTTCTATGTTTTTTTTTGTGTACTGTTGTTTGAGTTTGTGTTTTGATCTTCTTTTTTTTTTGCTATGGCGTTGTCAGTTTATTTTCGACTTATAAGTTTGAATGCCCCTTTGGTATCT